CTCTCCGTCTGCCTCTGGCTCTCTTTCTCTTTATTTGCTCTGACCCTACACCTCGCTCCCATCACCTGCCCTCCGCTGTTTTTGTACCCTTTTAAAACAAAAGCAAAATATCTAAATTTGTTGTGTGAATGTCTCCAGTCAAATTGCTTTCAGTTACACCCTGCCATGTAAATAAGTCTAAGTCTATCTTTCGCAAAATAAAGAAGCAATGCTGTATAATCTAGGGACACGACAAACTTATAGAGAGATTTTAGATGGTAGTTTATCTTATCTTATGTGTTGTGAAAATAGCCCTGAACTCCTCTAAACTTGCATATTCTCTCCCTGTTTTCCAACCCTAATCTCTCCGACATGTTTTAGTATTCCCATCGCAGGGAGATAACGCGCCTCTGAAATGGCCTTTAAAACACTTTGTTGATGCCTTGTCATTTGGGGTCAAACCTGCGTCTGCAATTCTCTGACCGTGATCTGCCCAAACCATCGCCGACGACTGTTATTGGATAAATTGGCTTTTTCCGGCGGCTTCCGGACCACATTTTTGACTGCAATTCAACTGCGAATCATGCAAATGCGCTGGTCTCCGCTCGTACGAGACCGCGCTCTCACTCCCGGCTCCTTTGGCGTAATTGCGGTGCTTAGAGAAAATTGTCTTGCATGTTTTTTATGTCGCCATCGAGAGCTGAAGCGATGGAGCAGAGACGGAGAGAGAGAGGTGAAAAACCGCTCTCTGCTTTGCAAACTTGGAGATGGTGATTGAGGCAGATTTGGTAAAAAGTGTTAAATGACTTTTGATGTTGGAGGAAATAATGTAGAACTTGCTAAAATGGGAAATTGGGATGTGGTTGTGATCGTAAAGATTAAGAAATACTTTATTTGTCCCACTGTGGGGAAATGTCAGTGTTGCATCACCAGTTACAGAACAGTAGAATCAGAAACCTTTTATTGCCATGTGAGAAACAGGAACTCACGAACTAGGAAATTGCTTTTGCTCTTGTTGCAAACAAGTTAAAGCAGAATAAAATCAAGAAGGCATGCATGAAAAAATATACAGTATACATTTATTTCTTCAGTTCATTATTTACTGAAAGTAGAAGTGAATAGCACGCAGCCCAAGATAAATTAACAATAACTCTGTACTAAAATAAGATAAAATAAAATAAGTAAGCATAAAATCTTTAGTATAATACATCCATTTAAAATCAGTGTTGTTTTCCTTCTTTTCCTCCCCAAACTTTAGACCAGCGGTGTGAACCTCAGCAACAGCAGCTGTACCTAAGTCTGCACGTCATTCCCACACCTTCCTAGCCTTATCCTCACACAGAGGGCAAGGCTAGTTTATTTGTACAGCACACATCATGCACAAGGCAGCTCAACATGCTTAAGAAAAGAAACAATAGAATTACACAAGGCATCCAAATCATAAATGTAGTGACGAAATATTTAGGCCTCAAAACTGTTACTGAATTATTTGAGAAGATTCCATTTCTTACACTGTGGCCTCTAACCCTATTTTGATCTGTTTTTCTTCATTTTCTTTGGAGTGCCCATTGAGATGAATCATCTCTTTTGCGAGGGGGTCCTCACTCTACTATATTTCATGTATACAATACTGGGGCCTCAAACCTTCATGTTGATGTATAGTGCGGCCTCTAACTCGATTTTGATGTATACTGGGATCTCAAACTTTTTCTTTTTGATGTATACTGGGGCCTCTAACCCTCATAACACAGTAGACCAGATCAGATCCAATGAGTCCTTGTCTGATCTCAAAATTCCTTTCTATGTAAATGATTTTGCCCTAGATTCCGGCTCAGATATTTTTAGCCCTTTCAGAAGCGCACCTTTCGCCTCCTCCTGCTTCTCGCGTGTGGCACTCGTAAACAAAACACAAACACACCCTTCCCCCTGATAATTGCCCCAGACATCTTTTTGATCCCTGCGCTATCTCGGGAACTCGTCTTTTTCATCAGATTTCTAGGCCGGCTGTCACCTCTCTCCCCCCTTATTTCTCGTCTAATTAGTTTATTAGGCCTCTCCAATCCTGGCGTTTCTCATCATTTATTAATTCAACAGCTCTCTCCGAGCGCTGCCTGCCGCTCCACATTATCCCGTTCATTACCTCAATAGGATTAGCGCGCGTGGCGTATGTAGAGCCAAAGGTGTAAGCTAATTAGAGGTGGCGTTTATGACTCGCGGAGCTGGAATATATAAACGCAGAGTGGATGGTCCCCAGATTAGAGAGCGGGTGGAGAGCTTCTCGCGCTAAAAGCTAACAAGGCGCTTTTCAAAGGGGAAGTGGATCGCAAACTGAGGACCTGGGTGCAAATAAAGTTGACTTATTTATTTGAATGCTGAAATCTCTTTTGATAAACAGTCTTAAGTAGCTCCTGGGTTTGATTCCTCCTCCAGACCAGGACCTTTGATGGAAGATTGAAACAAACTGGACTAAAATAGTGATAATAATACATTAATGATAATAGCAAATACACTGAATGTGAATCTATTTTCTGTAAAACCACATTGGAATACATGTGCAAGAGTCCCCAGTGTGCACCAGATAAAAATAAAACAAGGTAAAACAGGGTAAGAATCAATCGTCACTGTGAAATCAATCAACAAAAACTGCTTCAATAACAAGTGCTAGATCATTAAAAGTGCTTTGTTTAAACTGATGACAGCTTGTGGAAATAAGCTGTTTGCATATCGAGATGTCCTGTATCTCAGCCAACGATATCTTCTACCGGAGGGAAGAAGCTGGAACATGGCTTTTCCAGGGGCCTGAAGAGTCATTGATTATTCTAAGTGTCTGGATTCATAAAGAACCTTCAGAACTGGCAGCTTACAGTCCTCTTTCAGAGCGGAGCCCATCTCTCTGGTCTCTTTCTCTCTGGTCTCTCTCGCTGGTCCCTCTCGCTGGTCGCTCTCTGTTCTCTCTCTCTGGTCTCTCTCTGGTCCCTCTCTGGTCTCTCTCTGGTCTCTCTCTCTGGTCCCTCTCTGGTCCCTCTCTGGTCTCTCTTGCTGGTCCCTCTCTGGTCTCTCTCGCTGGTCTCTCTCTGGTCCCTCTCTAGTCTCTCTCTGGTCTCTCTCTGGTCTCTCTCTGGTCTCTCTGGTGTCACAGCTCACAGTTCTCTTTCAGAGCGGAGGACCTTGTTGAGAGCCCTCCTTTCACTTCATTTTTTAATACATTTTATCTATAACGCATCTTATATTTCCAAGAAACATTAAAGTGATTCAGATGAAAAGTCTATACAAAAAAGAAAGAAAGGATACTCAAGAGAAAAAAAATACTTAAAAAAGCATAAAGAGTAAGGCTTATTACAAGGATGTTTTTAGGCCTCCACACTCTGAGGGCTCCACAGAGAGACCTGAAGGCCCTGTATCTGTGGTGGAGACCTTAGACCTGGGCTGGTGGAGACAGTGGGTGGAGCTTGAGGCAGTGTGAGGTGGTGGGTGAACTGAAGAGAACTGTGAGGAGGCTGCGGCAGTTCCATGGATACACTGGTGTGAGAGGAGTTTGTTCTGGATTCTGTAGTGGATGAACAGTCTGTGGAGGGGCAGAGGACAGGGGTGATGTGGTCTCTTCCTCAGGATCTGCACAGTTCTATTTACTTTTTAACTGCCAAATGTAACATGTAGGTTTTTCTATTGTGTCATCCGGAAACTTTTATCTTGTCTTATTTTATCTCTTGCCGGAGCTTAAGAGATAGAACTAAAGCCTAGTGTATAGTCACGCGGCGCGGAGCTTACGGAGGTGACGTGACGCCACTTGCACAACGCGTGGATCACCGCAAAGCCCTTACGTCGCCTGCCGCGCACCCTCAAAAATTTCTAACTACGCAGCCGGCGCCGTAAGGAAGCTCCGCTGTGATTGGTCCGTGTGTGATTACTTTCACACTTCGGAGCAGACTGCTTTGTGCTTCGAAGGAACCGAAGGAAAAGCAGTTTGGGCTCATGGCAGAGCCTGATATACAGGAGACTGTACTGTTCAGTTCTGTTGCATATCTAACATATATATAACTTATAAACTGTGCAGTCGTTTGTTTTGCACTGTTCCTGTCTTTGTTTGAATCGTAGCTTATTGCGTCTGTTGCATTCCTCCTGCACTTGTAAACAGTTCAGGAGGAATAGTTTGTCTCATATTTGTCACTTATCGTTTTGCTGTCTGTGCTGAATTCAATTTAATAATGACTGTTTCCAACAAGAACTGTGTCTTTATTCACAACATCACAGTTAAATGAGTTGAAACGATGAGTTTAGAACTATCACATAAACCTACAGTAGAATCACATGTAATGATCTCAAACGGCTTGGTTAGCTAATGTTTTTGTTCTGAAGAGGAGAAAGTAGCAGCGTAAATGGGACCGCTTTGGCTTCTCAGGCAACTCCTGTGAGATCGCCATCACGTGTTTGGTTGTGGGATTACAATATTCTCTTCAATACTCCGTAAGGGGAATGCGCAATTGTACCACCAACTGTGGTTACGTAAGTCCAGTGCAACCCAGTGGGGGAGGGTCCCAGCTCAAAAGTGGCCAAAATGACTTGCGCTGACATGCTTGCAATACCACCCCGGGCCGATGGGGGTGGACCCAGAAGTAGAATTAGCCAATGCTAACATATAGCATTGGCAGACCTCTCGAACACGTCTTTACACGATGGACCAAAAGTTGGCTCTTGGCCCAAAGCTCCGTTCCACATGTGTGTCAATGCTGAGGGGGGTGGATTATTTTGGTCCACTCTAGTTTACTTGCTGTCTCTCGTTCAAATGAATGGAGTTGCGCCGGCTGACGCATGCACAGATGCGTTTTTTCACAATTTTCTTGAGGGCGGGACCACTTGCGGCCATTTTGGATTGCTCCAGTAGAGCACATTTTTTGGCCCATTAGTTAGAACGGCGGAGATAGGCGTGACTCTGTCCGTTAATATATACAGTCTATGGTGCAACCGCAAACGTAACCAGCGCCGTGCGAGTGTACACAAGCCTTAAAGGAATAGGCCACCGTTTTTACATACTGACATATGTTCTTACCTTACCTTAGACTAGTTGATATGTACCTGTCTGGTCTTTGTCCGTGCGCTCTGTCATGCAAACGGAGCACAAACGCAGCCTCTGCCACATACTGTATAGAAAATCGACATGTTATATTTCTGTGTTACTATACTTGGTATTGTAACACGTCACATAACTGTATTTAGGTAGGGAACCCGTGGAAGAGTTTGGTAGCTTCTAACGGGAGCTGATTTGGAACTATACAGAATGTGGAAGAGGCTGCGTTTGTGCTTCGTTTGCATGACAGAGCGCACGGACAAAGATCACACAGGTACATATCAACTAGTCTAAGGTAAGGTAAGAACTAGTGCTGTCCAAAATATCGCGTTATTAACGCGTTAACGCAAATCAATATTAACGCCGTCATTTTTTTTATCGCGCAATTAATTTTTTTTATTATTATTTTTAAAATTTTTTTTTTTTTTTTTTATTTTTTTTTTACTTTTTATTGCAGACAAACACATATACAGAAAAAAAAATAGAAACAAAGAAAAGGACTAGTTCAGATACATTGTAGACAGAGATTACAAACAATATGTAGTTGGAGATACAGGGAGCCAAAGAAGAAACCCAGAAGGGCACATAGGAGGGGGGGGGGGGGGGGGGGGGGGGGCATGAAGTGGGAGATGGGGGGGGGGGTTAATAAAAAAGGCAATACAAGCAAACAGTATACAGTCATAGATATACCGAAAGTAAACAGAGAAACAGCAGAGTATTTACATGAACAAATTTACAAAATATTTACAGATTGTTTATCATCATCATAATGACACCATGATGTTTCTATACAGTCTATGGTCTATACTCACACATACACACACACACCCACACCCATAAACACACACACTCCACACACACACACATTGAAGGGGCTTTTTGTTACCAATTATTTATTTTGTCATCCATTTATTGATGATTTTGCATCAAATGTTAGTGTGTAATATAACACTACACATTGTTTTCAATAAAAAAAGCAATTGCACACAGCACGCAAATGTGTGACTAATTTGCGATTAATCGCGAGTTAACTATGAAATTCATGTGATTAATCGCGATTAAATATTTTAATCGTTGGACAGCACTAGTAAGAACATATGTCAGTATGTAAAAACGGTGGCATATTCCTTTAAGATATATCCCAACAAGGAGGGCATTACAGTAGCCCAAATGTTTATTATGTCTTCTTAAGTGTAACAAAGCTAGTACTGCTTCATTACCTAACATTTGTTAATTACCATATGTTATTACTGGATGTGGATAAAACAAAGTCTGACAGATCGGTCTCCTTCGTCAGGCTCAACACAGGAAAGAATTCAGTAGAATATCTGTCCTGTGAATATCACATAATGGACTGAGACGATGCAAAAATGTTAGGAACAAAAGAACCTAAATGCAAAAGATGGTTAAGAGAGGCGATTGAAATCAGGATGCACGGACCATCAACAGAGACGAGGGGGCCTTCACTTTGGCTCACACTTCGGACTCACTTCTCCAGGGGCTGCATCCGGTAACAACAGCTGTACAGAGACACAGAGACACTTTACTCTTACTAAAAGAACTGTCTAAGCCTTACAGTTTTCCAGTCTGCAGGAGACAAAGGCATGGACCGTTTTTTTTTTTGCATCGGGTTGAGGAAGGAGGGTGGGCGACATTTTGCAATGTTTTTTATAATGATTTATTTGTGTGCAGTGTTTGCGACTTTACCAGAGCATATATTTTCTGTTCTTTTCGCAGCTTGAGGAGCAGCTGAGTCGTCTGCAGAGGGAGAAGAACGACATCCAGTCCAGGATGGAGGAGGACCAGGAAGATCTGAACGAGCTCATGAAGAAGCACAAGGCTGCAGTGGCTCAGGTCTGGACAAGCTTTATTGAGTTATTTAGTTATCAAATAAATGTGTCTTTGGACCACAACACAGAGGGAGACATGATGTGGAGATGTCTGTCTCTATCTGTCTCTGTCTGTCTCTGTCTCTCTCCATCTTTGCCTCTGTCTTTCTCTCTATCTGTCTATATCTGTGTCCCTCTATCTCTCTGTGTATCTCTGTCTCTCTCTGTCTATATCTCTGTCTCTCTCTCTCTCTCTGTCTATCTCTGTCTCTCTCTATCTATCTCTGCCTCTCTTTGGCTCTCTCTCTCTGTATCTCTGTCTCTCTCTGTGTATCCGTCTACTGTACGAGGCCACGTCTAATGCGTCTCTCCCTCTTGAAGCTCTGCTCTTAAGTCTCTGTTGCCTTGGAGAGCTAATGTTCTGAGTGAAAAGGCTCCCTGCGGCTTTCAAACTCACATTTCCCATCAGCGCCGAGTCGGGAGGAGAGGCGCATATGGCGAGAGCGAGGACAGAGCGGCTTTTCCTCTTAATTGTTCTGTTATTACAAAGACGGCTACAGAGAACACGTTTCAAAGAGTGTGAAGGTTCTGTGGTGTTGTCCAAAGGCACAAAGGGACAGATTTCTCGATCTGATATTGATTCATTCACATATTTGAAAATTTTTGAGCAGTGCTGCTTCTGTTTGAGAAGGAAAGACAATTATTTATTAATCTGCTGCTACTGCTGCTACTTCTACTATTGCTACTACTACTACTACTGCTACTGCTTCTACTAGTGCTACTACTGCGGCTACAGTGCTATTAATGCTATTGCTACTAATGCTACTACTACTATTGCTACAACAATTGCTACTACTAGGAACATATTTAAAATTCTCTTGTTCAGATATTGATTAATTCACATATTAGAACATTTCTGAGCACTGCTGCTTGTGTCTGAAATGAAGGAAGGAAAAGTACTTATTTATTCATCCAGACTCTTTTCTATGTGCATTTGAAGAGAATACAATAGAATAGGAGAGAAGAGGTCTTATTGTTGTTGTTTTTTCAAATAACTATTGTCTTTATTGGCTTCTACTGGATTTTACCTGGCTCCTACTCTGTGCTGCTACTTCAGATACTACTGCTACTGCTGCTGCTGCTGCTGCTACTGCTACTATAAATAAAGATTACTTACTAGTACTATTGTTACCGCTACTTCTCATCTGTTTGAAAGAGCTGTGAGCCTGTGAGGAATCTTCAGATGCCCCACTATCAGAATGAGTCTAGTATTGAGATTGTTTGTGTGTTCTGACAAACCCTACTGAACAGCAAAGTCAATATTCCTCAGTAAAGACTAGTTAATTGTGCTAAACACCTGCTTCCTCTCCACTGATGCCCTCTACTGATGTTACTATAGTGAGAGGGATTTAAGTCTCTTTATCTCACATCTGTGTAAAACCAGGATCCTCTTATGTAATCCTCTCATTACCCCTGTCTGTGTATGTCTGTGTGTGTCTCTCTGTGTGTGTGTGTTACAGTCGGCTCAGAACCTAAACCAGATCAGTGACCTGCAGGCTCAGCTGGAGGACGCTCTGAAAGAGAAGCAGGAGGTGCAGGAGAAGGTAAGAAGACCAAAACAACTGTCGATCGCTGAGGAGGAGGCTTAAAGGAGACATGTGATAGTGCTTTATGACTGCATTAAACAGGATCTGTCAATGCAACATAAATAAATTAATGATTGCATAGCACAAAATCATAAAGTACCAAAGTAATTTTTTTCAGATCAACAAATTGGCTTTGTGTAAAATGGCGTCCTGCTTGCTCCATCAATCACCTCCTCACACACGTTTAGTCTCAGAAATCTGCATAACACATTAGCGTTCCATCTTCTGTGGACAAATACACGGCTGGAGTAATGGATGTGTCAGTCAGACACAGATCCACATATGGTCTGAGTGTCGCGGGAACATGCTTCTGCTGTCAGCGAAGGAATGAGCTGCACACACGGCTGCAGAGGGACTGGAGGGAGGCCAGAGAGAGGCCAGAGAGAGGCCAGAGAGAGAGGCCAGAGAGAGAGGCCAGAGAGAGAGGCCAGAGAGAGAGGCCAGAGAGAGAGGCCAGAGAGAGAGGCCAGAGAGAGAGGCCAGAGAGAGAGGCCAGAGAGAGAGGCCAGAGAGAGAGGCCAGAGAGAGAGGCCAGAGAGAGAGGCCAGAGAGAGAGGCCAGAGAGAGGCCAGAGAGAGAACCAGGGAGAGACACAGAGACGGCACCGAGGACAGAGGCTGTAGATCCAGGACTGAGTAGGCTCCCAGGTGGGGAGGGGGTGTAGCCATTACAATCCAGAGACCAGATTTTAGTTTCTTTTAGTCAATTATCCCAAAAATGTGATTCAAATTACAGACAAAAAGGTGATTTCAGTAACTTTCTGTGATTATCTACTGTAACATCTAAAATACTCGTTCTGTTGTTCTCTCCCACAGCTGCCTCTTTGTCTTTGCTTAATCACTATTTTTAGACGAATAGAAAGTCGAGTTATGACTTTTTACTCTGCAAACTTTTCTGCTATAAAACTCACGCGTCCTACTCTTGTTCCTTAAAGGCCTTTCTAACTTTCAATTCCAAATCTGTCAGTCTCAGGCAAAAGGTTATAACACAGAGTTTGCTTTCGCCAAATATTTCATTCTGTGTCCTGCGGCCCTGTGTAAACTTTGTCCACCAAACCTGCTCCTCAAACTTTCCCAAACAAATGTATTGAATTTAACTTTGACAAGTCTGTGTGCGCTTTATATGGGCTATTTCTGTATTATATAGACCAGAGACCAGAGAGAGAGACCAGAGAGAGAGACCAGAGAGAGAGACCAGAGAGAGAGACCAGAGAGAGAGACCAGAGAGAGAGACCAGAGAGAGAGACCAGAGAGAGAGACCAGAGAGAGAGACCAGAGAGAGAGACCAGAGAGAGAGACCAGAGAGAGAGAGGCCAGAGCGAGACCAGAGAGAGAGAGACCAGAAAGAGACCGGCGAGAAAGACCAGAGAGAGAGACCAGAGAGAGAGAGACATACCAAATATCTTACATACTCCTAAAAGGTTCAAGTGGCCAAATGTTGTCAGATTTCTGAAGTTAAGCAGGACAGGGCCTGGTTAGTGCTGTGATGGGAGACCTCTGGGAACACAAGTTGCCACAGTGGGGCGGCTGCGGCAGTGAAGTGCCAAACTGTGGTTGTGTCCTTAGGCAAGACACTTCACCCACACTAGAATGAGTCTGGTGTGTGTGTGAAAGGCTGGTGGTGGTGGGATGGGCCAATGCCACAGACTGGTTGCCTCTCGTCTGTCAGTGTGTTCCAGGGCAGCTGTGGCTACAGTAGTAGTTCATCATCACTGTGAATGAATAATGTGAAAAGACTTTGAGAGTCCAAACAAGCGCAATAGAAAACCAATGTATTATTATTATCAGCATTACTAAAACAGTTTTTGGCACTCCTGTTTTCAGGCATTTCTCATGTTTATCCATATTTTCCACTTTAAAAATGATTTCACTTTCTGAAACAGGAAATGTCAACGTAAAAGTCAAAGTAATGAATTTCTATGTTTCTTGGCACCAAACGGCTGCACTAAGACGCCATCATCTGTGACAAAGTTTCAGGGCTTTTGACTTTCTGCAAATTAAACTCCAAAAAGATTTAACAGCAAATATTGAGGTGCTTTAAATAGTTTCCAAATTCGCGATGTCTCTGTCCCAATCCTGTCATTTATACATGTGTGATCTTCTTTGTCAGCACATGGTCTCTGCTCTCTCCCTGCTCTCTCTCTGGTCTCTCTCTTTGCTCTCTCGCTGGTCTCTGTAGTCTTTCCCTCTGGTGTCTCTCTGGTCTCTCTCTAGTCTCTCTCTGGTCTCTCTCTCTCTGCTCTCTCTCTCTCTGCTCTCTCTCTTCACTCTCTCTGGTCTCTCTCTTTCTCTCTAGTCTCTCTCTCTGCTCTCCACCTGCTCTCTCTCTGCTCTCTCCCTGCTCTCTCTCTGGTCTCTCTCTTTGCTCTCTCGTTGGTCTCTCTAGTCTTTCTCTCTGGTGTCTCTCTCTGTCTCTCTGGTCTCACTCTGGTCTTTCTCTGTCTCTCTGGCCTTTCTCTCTTGTCTCTCTCTAGTCTCTATCTGGTCTCTCTCTAGTCTTTCTCCGGTCTCTCTCTGGTCTCTCTCTGGTCTCTCTCTCTGCTCTCTCTCTCTGCTCTCTCTGATTTCTCTTTGTCTCTCTGGTCTCTCTCTCTGGTTTCTCTCTGGTTTCTCTCTGGTCTCTAGCAACTATGGTCTCATTCTTATACACAATAAAACGGCTTTCAAAACGGCTTTCCCTGTCAGCACCAGCTGAAATACTGAGATAAAATTTTACAACGTGCAACTTATTCAAATGAGACCAAAAGGGTTAAGTCAAGTCACCAGTTCCAAGTTTTTCTTTCAATCGATTTAGAATAAATACATGAAAGTGAACATATAAATAGTTGTGATGCTGTGGTTCTGTGAGCGTGTTGTAAATGGTGTCGTGCCCTTCCCCCACAGATGCAGGCGCTGCAGAGCCAGCTGGACTTCCAGGAGGCGTCTATGGTCGAGAAGTCTCTAGTGAGTCGACAAGAGGCCAAGATCCGAGAGCTGGAGACCAAGCTGGAGTTCGAGAGGACGCAGGTCAAACGGCTCGAGGTGAGAGGAGCAGTGTGTGTATGTAAGTGTGTGTGCGTGTGTCTCTCTCTGTCTTTGTTCCTGCGTCTGTGTCTCTGTCTCTCTGTGAAAGTCTGAGTGTCTCTGTGTCCCCCTCTATCTCTGTGTTTCTCTCTTTCTGTGTCTATTTCTGTATGATCCTGGTGCTTATGATAAAAAGCGCAAATAGAGCAACCTCACTCCTGATTGGCTCTTTGGTTGCAAGGTTGTTGCTACCCCACATTTTTTGCCAGTTTGCTCTAGTCTTCATAAAGGGAAGAGAGGAGAGGGGAGTGAGTTTGGAGTAGGATACAGGGTGAGAAAATTCATCAGATCCCTTATCACTTCATGGTGCCCCCAAACCTATACATCTGAAACCAATGCAAAACGGCCTCATAACTACAAATCTAATTTTTGCATTTTAAATTCCTCATTCCTAAAAAACAAATGATATAAATATTCCACCTTCATTCATGGCAGTAGTATATGAGGCTGTGTGGAGGGATGGGGGGGTGTTGGAGCAGTGAAGAGCCCTGGAGGATTGGTGTAGGAGGCTGGAGAGAGGTGAATTCACTGGGTCTGGAGGGTCAAACTGAGCCTTCAGCACAAACTCACACACTTTATTCTGACAGAGAATGTGTATACGCTGGAATTGTATTACTTTGACTGATAGGGACGGGTTCTATGAAATGTCCATGATTGTAGCCATGAAAAAATGAAAAGTACTAAAAAAAAATACATTCTCAAACTTTAGTATAATAAAGAAGCAAGTGTAAGATCTCTAACTTTGGCATAATTAAGAAGTAAGTCTAAAATACTGTTTATTCTAGTGTAAGAAATAAATATATAGTTGTACAAATACGTCTGTACGTGTTAGCAGCATGAGAGTCTTAGACAAAGTGGCTCAGTGAAGTGACAGTGGACACGTCGGCGCAAAGTTAACGTCATCGGAACCAAGACCATAAAAATAAATTGTTCAAATCTACTTCTTCCACATTCGACATTCCACTATAGCAACGTAGTATACAGTCTTATCTGACCTAACGGCAGCATGCCCTGATAGAACAGAAGAGGTCCCAGTATCGACCCCTGGGGCACTCCACATGTCAGGGGCATATGATCCGAGACACAGTTTCTAATCTCAAAGCATAAAACACGTTAAATGTCAAAGTGGTGAAGGACACTTTATACTTACTTATATTATTATGTATATATGGTCAGATTTTTTATACTTAATTCTTGCTTCTTTATTATGCTAAAGCTAGATTTCTTAAAATTTTAGTATGGAGTTATTGTTCATTTGTCTTGTGCTGTGTGTTCCTCATTCATACTATTTTGTAACTGGTGATGCAACACTGACATTTCCCCACTCTGGCACTAATAAAGGATATATTCAGCCTTATCCAGAGTTTATGGCCAAGTTCAATCTCTCTGGTTTACACCGTACCGTAGTTTGCTGGTCTGTTTTGTCTAATCTAACTTCTACCTCCTGGCGGTTCGTTTTTTAGCTCTCCCCGTACCTCTGGAAAGGGTGGAGGGCTTGCCTCTGTGTTTAAATCCAGTCTTAAATGCCGACAATGTCCAGCAACAACTTTCTCAAGCTTTGAATTGCAGTTGATTGAAATACAGAGCACTGTGCCCGTCCTGTGCGCGCTGGTATATCGACCTCCAAAGTTTAACAAAGACTTCATTGCAGACTTTTCTGACTTTGTAGCAGGAACTGTTCTTAAATATGATCATTTTTTAATAGTGGGTGATTTTAACATACATGTTTGCTGTAACTCAAAACCTCTGGTAAAGGACTTTTTAAGTGCCATCGATTCTTTTAATCTTACACAGTGGGTTAATGGCCCTACTCATGAAAAGGGCCATACACTTGATCTCGTGTTGTCTCATGGTTTAAATGTAGGCATTGATAATCTTTGTAGTACGCAGATATCGGACCATTTGCCAGTTTTGTTTTCACTAACACTTCCGTGCACTCCAGCTAAACCGTGCGCCTTGGCGCGTATGCGGCGCGTCATGAGCCAGTCGACAGCAGAAGAATTCTCAAATGCTTTTACTCATCTTATGCCCACACTGGACTTATCACCTTGTTCTGTTGAAGAGGCCACTAGCATGTTTAATTCTACATGCTCCTCCATTTTAGACCTGCTTGCTCCTTTGAAAATGGTTAAATCTAAGTCTGTGTCTGAGCCATGGTTGAATGACTCTACTCGTGCTCTTAGGCGTGAATGTAGACGCGCAGAGAGGAGGTGGAAAAAGGACAGGCTTCACGTTTCTTTGGGCTTTTTGCGAGACTGTTAATCAAATTATCAGAAAGCTGTGAAGTGTGCTAAAGCTGAGTACATGTCAAACTTGATTTCAACAAATCGTAACAGACCCCAAGTTCTGTTTAATGTCTTAAATAGACTTGTGAATCCTATTGACTCAGACTATGCTGTACATTCACAAACATTGTGTGAACATTTTCTGACATTTTTTGTTGACAAGATAACTGCTATTAGGGACTCAACCTCTTCTTTCAAAGTGGTTGATCCCTCTGTGACTTCTGTGTGTTCTGTGGTTTTTGAGCATTTTGAACCTGTGTCCCTTAGCGACCTTTCTGATGTTGTGCATAAATTAAGAGCTTCTAATTGTCCGCTCGATTGTCTCCCTCCTAAACTGCTCAAAGATGCTTTGGGCGCGATTGGGCCTCATATACTGGCAATTATAAATTCATCACTGACATCAAGCTGCGTTCCAAGTTCCTTTAAACATGCTGTTGTTCAGCCTCTGCTTAAGAAGCAAAACCTTGACTCTGAAGTCCTGGCAAACTACAGACCAATTTCTAAATTGCCTTTCTTATCAAAAATCTTGGAAAAACTGGTTTTTGCACAAATACAAACTTATCTGGATGCAAATGGCATTTTAGAAAAATTTCAATCTGGCTTTAAGTTACGTCACAGCACTGAGACTGCACTCTTAAGAGTTTTTAATGACCTTATTTTAACTGTTGATTCAGGCTGCTCCACTGTTTTAGTGCTTTTAGATTTAACTGCAGCATTTGACACTGTCAACCATGAAATATTGCTTTCACGCCTCAAAAATCATGTTGGCATTATAGGTACTGCCTTAAGTTGGTTTAGATCGTACCTTGAAAATCGATCTTTTGCCGTCCACCTGGGTCCTTACGCTTCTGGAGCTACCCCACTAAGCTGTGGTGTGCCGCAGGGCTCCATTTTGGGCCCCCTATTGTTTTCAATGTATATGCTGCCCATTGGGTCAATTTTTAGAAAATATAAAATTGACTTTCATTGTTTTGCAGATGATCTGCAAATGTATCTGCCTTTGAAGGCAGGCTCAAACAATGTTCAAGTTTTGTTTGATTGCTTACAGGAAGTGAAGGACTGGATGGCTCAAAATTGTTTAAAGCTTAATGACTCCAAAACTGAAATTGTTGTATTTGGTAACTCATGTGATGCCACTGCTCTAGGCCCTTTGAATATTTATCGTCATGAGTCTGCTAGGAATCTTGGGGTTGTTTTGGACAGTTCGTTTAAATTTGACAGACAAATAAGTTCAGTCGTCAAAAATAGCTTTTTTCAGCTGCGTTTGCTCAGCAAAATCAAACCCTATTTGCCTCATGGTGACTTGGAGCGTGTCATTCATGCTTTTATTACGTGTCGCTTAGATTATTGTAACTCTCTGTACTGTGGGCTCGATCAAAAGTCCATTCGTCGTCTGCAGTTGGTTCAAAACGCAGCGGCGCGTTTGCTCACAGGAACAAGGAAACGTGACCACATAACTCCTTGGAAGTTTTCCAAGCTGTGGGAATGTGTGCCAGCCTTAAGGAGTCCCAGAAGATTGAGTGAAGGACTGGTGACAATTCCATGGCACACAACTTCAGCACCTTGGCCGGGATACCGTCAGGGCCTGGTGCCTTGCCCATCTTGCACCTGCTAAGTTGTAGGTGTACATCCCCCTCCGTAAATGGGGGCTGTGATGGGGAGTCCAGGGGCAGGGCACTGAGCAGCTCTCACAGACGGCAGAGTGGTCGACTGAGTCAAAACGGGTGTAAAAATCGTTCAATGAGTTTGCAAAGATGGTGGGGTCTGTTGTTACATGGTGACTGGAACTTGGGGTATGACCGGTGAGGAGCTTAATTTTCTGGTATGCTTGTTTAGTGTTCATACTGCCAAACTCATGCTCAAGCCTATCTTTAAACTTAAGTTTAGCTTTCATAATATCATTTTTAATCTGTCTGTTGAGTGTATTGACAGTGCTCCAGTCATTTAAATGAAAGGCTGCCTGCCTTTCATTCATACTGTTTTTAATGTGAGAAGTAATCCAGGGCTTTGAGTTGGGATATTTCTTAAACGTTTTGGTAGGTATTGTAGATAAAATACAAAACTTAATATAGTCAGTGATTACTGAGACCTTGTTATCCAGGTCCCCTTGAAATACATCCCAATCAGTGCACGCCAGGCATCCCTGAAGCTGCGCAATTGCATCCTCCGACCACACGCTGGCGCTGTGGATGGTTGGCTTAGCGCGTTTCAGCCCCGTCAGGTAGTGCGGGATCAAAACAACAACATTGTGGTCGGAGAAGCCGAGTGGTGCGTGCGCCCGAGCTACAAACGCATCAGAAATGTTCCCGTAACACAGATCCAGCGTGTTTTGCTTCCTCGTGGGAATATCCACATACTGGTGCAGTGATGGCATGACAGCGTCGAGTCTACAGTTGTTAAAATCACCCACAATAAACAGCGGAGCATCGGGATACCTGGCCATCATTGAGCTAGCATCCTCGGCTAGTAGCTCCGCTGCTGCCTTGATGTTAGCACTCGGGGGCACATAAACACAGCTGATCACCAAGCAGGGGAATTCCCGTGGGAGATAGAATGGTCTTAAGGACAAAGTCAGCAGTTCTAAATCCGGGGTGCAGATCGTGCGATGGATTTTGATGTTAACGCACCATCGCTTATTTACGAAGAGGCAAACTCCGCCACCTTTTCGCTTCCCGGACTTGCTGGTCCTGTCCGCCCGAAAGATGGTGAATTGATCGAGACTGACCTCAGAGTCCAAGATGGTCCCGTCCAGCCAGGTCTCGGTCAGGGCAATGACGCAGGCATCTCTGAAGGTCCGTTCAAATCGACATTTGGAGTGTAAAAGGTCCATTTTGTTGCGGAGGGAACGGACATTAGCCAGGATTATGGAGGGCAGAGGGGGTCTGAAGGGGCGCTTCCTCAACCGGGTACGAACCCCACCTCTTCTGCCCCGTTTCCGCGGTCGAAGTTCTGGGGGAAAATTTACTAGAGGCTTCTGGAGACTTAAGGAGGACAAGCGTAGTTGGAGCAGCTCGTCCCGGCTATAGGTGAGTGGCGCATAGCCGCTTATTCCCAGGTGTAGGGCCCCACAGTTCTTAGCGAGCCACAGTATTGACAATGTTAGTAGAATAATCTTGCTCAGGTTCAGCATGTTGCATACGTTTCTTTTTTTTACACACAGAAAGGATGAAAACTTAAAGACATGACAGACAAGTGACAGGCCGTGTCGTCGCAGCAGAGCATGCGCCGGAAATGAATGAAAGAGAGAGACAGAGAGACAGAGACTGAAGGAGACAGAAAGACAGAGAGTGATAGAAAGAGACAGAAAAAGAGGGAGAGACAGAGACCAGAGAGCCTATATTAGGTTATTGTGTATTACTGTACGTCCTGCACAACATTGCATTGTATTCTGTGTATTATTGTGTTGAATGGGTGAGAGGAGGGTGGGATGAAATAGCCTTCTGCTTCATCCAACCCCTTTTCCAACCTGTATTAGTGTAAAGATATAGGAAAATGTGTCCTGCAGGTTGGAAATAAATCTAACTAATGCAATAGAGAAGCATGTACTAACCTAAAATGCATGTACTAACCTGCATAATAATGTACAATTATTGTAGGTAGATGGTGTAATTAGTAAAAACACAGTTAAATGAAACGGCGAGGACTCCTAAATTATTCCATGTTTATTGGGGGTGAACGAGGCTTTACTTGTGCAATAATAGAAACCTCCACAACAGCTGAGGAGTGGGAGCCGAAGCAGTGGAGCAGGTGTGACCTCTGAGCCCGAATCTTTAGCTGAAGGGAAAACCGTGAGAGCCCAGATGGAGCAGGACACACTCTCAACATGGACTAAATTAACCAAGAGTCAAGACACAAGGTTCCTCCTGCACCGCGCCAAGAAACCCGAGAAAGTCTGGTCTCATAAGGACAGAAAAGTATTAGCTAAACTTAATAGCACACTACAAAAAGTGATGATGAATAAGTCAAAAAGTGCTCAAATGTGGCTCAAAATATATCTTAATTTTCCTAAAACAAGATTTACCAAAGGGAAAATGAGCAGAAAAGACTAAATGGTTTTGTCCCATTGGTAAATCTTGTTTTAACACAGTAAGAATGTGCTCAGATTAAGATAAAAACCACTTGATTCAAACAATTAATACCACATATTTTTTCATATTTTGCAGTGTTGAAGTTTTTATCAATCCTGAGTTTCCAGTTATTCATATTTATGCAGTAATACTTGCAACTATAACATTGAAATAAGGTCTATCTTATGTTAAAGTAGATGTTCATGGTACAACATTAGTCGTTATCAACAGACCTGTAGTTTTTATGTGTTTTACTTTATTGGAGAATAATGAGCCAACTCCGGAGCACCTGGAGGAAACCTACGCAGACATGGAGATAGTGTGCTGATGATGGTTTAGGTTTAGACTCACTGTCTGTTTGGCTTTAGAGATGTCCTCCATCTGAACGTGCAGGTCCTCGATCTCCACCTCCATCGACTTACGAGCTTTGACCGCAGCAGCACAGGTGAACTCTGACTCCTCCAGCTGCAAACAGGGACAAGACCCAGGACCAGACCCAGACCGAGAGACCCGGACCGAGCGAACAAGACCCAGACCCAGGCCGAGAGAACCAGACCAAGAGAACCAGACCCAGAGACACAAACAGAGAGAACCAGAAACCCAGAACAAGAGAACCAGACCCAGAGACACAGACAGAGAGAACCAGAGACCCAGACCCAGTGAGACAGACCCAGAGAAAGGGACCAAGAGAGACAGACCCAGAGAGACAGATCCAGAGAGGCAGACCCAGAGAAGCAGACCCAGAGAAGCAGACCCAGAGAGAGAGAGACCCAGAGAAGCAGACCCAGAGACACACAAACACACACACAGAGACCCAGTGTTATTCCATGTTCAATCCACACCTCCATTGCATCCGATAAATGATGTGGACCTGGTTTTTGAGCTGCGCGATCTCTCTTTTGCTCGGAGCGTTGTTCTTGATGTGGTCCAACATGATCTGTGCGTCGGCGAGCAGAGCTTTGGTTCTCTTCAGGTCTTTCCTCAGACGTTTCTCGGTCTCCACGTCTCCACCGCGGACCTATAGTCCCGACAGGTCACACACCATGTAAGGGAAACTCTCACATTCACATCGGCGAGACTTCAGGACTCCTTTACCTGGTCTTGTGCCGACAGCAGCTTGGACTCCAGCTCTCTCTTCTCCTTCAGAACCTTCTGCTTCTCGTCGTACTCCTCCTCCAGCTGCACCTCCATTTGCTTCAACTGAACACAGCAATAAAGATAAGAAAATATACTTAAAAACTCATCAGCTTTAGTTAAAATGCTATTGTCACAAACTCCAGTAAATAACAGACAATGTAGCAATTCCGCAGGTGTCCACAAGATGGAGGCACCTAGCACCTGGGAGCAGGAGGACACACCCAAACTCTAGAGAGGCTATAAGTAGGCCTTCCTGTTTGTAGTCCATTGTTTCCCCATTTTATGTTGACCATGCGTCTTTTGTAGTGATGGCAATATGAAGCCCCATGAAGCCTTGAGGGATCGCAGCCTATTGAGGTGAATCATGCTCCACTACGCCATCATGTGGACAAAGAAATACATAACACTCTTAAGTGCTTACAATGAATGGTGAGATCTAATGTTAAAATGTATATTTACAATCTATGGTCTAACGTGTTGTGTTTGAAATGATGCTTCATGAACTATGAACTATTTGAGTCTTTCAGTCAATTGTGTTGATACAACAAACACATCCAAAGTAATACAGTTCTACAGAAAGTGATTAATGGAGGAAAAACTACCAAGAGGTGGATTAATTAAACACAACAAACCATTTATTCCCAATAAATAAATACATTTACTTTGCAACACAAAATGTATTATGGGTAGACCGGGATTCGAACCTATATCTTCTACTTCGGAGTCCGTCATAGACCGACTGCGCCACACAGCTGTTGTGAAATGTATTATCCAGCGTATTATTACTAATGACTTGAAGCCTTGATATATGAGGTTTTACTGATGTGAAACGTTTTTAATTGTATTTCATATGAAGTAGTTTCTCTATACTTAGTACAGGACTGCTCCACATCACGCACACACACGTACGCACACACACGTACGCACACACACGCACGCACACACACGTACGCACACACACGTACGCACACAGAGGCAGACGGGCACAGCCAATACAGTCTATGGTACAGCCGCGGATCATAAAGCACCTGTCAAAGCAATGCACTCTCCGAACTATATGAAGCACTATATGAACCGTCACGTGGTGCGGCCGCTACGCGAGGCCGCTACGCGAGGCTTCGAACGTCACCACATACGTCACCAACACACGCCTCGAACCACGCTTAAAAAAATACGCCCCTTTTTTACTCGGTACACGCTTCGAAGACCCGGCACGCTCAGCACATCACTATTCTTTTGTTTCTGTTACAAATGTAAGTACCATTGTTTATGATTCTTGTGTATTGTTTAATTGTTTACCAGTCTAATATGATGATTATTGACTGAGACATATTTACCCTACTTTACAGAACCATGGCAACTACAAATAAATGTGGGGTATAATAAGCTACAACTGTTTCCTGGTGGTCTGTGTCTCCACTTCGAACATTTATACACAACTGCTATGGCTTTTAAACAGGGAATTGTTTTGCAATAATTATGGCTGGATCATGAATTAATCTAATGGTCTGTGGACTACTATGGTCCGGTGCTGGTCTCGCTTTGCTGTTTTCCTGTCACATTCAGGGGTTATTTTAAGATTCTGTTGCTTGTTTTTAAATGTTTAAATAGTTTAGCGCCTGTAAATCTGCTAGAGGCATTTCCCCTGTGCCTTGTGCCTTTCTCTGGTCACTCTCTCTGGTCTCTCTCTCTGGTCTCTCTCTCTGGTCTCTCTCTCTGGTCTCTCTCTGGTCTCTCTCTGGTCTCTCTCTGGTCTCTCTCTGGTCTCTCTCTCTCTGGTCTCTCTCTCTGGTCACCCTCTCTGGTCACCCTCTCTGGTCACCCTCTCTGGTCACCCTCTCTGGTCACCCTCTCTGGTCACCCTCTCTGGTCACCCTCTCTGGTCATATTTTATATCTCTGCATTTGTGCACATTTTTGCCAAATCCAAACACTGACAAAATAGAATTGCTTGTAATCAAAACCAAAAGTGTAATAAATCAGATCAAACACATGTATCGCAACTAATAACTTAGGAGACTCAAAAAACAAAGATTATTGTTGTTCCATTTTTGTTCCTTTCTCCTGCGACACTTCCGTCCCTGTCCACTATAATCTGTAAAACAGTCGTGGCGGCGAAAGTCATTAAAAACTCTGTTCCGTCCCATGTGTTTATTCGCTTTATGTAAATGTGAAGCCTCAGCATCAGCGCTAAAGATAATTATACTGGGCTAATGAGGCCCGAGAAAACAATCCAGAAACACTATTGTCTTAATGGGTATACGGCGAAAGCTATGTCTGCCCGCGCATTCAGGCATTCTGGGTAAATGTATGGCCCAATCACTGAATTAGACAGGTTTAAAAAAGCAAGAGATTGTGTTTTAAAAGTGTCAATGTTTCAGTCTTCAAGTTGCACGTAAATATGTGCAATATAGAGCAACAACGATCAGGTCACGTTTGATGGTGATTTTATGCAGATATGTGAAAAATTCCAAAAGGGCCGCTGTATTTTAGCCACTGTCTCCATCGTCGCAATCTCCGTCTGTACAATCTCCGTCTGTACAATCTCCTCCTACAAATACATGTGAGAAGGCTTGAGAAATCACCAACAAACTGATTGGAATGCCATACATATCACAGACAAGAAAAATGAAGAGAGGAGAGAGAGAGAGAGGGAAGAGAGAAGAGGAGAAGAGAGGAAAGAGGAGTGGAGAGAGGGAACAGGAGAGAGGGAAGAGAAGAGAGAGAGGAGAAGAAAGAGGAGAGGAAAGAAAGAGAGAGAGAGAGAGAGAGAGAGAGAGGAGAGAGAGGGGGAAGAGAGAGAGAGAGAGAGGAGGAGAGAGGAGAGAGAGGGGGAAGAGAGGAGAGGAAAAAGGAGAGGAGTGGGAGAGGAGAAGAGGAGAGGAGAGTAAAGAAGAGAAGAGAGAGAGGTGACAGGACAGGAGAGAGAGAGAGAGAGAGAGAGAGGGAGAGAGAGGAGAGGAGAGAGGGCAGGAAAGAGAAGAGAGAGAGTGGAGAGCGGGAAGAGGAGAGGGAAGAGAGCAGATGAGAAGAAAGAGTAGAGGAGAGTAAAGAGGAGAAGAGAGGAGAGATAGGGGGGGCAGGAGAGAGGACAGGAGTTGGAACAGGAGAGAGGAGAGGAGGGAGGAGAGGAGAGAGAGGGAAGAGGAGAGGAGAGAGAGGAGAGGAAAAAGGAGAGGTGAGGAAAGAGGGGAGGAAAGACAAGAAGAATAGAGAGGGGAGAGAGATGAGAGAGGAGAGATACGGGAGAGGTGAGGAAAGAGGACAGGAGAGAGGAGAGGAGATAGAGAGGAGAGAGAGGAGAGAGAAGAGAGAGGAGAGAATACTGAAGCTTATCTCCCAGCCTTTATTGCCGCAGCAAACAACACAAAGCAGTAGAGTTCAAATGGGAGAGCCGGCTAACGCTAACGCTAACGCTACGCTTACACCAAAGCATTCTTTTGGACCAATGACATCGCAGGCAGGAGGTGGAAAGGACAGAATAAGGGTATGTTCACTAATTACATAATTAATCATGGAATAGCATCGTTTATTTGGGCTGCTTGTTATTCAAACGCAGCCGCACTGGTTCAGCACTTGACAAAGCCATTAGGAGCAGAGCCATTACGAGCCGGCCTCCTACTCTCAAAATAATGTGTTTACAGACTGAAAGCAATATCATGAATAATTATTGTGAACATGTTTGAATGGGGATTTGCTGTTTTTGTCCTTGGGTTTGTCGGAAACAGCTCAACAATTGTTTGATATGCACTACACAATCATGAGTGTGTGTCTATTTTAAGGAATAAATATTGTGCAATATTTTTGGACCTTTAACAGAATAAAGAGTTTTTTTTATTTTATTTTTTCGTCTTCTTTGTCCGATTCAGATTCATTTTATTTGCCATTTGCAGTAAAACCACATTGGAATACATTTGCAAAAGTCCCCATTGAGCACAAGACAAGTACATGAATAAAACAAGAATTATTCAATGAGTTAATTACGGTCCAAATCCGATGAGAAAAATACTGCCTTAAAATGGACTGAAACTGCTCTAAATGTGATGTCATAGTGATACAATGACATCATACGGTATGGTGGCGCGGTGGTTAGCGCTTGTGCTTTGCAAAGAGAAGGTTTCTGTGCGCAGTTTGCATGTTCTCCCTGTGTCTACGAAGGTTTCCCCTATCACTAAAAAACATGTACAGCAGTTGAGGGTTGAATTAGTGTGAGTTTGTGAGTGTGGGACGACAGGTGGAAATTAGCAACAATAAGCTAGAGTTTGGTGTATAGTTACTGCTGTTCAAGACTCTACACTGTCCCATCTTAAATAAAAACATAAAAAAACAACAATAATGCTCCAGGATTGAGACAGGAGCTTTGTCGAGAGAGGGGCGGAGCTACATGTTTGCTGTGTGTGCGGAGAATGACCTTCTTGCTGCAGGATTGCCGGATCTCCTCCACCTCGTCGTCTTTGCTCTCGATGTCTTTGGAGTGAGTTTGTCGGAGCCGCTCCATCTCCATCTCCAGACGGAGTTTGGCCTAAACGGAAACAGAGAGAAACGATCACAGACGTTACCACAGATGCATTCACAAGCGTCCACAAACAAGTTCAGCTTCAGACGTTTGGAGCGTTTTGAAGAAAATCTCAGGAGACGACAGGAGTGTTTGGGATTCCCACCTGCTCCAACATCTGTATGGTGCCAGCCTGCTCATCCAGCTCCTCTTCCTGATCCTTCACTTTGGCCTCCAGGTCTCGCAGCTGCTTCTTCACCTGCGAAACCGTAGAAAAACCAGACGTTGTTTTCAGAATGTACTCGGGATCCAAGACTTGTTTTCTCACATTTCAAATATTCAGTTTGAGACCAGGTTCAATCGACCGCTTCACTAAAACATGTCGACTCTAAATCTTGTGTTGAAAAGTGCATCATGTGACTTTGTCCATGAGCTGCAGATATGGAAGAGGTGACCAAGTAGCGTGCAATATAAATGAAATGTATTATTAATTACCATAGTCCAGGGCTCGTCTCAACACCTAGCTTAGTGCTTTGACGGAAGATAACATTGATTTTAGATAGATGTTAATTCGATTTAATTTTTGATGCAGATTTTTTTATTTTTTAAATTGTCATCCATCCATCCATCCATTTTCTTCCGCTTTATCCGTTGCCGGGTGGCGGGGGCAGCAGTCTAAGCAGAGACGCCCAGACTTCCCTATCCACACACACTTCCTCCAGCTCGTCCGGGGGGACCCCAAGGCGTTCCCAGGCCAGCTGAGAGACATAGTCTCTCCAGCGTGTCCTGGGTCTTCCCCGGGGCCTCCTCCCGGAACACCTCCCCAGGAAGGCGTCCAGGAGGCATCCTGAACAGATGCCCGAGCCACCTCAACTGGTTCCTCTCGACGTGGAGAAGCAGCGGCTCTACTCCGAGCTCCTCCCGTGTGACTGAGCTCCTCACCCTATCTCTAAGGGAGCGCCCAGCCACTCTGCGGAGGAAGCTCATTTCAACCGCTTGTATCCGCGATCTCGTTCTTTCGGTCATTACCCACAGCTCATGACCATAGGTGAGGGAGGGAACGAAGATTGACCGGTAAATCGAGAGCTTTGCCTTTCGGCTCAGCTCCCTCTTTACCACAACGGTCCGATACAGCGACCGCATCACTGCGCACGCTGCACCGATCCGCCTGTCAATCTCACGCTCCATCCTTCCCTCACTCGTGAACAAGACCCCGAGATACTTGAACTCCTCCACTTGAGGAAGGACCTCTCCACCCACATGGAGAGGGCAAGGCACCTTTTTCCGGTCGAGCACCATGGCCTCGGATTTGGAGGTGCTGATTCTCATCCCAGCCGCTTCGCACTCGGCTGCAAACCGTCCCCAGTCATATTTGTTTAAATATATTTTTACTGATTTATTAGTTGATCTTCAATAATGAATGAATGAATGATACCTTTGTTAGTCCCACAATGAAAAAAAAAAAAGGTATCTATATTCAATAAATGCATAAATGTAATTTTTAAACGGGTAGGTATCACTTCTATGTCCTGTGTGGGTGCATGTGTGTGTGTGTGTGCATGTGTGCGTGTGTGAGACCTTGGCGAGAGAAGCCTCGTCCTTGGTTTCCTGAGAGTTGAGGTCCAGAAGCTCGGCCTCCAGTTGGTCCAGTTTGAGGTTCACCGCACACACTTCTACATCTTTGTCCTGAGGAAACATCACAAAAGACCAGTGACCAGGAGGAAGCAAGAGGGGTTTTCTGGTCTGTCTCTCTCTGGTCTCTCTCACTGGCCTCTCCATCTCTCTCACTGGCCTCCATCTCTCTGGTATCCATCTCTCTGGCCTCCATCTCTCTGGTATCCATCTCTCTGGTATCCATCTCTCTGGTATCCATCTCTCTGGTCTCCATCTCTCTGGTCTCCATCTCTCTGGTCTCCATCTCTCTGGTCTCCATCTCTCTGGTCTCCATCTCTCTGGTCTCCATCTCTCTGGTCTCCATCTCTCTGGTCTCCATCTCTCTGGTCTCCATCTCTCTGGTCTCCATCTCTCTGGTCTCCATCTCTCTGGTCTCCATCTCTCTGGTCTCCATCTCTCTGGTCTCTATCTCTCTGGTCTCTCTAGTCAATAAACTATAGGTATGAATGAATGGGCTCAAAAACACTTCAAAAGTAATGGAGAAAAAAAAGTAAAAAATGGCTCAAATCTTAATCAAACCTTAATTTCAGCCCATTCTGACTGACTTAAAACTAGATTTGCCAATGGGACAAGCCGAATTATCTTGTCTTAAAAAGATAGAAGAAATGTCTCCCCTGGAAGGAGAAAATACATCAACATTTCTTGAAATAAGACCTACCTTTGTCCCATTGGAAAAATGTGTTTGAACAGAGTCAGAATGAACTCAGAGTAAGATCAAAACCACTCGGTTCAAGCAGAACCGAGTGGTTTTGATCTTAACCTCATATTTGATAATTTTTTACAGTGTACTAAATGCAGTAATGGACAGAACTCACCTCCAGCTGCTGCCGTAGACTGAACGCTTCTCCCGTCAGCATGTCTTTCTCTCGGGCCAATTTCTCTCTCAGGCTCCTCTCCCGAGACGCTTCCTCCTGCGCCGAACTCAGCTCACTGTCAAACCTGTGTCCAGCCACAAAACAAACTTTAAAATCACATTCTACGAGCGAGTATAAGACTGCTTTGATTAAGTCTCTCCACGGCGGGAGCGGCTGCAGACTGAGGCCTTGCAAATATTTCTCCACATCTTTAGGTTGGAAATGTTGCTCAATGCATTCCCCCGCGACTTAAGCTCTAAGCTCTACGCCGTGTTTGTAGACTTTGAGCCCGAGTGGGAACTGGAACTAGGAATATAACTGTATTTTCCTTTAGTCAAGATTAAAGATAGAAGTGGATGGACTTTATACTTTCCTCTTCATTATACTAAAGATAGATTTTATACTTGCTTCTCTATTATGCAATAGTTAGAGTCTATACTTGCTACTTCGTTATGTTAAAGTTGGAGATCTATCTAGCAAACCAGGAACTAGTCCATTTTAGTGGTTTTAAAGTTCGGTACCTCTGCTTTAACTTTCCCCAGAGTTTTAGGCCTTTTTTGAAGATTCTGTGGTAAACTATTCCAGGCTCTAAACATCGCTGTACATAGACAGGTTATAGTTTCTTGGCAGAGAAGCACTGCCCTTCAGAAAGCCTTTAGAATAACTGAATATTTTGACCGTGTTGAGGTCGGACATGAACGATGTCTGAGGTTTAATGTTATTTCTTAAAAAGTTAGTTTTATTTTCGCGAAGCTAAACGAGCTGCTGATGCATTTTAGTGGCATGAGTCCAAACCTGTATCTGCCGAACTGTAAGCTGCTGTGGTTTACCGTATATAATGATTGTATTGTGTTGGAGAGACCAGAGAGAGACCAGAGAGAGACCAGAGAGAGACCAGAGAGAGACCAGAGAGAGACCAGAGAGAGACCAGAGAGAGATCCGAGAGAGACCAGAGAGAGACCCGAGAGAGACCCGAGAGAGACCAGAGAGAGACCAGAGAGAGACCAGAGAGAGACCCGAGAGAGACCAGAGAGAGACCAGAGAGAGACCAGAGAGAGACCAGAGAGAGACCCGAGAGAGACCAGAGAGAGACCAGAGAGAGAATGAGCTCAGAGACCAGAGAGAGAGAGCTCAGAGAGAGACCAGAGAGAGAGAGCAGAGAGACCAGAGAGAGAGAGAGATCTCAGGGCGAGCTCACAGAAAGACCAGAGAGGGAGACCAGAGAGAGACCAAATAGAGAGACCAGAGAGAGAGAGAGAGCTCACAGAGATACCAGAGAGAGAGCTCAGAGAGAACGAGACCAGAGAGAGAGACCACAGAGAGATCAAGAAAGTGTCCGGAGAAAGATAGACCAAAGAGAGACTGTAGACAGTATAGAATCTCCGATTCCCTAAAGCCTCCAAACCCTCCCATGCCCAGGGTCAGGGTTAAGGTTAGGGTCAGGGTCAGGGGTACACCACAGTGACCCTAACCCTGATACCACAATCGTTCTCAGTGAGGTCCGTACTTGCGCTGCTTCTTCTCCAGGTCGTGGTTGCGGCTTTGCTGTCCCTCCAGGTGCAGTTTGGTGTCCTGCAGCTCGGACGTCAGCTTCTGGGCCTTCTTCTTCAGCTGCTGGATGTTCCTCTGAGCCTCCTCGTTATCGGCTTGGAGGTCAGTGATCTGGAACCACACAAGGAGGAGGAAGAGGGAGGTCTTTATGTGACGCACGGACACGGTGGATTGTGTTGCGTTGACCATGAGAGGACATGTATATTGTACATATTTTATTTCATTATATTAGTGTGAAAACAGAGCTATTACATGCTACTCAAGCACACGTTGAACAAATACACAGAGACACACAGAGAGACACACGGAGAGAGACAGACAGAGACAGACAGAGACAGACAGAGACAGACAGAGACAGACAGTCCTTGCCACCGCTTACTAAATTTCCATTTTGGCAGCAACACGTTTTGTTCCAAAAACTGGTTTCAAATTGTATGAATAATTTAGTGGAGGAAGTTTATGAGAGTCCGAGAGTCCGAGAGTCCGAGAGTCCGAGTCTAATGTTATGTACCGGTACATGTAGGGTAATTTTTGAGCAGAGGCCAAGACAGGAAAAAGTTATCTCCATCGAAACAAGACATTTTCAAGACAAAGTGACGGATGTAGATCTAGTTTTGAACAGGTTTTGTCTCAGTGTATTTCTTGGTTCAGTCCAGGCTTAGTACTGGTTTAATCATGGGATCGTTTAGTCATACCCTTGACCTGGGTTCCTAGTTGAACCCAGATTTAGTTCATGTTTAGTGCTGGTTTAGTTCTGCTTTTGACCTAGTTTCGTTTTGGTTTAGTCATTGTCTAGTCCTGGTAAGAGAGGATTTAGTCCAGCTTTGAGCTGATTCTGACCTGGTTTATTTCTGGTTTTAGTTCTGGTTTTGTGTTGGTTTAGTCTTGGTTCAGTCCTGGTTTAGACCTGATTCAGATCTGCTATAGTCAAATAAAAGTAGAATTAATATATTATGCACTGTCCCTTTAAAGCGTTTACAACAGTCGTATAACTATTGATAAAACACATGTGAAATATTGTGTCATGAGTAGAATCCCTGAGGAGCTGGTTGGAGTGCAGAGGGGAAGAGGGGGGCAGTTACCGATGGGAGACCCAGGACTCACCCTTCTCTCCAGCTGCCTCTTGCTCTGCTGCTCCACCTCCATCTTGTCCTCCAGCTCCTGCTGAAGCCTCTTCTTTGTAAACTCGATCTCTCTGATAGCACGCTCATATTTCAGCCGCCACTCGCCTCCTGCAGAGAAACAGCAGAATGAAGGAGTGAGAGATGAGGCTGTAACTAATTATAGCTGTTACGCATTTCTTTGACTACTTCAATCAAACTAGATGTGTTGGTTACTAGTCATTTCACTATATGTTATTGACCGGGTTGTTAACATTGTATGTGACAAATAAACTATGTATAATGTAATGTTATGTAATCTATGTTAACCCTTTAAGCGCCAAAGTCGCAATATTGCGACAAGCAACATTGCTCACTTAACCTCTTAAGCCCAGAGGCCTTTTTTCCCGAAAAAGCTATAATCTACATTTACTAAGGTTTCATATAGTATTTAGCCAGATATGTGGCCAAACTTGGTACCAAATTACCTGGTGGACCTTGGGGATTGCTGTGGAAGTGAAAAAAGATGATAAATTGTATTGGTTGCCAATAAAATTAGGTTGAAACAGACAATTCTAACTTCCGCCTAAAAAAAAAACACATATTTTCCCTCAAAAAAGCTTTTTCCCTGTCTGTGGTGTAGCAAATAAGAACTAAAATTGACAGTTCCCGATATTTTGGACCAGTCCAGCAAAAATTGTGCCAAATAAACAAACCACTGCAGAGTTGTACATGGAATTGGAAAAAAAGTCCAGGCGGAATCCAACTGTGCCAAAATTGTGCCAAATGGCACAAACATGTCTGTAGAGTCATCGAGATAAACTTTGGCACCCGGTTCCCTAGCAAGAAGCTCTACAACCTCCTCGCGTGTATAACGCTGTTTTGCCATTTTTAATTTCGTCAAAATTCCGAGTACCTGCCGTGCGTAAAGGCTTTGCGCACAGCCTCCTTCTGCCCCAACTATACGCATGTACACGCCTCCGCGGTACTTTGGCCAATCAGGGCATGTTATACCATTTTGGAAAGAACACACCTTCGGCTATCAAAAACCATTGAAAACGTATTGATGGACAGCACCTGTGGCCAATCACAGGAAGAGATACACAGGTACGTGACATGACGCACGGGTGCAGCCTATCACAAAGGGCCTCTTACAGAAGGAGGAAGTAACTGGTATCTGCCAGGTCGCTAGAAAGCCTCGCTATGAGGTTGAATACAAGAAAAAACGGACTTTTATTCCTATGGAAATGACTTGTGATGAAAAAACAGCAAAAGTAAGTCGACTTTTACTTCAACGCTGATGTTTTACGGCTTTGTTTTCTGGCATTCGTCTGCGGCTTGGTCAGCGAGTATTAGAGCTAGCGTTACCAGGCTTAAAGCGTTGTGTTCAGCTCGGAGAGGGCTTTCTAATGGTATGCTGACAGCAGGGCTACTTATTGTTTTGAGGGCGCTTGTGACGCCAAAGCAAACATTTGTTTCGACATGTGCTTTATGACGATTTGTCAGATTGTGGTTTGTTGTTTGAACCTGGGTCTGTTGAACTGAAATTGAAGTGGATAATGTTGTAGCTGAGAGTTGTCCGAACACGAGGATGTGAAACATGTGATTGTCAGTTGTTGTATATGTCAGCTACGGTCCGGACAAGCTGCAGCAAGGGGGGGCGGACCCCAAATGGGGCGCAATCGGGCTGAAGAGGTTTTAAACAGGCTGTATCTAAAAATGTGGTGCAGAATCTTGTTAATACTTTTCACCAGGGGTTAGTGGACATGTGTGCCTGTAATATGAGCAGCATTTGTGGGTGTGGTTATATTGAACGTTTTTGAGTAAATTGAGTTCGTAAAACACCTGCGGCGCAGCGGCGCGGAGGCGAAGCAGCAGCGGTAGAGCTGAGAGGAGCGAGAGCAGAGCAGAGGGAGAGAGGGTTTTTTATTTACTCACGAGGTCTTCAGTACCAGAGAAGTATTTGGTCTGGTACTGGCTCACTCAGATTCAGAGGAGGAAGGCACGCAGGTGTCCAGTGAAGCAGACACGGACATTATGGGTGACGGGGAGACCGCGCCATATAGTCCACAATCAGCCCCTGTACAGCGGCTGCTTGTCCTCCGTGTGGCCGCGGTAGAAGCATTCTGTGAACGCCAAGCAGGATCCGTGGTGGAGGGGACAGGGGCATCATAACACCGGGCATGTGGGAGAAAGTAGCGGGGGTAGACATCCACGGGGAACACGGGAGACGCGGGAGAAGTCGCGGGAGAGCCGCGGGAAAAAAACACATCGCTAATCGCGTTCACTGCCTTTACCAGCAGCGATGATGAAGATGAAGGCAGTTCTTGAGAGAAAATAATCCACAAAAGTGGATCAGAAGTGTTGAAGAGCCTGTTGTATGTTGTTGAGACAATCTGACAAGTTCTGTGCCCATTCATTTCATCTCTCTGTTTCTAAACGGTAAATCCTGGAGCCTCATTTCCACTGAGAAAAATAGTAAGCCCACTACTTCTCTGAAAGGGAAATATTGAAACCAATCTCAAGATTTCATGACTGTAAACTATAAAGAGTGCTGTCTTGATCACTGAAGGTCTTTGAAAATAATACAATTCCATATGGCCGCAAACCAGTGCTAAAACATTATCTATAATCTGGATCAGGGAATTTATTTCTATCCCAAATTCATTTCATACTAAAGATATTTCACATTGACTGTTTATAGTATTCCCTGATCTCAAATAACTCCCAAGCTACAGCTTTTTGAAGTCTTTATACAATAATTAACATTTTCCAAAATGGCCGCCACCTTGATGACGTCATAATATGCAAATTAGACGACGAATCAACTTCCATCCCAAAGTTTGGTTCAAACTGAAGATATTTCTAATTTACAGTATGCCTTTATCTCAAACCATTTTAAAGTTATAGCCTTTTGAAATCTTGAAATCAAAATTGTATATTTTCTTGAAAAAACTCTGGCGCCTAAAGGGTTAAGATAAGAGTTCCTTTATTCATCCCAAAGTGGGGAAATTTCGATGTTGCAGCGCACAGACAGGACAGTAGTAAGAGCACACAGTGCTGTAAATGCTGTAAATGCTTCTATACCCAGTCTTTCAAAATAAAATATGTAGTAGGGCAGGATAAGTGACATTGTTCAGTGGATATTCTGAAGGAGCAGTATTGCACATGATTTAGTATTTACTTATTTACAGGTGGATGACATTTGCAGACTCAGCAGTTCGTATTGTACAGTCTGACAGCAGCAGGAAGGAAAGACCTACGGAACCTCTCCTTCACACAGTGAGGGTGAATTAGTCTGTCACTGAAGCTGCTCTCCAGAGCAGAGAGAGTGTCCTGCAGGGGGTAACAGTCATGGTCCAGCATAGATGTTAGTTTGTCCAGGACCCTCCTGTCCCCCACCTGCTGCACTGTGTCCAGGGAACAGCCCAGGACTGAGCTGGACTTCCTGATGACCTTGTCCAGCTTCTTCCTGTCCCTCTCTGTGATGCTGCTGCTCCAGCAGACCACACCGTACAAGATGGCTGATGCCACCACAGAGTCATAGAAGGTCTTCAGGAGTGGCCCCTGCACTCCAAAAGACCTGAGCCTCCTCAGCAGGTAGAGCCGGCTCTGGCCCTTCTCGAAGAGGGCGTCTGTGTTATGAGTCCAGTCCAGTTTGTGGTTCAGATGAACACCCAGGTACTTGTAAGAGTCCACTCTCTCAATGTCCTTTCCCTGGAATCTGGATGTTCACTGGGGCTGGAGCGGCAGAGTGAAGTCTGCGGAAATCCACCACCATCTCCTTGGTCTTCCCCGCGTTGATGAGGAGGTGGTTCCGCTGACACCAGTCCACAAAGTAATGTATAACTCCTCTGTACTCTGTGTCATCGTCCTCGGAGCTGAGTCCGATGATGGCAGAGTTGTCGGAGAACTTCTGGAGGACACAACCGTCCGTGTTGTGTCTGAAGTCAGCAGTGTAGAGGGTGAAGAGGAACGGTGCGAGGACTGTACCCTGGGGGGCCCCCACACTGCAGGTCAGGACTTCAGACACAAAGTCCCTAGTTCACACAAACTGGGGTCTGTCTGTGAGGTAGTCCAGGATCCACTGGGACAGGTCGTAGTCCACTCCAGCTGTCTCTAGCTTGTCCCTGAGAAGCCTCGGCTGGATGGTGTCGAAGGCACTGGAGAAATCGAAGAAGAGGATCCTCACAGTGGAGCCGGGTTTCTCTAGGTGGGACAGGGTGCGATGGAGGAGGGAGATGATGGCCTCCTCAACTCCGATGCCCGGCCGGTAGGCAAACTCCAGCAGGTCCATCGCCGGGCTCAGAGTGGAGTTATAATACAAATGTACCCAAAAGACAATAACAAATATACCATACTTTCTGCAGTACTAGGCACCTGTATAGGACACATCAGCAACATTTCAAAAGAAAGTACATGATGGCCACATATAGGCCACATATGTTGTAATGTAGCAGAGAGAAATAGCTAGTTCAAAGACAGAAGGCTCTTGAGTGGTCAGTTGTTTGAGCTCATATCTGGATTTACAAAGACAGTACCACAACATCACAGAGAGGGTTAGGGTAAGTAATTGCAATACTAAATAAGACAATCATTCATTTCTATTCATAACCAAAAAAGTGTTAATATGCAAATATATATGTATGCCTGTATGTACTTATACAGTGTATAAGTACATAGTATTCGGCCCCCTTGAACCTTTCAACATTTTGCCACATTTCAGGCTTCAAACATAAAGATATAAAATGTTAATTTTTTGTCATGAATCAACAACAAGTGGGACACAATCGTGAAGTGGAACGAAATTTATTGGATAATTTAAACTTTTTTAACAAATAAAAAACTGAAAAGTGGGGCGTGTAATATTATTCGGCCCCTTTACTTCCAATGTTGTCCTAAATGACTGATGATGATAAATAGAATGCACCTGTGTGTAATCAAGTCTCCGTATAAATGCACCTGCTCTTTGATAGTCTTAGGGTTCTGTTTAAAGCGCAGAGTGAACCATGAAGACAAAGGAACACACCAGGCAGGTCCGAGATACTGTTGTGGAGAAGTTTAAAGCCGGATTTGGATACAAAAAGATTTCCCAAGCTTTAAACATCTCAAGGAGCACTGTGCAAGCAATTATATTGAAATGGAAGGAGTATCAGACCACTGCAAATCTACCAAGACCCGGCCGTCCCTCCAAACTTTCATCTCAAACAAGGAGAAGACTGATCAAACATGCAGCCAAGAGGCCCATGATCACTCTGGATGAACTGCAGATAACTACAGCTGAGGTGGGAGAGTCTGTCCATAGGACAACAATCAGTCGTGCACTGCACAAATCTGGCCTTTATAGAAGAGTGGCAAGAAGAAAGCCATTTTTCAAAGATATCCATAAAAAGTCTCGTTTAAAGTTTGCCACAAGCCACCTGGGAGACACACCAAACATGTGGAAGAAGGTACTCTGGTCAGATGAAACCAAAATCGAACTTTTTGGCCACAATGCAAAACGATATGTTTGGTGTAAAAGCCACACAGCTCATCACCCTGAACACACCATCCCCACTGTCAAACATGGTGGTGGCAGCATCATGGTTTGGGCCTGCTTTTCTTCAGCAGGGACAAGGAAGATGGCTAAAATTGATGGGAAGATGGATGGAGCCAAATACAGGACCATTCTGGAAGAAAACCTGTTGGAGTCTGCAAAAGACCTGAGACTGGGACGGAGATTTATCTTCCAACAGGACAATGATCCAAAACATAAAGCCAAATCTACAATGGAATGGTTCACAAATAGACGTATCCAGGTGTTAGAATGGCCAAGTCAAAGTCCAGACCTGAATCCAATTGAGAATCTGTGGAAAGAGCTGAAGACTGCTGTTCATAAACGCTCTCCATCCAATCTCACTGAGCTCGAGCTGTTTTGCAAGGAAGAATGGGAAAGAATTCCAGTCTCTCGATGTGCAAAACTGATAGAGACATACCCCAAGCGACTTGCAGCTGTAATTGCAGCAAAAGGTGGCGCTACAAAGTATTAGCGCAAGGGGGCCAAATAATATTGCACGCCCCACTTTTCAGCTTTTATTTGTTAAAAAAGTTTAAATTATCCAATAAATTTCGTTCCACTTCAAGATTGTGTCCCACTTGTTGTTGATTCTTGACAAAAAATGTAATTTTTATATCTTTATGTTTGAAGCCTGAAATGTGGCGAAATGTTGAAAGGTTCAAGGGGGGCGACTTACTTTCGCAAGGCCCTGTATATTGTATGTGTGTGTATACGTATGTATAGCTATATGTGTATTTCTATATACTTATATGTTTCTGTATATGTATGTATATAACATGCATCATTTGACTAATTAAGTTTGGTAGATGTTGTTTTGTTAATAGGACATTATAAACCACAGCTTCAACTTATACACCTTTTTTTTTGTTACCTTCTTTATTTGCAACAAAATAAACCTATATATATTTTGATTTTGATTTTGATTGATATTCATTGAGCTAACGGGTTAGCATTATCCATCTCTATACAGTATGGCTATCATTTGAGTAGTTTTACAGCATAGGCCCTAAAAATGTGCCAGTATAAAACATATAGCATGTGAGGCAATGTCATTCTGAAACTCGAACAGATATCATGTCAATGTCTCTGCTTTTCTCAGTCCTTCTCTCACACACAAAGGAACCTTCCCTCCAATCGCTGCTGCCCCCAATGCCTCACTATTCCAATTTTCTTGCCTTTTGTCGGGGCATTGATCATCTGGAATATGCTGTGGTTTCTTTATTCTTCCGTCTTTGTTTGGTGCAGTGGGGGGCCGTAGTGGAAGAATTTCTCTCTGTTCGCATGTGGATGTCTTCTATTCAGAGTTCACGCCGCCGTACAATGGGAATTGTTCGTCAAGAATGTCACCGTGAGATTTCTACCTTTTCAAATATGTGCTTTTGTGTCGGGGTTTTAGAGGAGAGAAGGTTTTAAAAAGGTACGATACAAAATTATTGTTTGATGTTTGGTGGGACATGGAATCAATATGTTTTTGTGTGGCTCCAAATCGCTTTTCTTCAAGGACATGTATTCAGACATTTTTGGTTTAGTTCATTTTTGGACTAAGTCCTGGATTAGTCCTAGTTGAGTGCTGGTTTGAGTCCTGGTTTAGTCCTAGTTGAGTGCTGGTTTAAGTCCTGGTTTAGTCCTAGTTGAGTGCTGGTTTAAGTCCTGGTTTAGTCCTAGTTGAGTGCTGGTTTAAGTCATGGTTTAGGCCTGGTTTAAGTCCTGGTTTAATCCTAGTTGAGTCCTGGTTTAGTCCTAGTTGAGTGCTGGTTTAGGCCTGGTTTAATCCTAGTTGAGTCCTGGTTTAGTCCTAGTTGAGTGCTGGTTTAGGCCTGGTTTAATCCTAGTTGAGTCCTGGTTTAGTCCTAGTTGAGTGCTGGTTTAGTCCTAGTTGAGTGCTGGTTTAAGCCTGGTTTAAGTTCCAGTTTAATCCTGGTAAAACTCGCTTTTCTTCAAGGAGACGTGATCAGACATTTCTGAGCTGCAAAGCAGACCTGGAGTTGTTTTAACACGACAGACAGAACTTATGACTTAGACAGAATTATGAAACAACCAGAACTCCCAGAGCTGTCATTTTGACTGCCCCTATTCAAATCAATTTGACTTTTATTAATGAAAGTCTAATAACTCGGCTCATGTGCATTCTTGGTCTTCAGAATCTGTCTCTATGTTCAGTTTATTTCTATTTTTTCTATCTCAATAACATTTTATGAAAATTTCTTTTACTTTTGAAACGAGAGTAGTTCCACCTTTACCTCCAAGAGTGGAGCCAGCACCAGTACCACTGGTTATAGCAAGGTAATGTTTACTTTCTGCCAGTTAGGATTTGAACAGAAGCATAATACAGATGTGTGGAATTTTTAACTTTATCACAATAAAAAACCAAGTATAAAACGAACTTTAGCATAATAAAGAAGCAAGTACAAAAATGTAGCAGCCCTAAGTTGGAACAAACATATTAAATAAAAAAGTTAGGTGCCCCAGCTTTAAGGACCTCATAATATTCACTTTTAATACTTTTCATGACCCTGTATATTGGACAGACACGTTTGAGCTTCACTTTACTTTATAAAAGTGCTGTGACTCCTACTTCCATTGTGCTGTCACTTTGTCAACCCTCTCATTGTTTGCCACTAATTCCCGGCTGTCGTTGTGAAGCGACTTGTACGACGACAGTTATAAACTCAGCTCTAAAGAGAGGATTCTGTAGGTTTAGAGTTAGACGGACCTGAGTCATCGTCGTCCAGTTCCCCGTTCAGCTCCGAGGCCCTGATGAGCCGCGCCTCCATCACCTCCATCTCCATCGTTTCCATCTGCTTCTTCATTTGGTCAAACTTCCCCTGGAAAAAGAAAACAGGAAGTAAGTGTCACCACGGCAACAAGCACATGATCCTTTGGTGTTCATTTCAGTCGTTAAACAAGAATATTGACTACAACTATTAAATTCAATACAATTATATGTATTTTTGTGTAGCCCTAAATCACAACATTAGTTATCAAGGAGGATTTTACAATCTACTGTCTGTCCATGAGTTTACTTTGTAGAGCTACTTGTACTAGTCATTTGCAGCCTGCTGGGGTCATGTTATGTGGTCCTGTGCCTTGCTCACACAAAGTACCATATATAAACAAAAGTTCACAGTATCGTCCAGCCAACTTCAGCTCCGCCAATACAAAGGATAATAATATTAGTAATAACTAGAGCTGTCAAAATTATCGCGTTAATTCACGTTAATTACCGTTTTCATTAACACGTTCAAAAATAATTAACGCATTAACTGCCATTGACGTGTTAACACGTCAATTGCGTTTCCCGCTATTTTCACGTTCCCAGATGTCTGTTGTATCAAATATGTAAGGCTTGAAGCAATATTTTATCGAGCCAGCAGATGGCAGCATTGCTCTATGAATGGTTTGAAAACAGCTAGATGCACAAGTGCCTCTTTTTTCTCAGCTTTCTGGTGATTTCAATAAAACTTACCTCTACTCGACTGGGGATTACAGGGGAACGAAACAAGCTAGAAACAAAATTATTTTTGCTGATGAAAGTAGACAGTCCATTCTTTCAGAATCTGGTTTTGGATTTCAGATAGTCATAGTACACAATATTCTGTGGGTACCTGTTCTGAAATAGGCTGGCAGTCAATCGCATGTCCGAATGACCCGCCCATTTATAATAATATCACTCAGAATGCCACGGACACGTGCGTGTGTGATGGTGACAGCGGTAACGTGGTCATATAATACACGCACAGGGGCCATTCTCTGATGTTGTGTGACACACGGAGGAGAGGAGGAGACACGCTGAAATGCAACCAAACTCGCAAAATTGAGGCTGGGGTACCTACATTTTTCCTTTCTTGTTGGTTGTACCCAAAAGTAGAAGGTTGTGAGCAAGTCAAACAGATTGAAGTACATTTGGTCTGAATAACAATGTGTCATTACATTTGATAATCTCATTTAACTTCAATTGGAGTGGATTTGAAATAGAATGTAAAAAATGCGGTTAATCGTGAGTTAACTCATCATTACTATGCGATTAATCAACTAAAAATTTTTTATCGTTTGACAGCCCTAGTAATAACCCAATGTTTTATTTATTTAAGTTTATTTGAATAGGGACAAGTATGTCACATAAGCTCATGTTACATACTACAACATTTTAGCCAAAGCTAATTCTCAATGTCCGTCCCTAGTTGGGCCTTTACATAAGGCTCTTGTTAAGCTCTCTCTTGAATATTTTTTTTGTATACAGTCCCTTGCTATACTGCAGTTTACCTGGTCTCCCTCTCTGGTCTCCCTCTCTGGTCTCCCTCTCTGGTCTCCCTCTCTGGTCTCCCTCTCTGGTCTCCCTCTCTGGTCTCCCTCTCTGGTCTCCCTCTCTGGTCTCCCTCTCTGGTCTCCCTCTCTGGTCTCTCTCTCTGGTCTCCCTCTCTGGTCTCCCTCTCTGGTCTCCCTCTCTGGTCTCCCTCTCTGGTCTCCCTCTCTGGTCTCCCTCTCTGGTCTCCCTCTCTGGTCTCCCTCTCTGGTCTCCCTCTCTGGTCTCCCTCTCTGGTCTCCCTCTCTGGTCTCCCTCTCTGGTCTCCCTCTCTGGTCTCCCTCTCTGGTCTCCCTCTCTGGTCTCTCTCTCTGGTCTCTCTCTCTGGTCTCTCTCTCTGGTCTCTCTCTCTGGTCTCTCTCTCTGGTCTCTCTCTCTGGTCTCTTTGGTCTCTCTGGTCTGTCTTGTCTCTTTGGTCTCTCTCTCTGGTCTCTCTCTGGTCTCTCTCTCTGGTCTCTCTGGTCTGTCTTGTCTCTTTGGTTTGTCTCTTTGGTCTCTCTCTCTGGTCTCTCTGGTCTGTCTTGTCTCTTTGGTCTCTCTCTCTGGTCTCTTTGGTCTCTCTTTGGGCATGTCATGTCATTTTCTTCCCCTTTATTAATCCATTTCTGGGTTGGGGGGTGGAAATCAGAGCTGCCACTCTCTCTCTGGTCTCTCTCTCTTCTACCCAAACCTTTGGACTAGAGTATTCCCCCAGTCGTAATTGGCCCATAGAATAACGCATTAAAGCACCAAAGGTCTCCTTAAAAACTGCTTTGTTTACGTCTGAACGGCAGAATCCGTGTTGTCGCTACAGAAAGTCGTCAAAGACTGGAACCGGGAGAATATCTGGACATCTGTTTTGCTTCAGCGAGGCCCACGGTGGAGGGACAGGGACGTCACCGACAGCTGAACACGCCGCTATAATTTTATTTCTGGCAGAAATCTGAATTAAACAGACGAAAAGTGACACATGGCTTTGTTTGGAAGACTCACTCCGAGCCCAGGCACAGCTGTTCACTCCAAACAATTAGAACTTCTCTCGCTGACACCGACCACGCAAAGTATGTTTGAATGTATTTGGAGGTTAACTTCTGCCTGCGTCAGAGCGTAGGGGTCGATTAATGGCTCTGTTAATGTAATACACTGTGAAAACGGCAGACAATAAGCCAATATTTGCTTGAAATAAACCAGATCGAAATTGATTTTTAAATATTTTGACAGAGGTGAGACAGGATTTGCTGCTAGAACAAGCAGTTTTTGTCTTTTTCAAGTATAAAGCTATTGTTTTTTCTCTCCAAATTAGGACGAATTGTTGTAAAGTCTTATATTGAGTCAAACAAGACATTTTGGGTTATTTTGAGACTGTTCCCCTAAAATGTTAAGATAGAGGGGTGAGTGCTACACTGGAAAGAAGAAAATAGGACTGGTGATAAGGAGCTGCGCTGGGGAAAGCCAACATCCACTGGGACTTACTGGCCCAATGTAAACACACCTATGTCTGTAGTCATGCTAGGACTGGATGGGAGATTGAAAGCCGTTTATTAATGCAGACCTTTTACCGTAACTAAAAGACGTTATCTGAATCAGCCACAGAAAACCCAGATATGTCCAGCTATAGTATACCGTGTTTACCTGGTGGATAGGTGATCTGAAAGACTGGATATTGCATTTATTTTAACAGCTAGAGGAGATTACAATAGGAGCCAGAATGAGTTCCAAACAAATATTTTTCTTTTAAATAATGTTCAATCTTTTTCTCTATTTTGAGATTCATCATTGAACAGACTGGACCAAAGCCAGTTTCTTACACAAAAAAGCAGGTGCCAGTTTACACAAAGACTATTGTTTTTGATGATTTTCGGAAGCTAAAGTAGATCTTCTTTCAGTAAAATCCCAGCTGCATCTGTGCGTTTTGGCGGTTCAGGCTTTCTTCACTTAATCTCTCCCGCTCTGTGGAAAGTGGTACCTCAGAAGCAGTATGTCCATTACCCTCCCGTCCCCCGCTAAATTGGATAGTCAGCTAGCGTTGTTAGCAGCATGTTGCTAAAAGGCTTATTGTGCTATAAAGCCGCGATCCATCTCTATTTGCAGAGTGGATACGGAGGCTCCATTTTCATTAGCTCTAATAGTGCAGCGTTGAGAGGCCTGGGGTCCTTTTAACGGCTATCAGCAATAATGTGAGGGGGGAGAACAAGGATTGACTCTAGACTCTAAATAGAAGCTTTAGCGTTTGATCAACAAATCATTTTTAATTAATAATTTTATCTGTTCGTATGATCTTGATTTTATGTTTATGACTGAAACATGGCTTGACCATAATACAGGAGATGCAGTTTTAATAGAAGCCTCACCACCAAATTTCAAATTTGAATATGAAACACGGGAAAATAAAAGGGGGGGGGGCATAGCAGCAGTTTTTAAAGATCGTATTGTCTCCCATAGAGTGTCTCTTGGGAAATTTTCATCATTTGAGTATGTTTCTTTTAAAATAGAACAAAAGAAATCTTCTTCCATTCTTATTATTGTTGTGTACAAGCCGCCACAGTCATGCCATAGTTTCACTGATCATTTCACTGAGTTGCTTTCAGTTGTGTGCACAGATTTTGATGGTTTAGTCATTATAGGCGATTTTAATATTCATGTGGATAATGTTAATGACAGATACGCAAAAGAGCTGAGTTCCATACTTGAATCCTTTGGCCTCACTCAGCATGTGAGTGGCCCCACCCATAGCAGAGGACACACCTTGGACCTGCTTATCACGAAAGGGGTGAATATTTCAAAAGTTAATGTAGTTGATGTTGCTCTGTCGGATCATTTCTGTGTATTTTTTAACATGTGTTTTGCTACCAGACCACCCGCTAAATATGAAATTGTTAGAAGTAGACACTTAAATGAAAACACGGGTGAACTATTTATGGGAATGATCCATTTTGAGAACACATCATGTTCTACTGTAGATGAACTGTTTAACTCTGTCACCTCTAGTGTGTTGAATGTTCTGGACGCCATTGCCCCTGTGAAGGTAAAAATGGTCACAAATAAGCAAAAAGCCCCATGGATAAAAGCAGGCCCGGTCAGGGCACAGAAGCAAGAGTGCCGGAGAGCAGAGAGAAAAGTGGAGAAAGTCCAACCTCCAGGGTGATTATAGACTCTTAAAAGAGAAGTTGTGTGAGTTTAACAGAGTACTACGTAGAACAAGAGAATTATACTTTTCTGAAACTATTGAAGGCTGCAGCAACAATCTGCGTGTTCTATTTTCAACAATCAATAGATTAACGAACCCCCCTGTTGAGTTGCCATTAGAACACTACTCCAAATCCAGGTGTAATGAGTTTGCACAGTTCTTCAGAGACAAGGTTCAGGGTATCAGAAATGCCATCACCTCCACAACACAAGTAACAATGCAACATCCAGTGAGGCTTTGTGAGCTAGCTCAATTTGCACCTGTCAATAATGAAACTGTTAAAAAGATAATCACAGGTCTTAGTTCCTCTACCTGCAGTCTGGATGTACTACCTCCTAGATTTCTGAAGTCTGTTATGTGTAGTCTATTACCCTCATTGACACAAATAGTAAACATGTCTTTTTTATCTGGAACATTTCCAATGGCCCTGAAAAAGGCAGTCATTAGGCCCCTCCTAAAAAAGAGCAGTTTGGATGCTGCGGTACTTGAAAATTACCGTCCCATCTCAAATCTGCCTTTCATGGGAAAAATTCTTGAAAAAGTTGCCTACCAACAACTTACTGAATTTTTAATATCTAATGACTCATTTGACATGTTTCAGTCTGGCTTTAGACCACACCACAGTACTGAGACCGCTCTAGTCAAGGTAACAAATGATATTCGGCTTAACACTGATGCAGGAAAAGTCTCTGTTTTAGTCATGTTAGATCTGAGTGCCGCTTTCGACACCGTTGACCATGAGATTCTCATGCAGAGACTGGAGGACTGGGTTGGTGTTGCTGGTACCGCCCTAAGCTGGTTTAGGTCCTATCTAGAAGAAAGGAAGTATTGTGTGGAGATTGGAGACTATGTCTCAGATAATATGGCCCTGACCTGCGGAGTGCCACAGGGGTCGATTCTGGGACCTCTCCTGTTCAATATTTACATGCTGCCATTAGGTCAGTTAATTCAAAGTATGAAAGTGTCCTACCACAATTACGCTGATGACACTCAGATCTATGTCTCACTGACTGCAGGAGAGCATGGACCGGTGGACTCACTCCTTCGCTGTATCCAGCGGATCAGTGAGTGGATGCAATGCAATTTTCTCCAGCTAAATGCGGACAAAACCGAAATGATTGTCTTTGGTCCCGAGAAACAAAGAGAGACCGTCATTTGTCACCTTCAGTCTCTCTCCCTAAGGCCTTTAAATAAGGTCAGAAATCTGGGAGTAATAATGGACTCTGACTTAAACTTCAATAGCCACATTGGATCGGTAACATCAGCAGCTTTTTATCATCTGAAAAATATTGCCAAAATTAAAAATATTGTGTCCAGGGCAGACTTGGAGATTCTTATCCATTCTTTTGTTTCCAGTAGGCTGGATTACTGCAATGGCCTGCTCACAGGTATCTCCAAACATGCAGTAAAACAGCTGCAGTATATTCAAAATGCTGCAGCCCGAGTCCTGACTAGAACCAGGAAGTACGACCACATTAGTCCGGTCCTCAGGTCTCTGCACTGGCTTCCCGTGGCCCAGAGGATAGACTTTAAAGCAGCTCTCCTGGTGTACAAGTCTCTCCATGGCCTTGCACCAAAGTACATCCATGATATGCTAGTCCCATATGAACCAGCCCGGACTCTGAGGAGCGCAGGGACGGGACTCCTGTTAGTGCCCAGAGTCAGGACTAGACAGGGGGAGGCTGCTTTTCAGATTTATGCAGCTAAAGTCTGGAACAGTCTTCCTGAGGATGTGAGACTGGCTGCCTCTCTGTCAATGTTCAAATCCATGTTAAAGACTTTTCTTTTTTCCCGTGCATACAACTAGAGAATTTTATCTTTTTAACACACCTTGTTATTTATTGTTGTAACTTTTTGTGTTTTTAACTATTTTATTGTTTTTAATTACTTGTGTGATTCTTATGTTTTTAAATTACTTATGTGATTTTAATGCTTTTTAATTACATATGTGTTTTTTAATTGTATTTTAATGGTGATGATTTGTGCATTGTGTGGTGTGGACTGTGAGGCGCTTTGTGTTGCCCTGTGCAGGAAAAGCGCCCTATAAATAAAGATTGATTGATTGATTGATGTTTCTGTAGAAAAAGTTAAAAAACAAATGTATTTTAATATTGGTTCAAACTAAACGTTTCAGAGTAATCATTGTTCTCTATTCTTTTGCATTTGAGATCGCAAACAGTACGTTCCCAATATTCTTTACTTTGTTGATTTTGACTCAAGATTAGTTCCATATCTCTGCATTTTTATGTGCTGTAATTATTTATTATTTATTTTAAAGGGGACATATCATGAAAAATCCACTTTTTGTGCCTTAAATGCCTTATGTTGTGTAGTTGGAGCCTCTAGAAGTGCAAAAAAGTTGAAATCAGTCTCTTCATGGGTTGCAGAGAACACTTCATATTCTGTTTAGGTAAGATTTTTCAACCCGTTCTGATTTTGCCATTCTCTATTACGTGTTTAGAATTATTACGTCACAGTATTTGCAGCGAGACTGCCATATAAGGGCATGGGCGTCTAACAAAACACTTCGGCCCAGCCCTCCTCTACTGTGCATCACTTCGAATTTGTAGTCCAAGCTCAAGGATGCCAGCGAACAGGGCTGGACTGGCCATCGGGCGTACCGGGCAATGCCCAAAGGGCCGATGCCCATATTTGGGCCGGTCTGTCTGCCTCATACAAAACACATGTTTATGAGAAGTGTAAATCCGTTGAGAATTGTTCGAGTGGGGCGCGCGTATCCGCGGGGCACCTGCTGTATGTACTCGAACGGGATTCCGCCACCTCAGCGGCCACAGTGTTCCGGGGCATCTGCGGCCGCTTTGTAATGAGCAGCTTCCGCGTCCAGCCTCACCGCGTCCAGCCTCACCGTGTTGTGGCTGAGCGCGCAGCCTCAACGTGGCCATGTACCCAACCCCATAAACGCGCACAGGACCATGCGTGTCTTTGAGTAATCTGTGCACCCAATAAATACACTGCTGCAAGAAACAGTCCGCGTCTCCCTCTCCTCTCGAAGCGCGATTAAACGCCCTAAATAAAGCTCTGATACCTACATTTAACATTGCATTAAAAGTTCATGTTTGAGCCCAAAAGTAACATGTTGTGAACAAATTAAACAGATTTAGAGCCAGCAAATGGCTGACAATATGCATTTCAGTCTTTTTTGACCAATTCTCATCCCTGTAACAAACAATAGTGTTGTCTGTGTCCACCTCCTTCACTCTGAGACATGTTTATTACTCTCTTTAATGCAGACTATTGCATTTTATTTTATTGTTGAAACTGCACATATCCTGATCCTCTACAGTATTTGCTTCCACATACTGTATAAACTAGGAGTCGGCAACCTGCGGCTCCGGAGGCGCATGCGTCTCTTTCCTTCTGTAGAAGGAAAAACGTTCTTAACGTTTTTAAATGCTGTAAAATTGTGCATAAGTAATATTCAATTTAAACATTTCTGTCAACGTAGTGCGTCATATCCTGCGACGTAGGCCCGCGCCAGGCGGCCGCTGTTGTAAACAAACCGGCGTGTGAGCATCATAGACTGTGCGCATGGATCCCAAAGCTAAAAAGAGGAGAGTCGATAATAAGACTGGACTAAGAATGAAACTTAACATTTGCTTTCAGTCAATGAGGAAGGCTTGCTTCATGTTTGCGATGTAATGAGAAGTTTCTATGAGATAATTGTATCTGTGCTTAGAAACTACAAAAATGCCCGCTCGGGGTGGAGTTGAACCTGCGTCACCTGGATGGGGGCGTGGTCAAAAGCGCCTCATTTGCATTTAAAGAGACAGCACCAAAACAGGTTGCTCTCAGACGCACCTCAGAACAGGTGCAGAGGAAAGGCCCGTGGAGCTACAAATAATGAGACTCAGACCCAGGCATTGCAGTTACGCTTTATATAGGCCACAAATTAATGATTTAGATGTAAAAATCAATTATTTGAAAACACGATATGTCCACTTTAATGCTTTGTCTTCATGTTTGAACCTTTCAGCTGTTCAGTACCTGTAGGTCTCCCATGTCTCTGCTGTTAAGTACCTGTAGGTCTTTCATGTCCCTCTCGAGCCGCAGTCTCTCCCCGGTCTCGGACTCCAGCAGCTGTGATGCAGACTCTCCCGTGTTCCTCTCGTCTGCGAGCTCTGAGGACATCTCTGAGATCTGCAACAAACACATGGGTTTTAACACATGCATCCAGTGGTGTGTAGGCACAGAGACACTATGGAGGTGGGAGACACATTTATTTGACTTATCAAGAAATATAGGTTTAAAATAGGAGAGAGGAGAGGAGCAGAGAGAAGAGAGAAGAGAGGAGCAGGGAGGAGAGGAGAAAGTAAGAGATAAGAGGAGCAGAGGTGAGAGAGAAGAGGAGAGCATAAAAAGAAGCAGTATAAAATCTAATAAGAAAAGAAGTCTTAAAATCTCTAGCTTTACCAGGATGAAGAAGAAAGACTAAAGCATAAAAACCTCTGACTTTAGCATAATTACGAGTAAATATAAACTGTTGCAGTAGATTCTAGTATATTCACACAACAGACTCCTCTAGGTCTGTGTCTCAGTCTGTTCCAGGTCTCGTTTTGGACTCCTCCAGGTCTCCGTCTCCTCCAGGTCTGGCCTCTGTCTCCTCCAGGTCTGGCCTCTGTCTCCTCCAGGTCTGGCCTCTGTCTCCTCCAGGTCTGGCCTCTGTCTCCTCCAGGTCTGGCCTCTGTCTCCTCCAGGTCTGGCCTCAGTCTCCTCCAGGTCTGGCCTCAGTCTCCTCCAGGTCTGGCCTCAGTCTCCTCCAGGTCTGGCCTCAGCCTCCTCCAGGTCTGGCCTCAGCCTCCTCCAGGTCTGGCCTCAGCCTCCTCCAGGTCTGGCCTCAGCCTCCTCCAGGTCTGGCCTCAGCCTCCTCCAGGTCTGGCCTCAGCCTCCTCCAGGTCTGGCCTCAGTCTCCTCCAGGTCTGGCCTCAGTCTCCTCCAGGTCTGGCCTCAGTCTCCTCCAGGTCTGGCCTCAGTCTCCTCCAGGTCTGGCCTCAGTCTCCTCCAGGTCTGGCCTCAGTCTCCTCCAGGTCTGGTCTCAGTCTCCTTCAGGTCTGGTCTGTGAGTGGGTCTGTTTGTGTTGTAATGGTGTGGTGTCTGTTTTTCTGGGTCTGCTCCTGCTGCGCGGAGAGGATCCAGGTGTGAGCCACCTGCTGTCGCCGCTTTTATCTCCCAAATTAATTTAGAGCATCGAGAAATAATGAAAACAACAGCCTCTGAAAGCACTCTCCTGGTAATGATGGCGCACATTATCCTCAGCGAGATCGGCTTTCAGAGACGAGACTCTGAATGTGAGGCCGTTACAGCTTTTGCCGCCGCAATATGCTTTGAAACAGAACTGCCACAAGGAGAGATGAGACTATTTATAATTAGGGATCACCAACCTGTTCAAATCCAAGGGCTAAGTCACGTGTGTGTGTGTATATGTGTGTGTGTGTAAGTGTGTATATGTGTGTGTGTAAGTGTGTATATGTGCGTGTGTGTGTGTATGAATATGTGTGTGTATAGGTGTGTATGAATATGTGTGTGCGTGTGTATGTATGTGTGTGTATGAGTGTATGTGTGTGTGTGTGTGTATATAGGAGTGTATGAACATGTGTGTGTGTGTGTGTGTGTATGTATGTATGTGTTTCTTTGCGCGTATGAATGTGTGGGCATGCGCATATGAATGTGTGTGCGTGCGTGTGTATTTAGGTGTGTATGAATATGTGTGTGTGTGTGTGTGTTTAGGTGTGTATGAATAAGTGTGTGTGTGTATATTTATGTTTGTGTGTTTGTATGCGTGTATGAATGTGCGTGTGTATATGTGTGTGCGTGTGTGTATATTTATGTATGTGTGTTTGTATGTGCGTATGTGTGTGTGCATGTGCATCTTAATGTGTATGTGCGTATGATTGTGTGTGTGTGTGTATGTATGCGTGTAGGGATGTGTGTATGTACTGTATATGCGCGTATGAATGTGTGTGTGTCCTGCCTCTTTTTCAAACAATTTAGTTATTTTTTAAATACTTTTTTATATCTTGTTTATTGTTTATAGTTTCATTTGCATAAAGTTTGAAACACATTCTTACTACTACTAAAATAGAGTTAAATTTAAATGAATTGGGGTCAAAAATGGGGAAGAAAGTATTACCGTACTTTCTGGGCTTTAAGGTGGACCTGTTTATAAGACCTACTACCTACATTTTAAAAGAAAGTAATAGTTGTCCACATACAGGCTGCACGTGAACAGAGAATTGGCCTCTTTTAGCTCTAACACACAGCTTCTGGTCCTCACCCGACTCTCCAGACGGTCCGTGTTCAGCCGCAGCTCGTTGCGTTCTTTCTCCACTTTCTCCAACTTCTGCTTCAGCTGCTGGATCTCCTCCTGTCGCCACAAACAAACACACACATGGTCAAAAGGCACATTCACGAGTCAACTCTAACTCTAAGATTGTAGAAAGACACATCTCACACACACAAGTATTCCTAACATTCAAAGTCACTGCAGGAATAGGATTAATTATTTTTATTTATTTATTTTTTTCTTCAGAAAAAGCTGATTTGAGCGGCACTGAAAAAACTAATTTGAGTCAGATTTTTGCAGAACTACAAGATGAATATTAAACATGTCCTACGGAGAAAGTTGTGCATCCTCATAGACGCCAAGACTTTTTGTTTACAAATACTTGATTTGAATGATTCTTCAAAGTATGGCTCAATAATTGGCAAAATGATAAACTATTTGACTGAATATGCAACTGTCCTCAAGAGATCCTAATCATCGGGTCATTCATTTTAACTTTATACACAGGACATACACTTTGCAATCTCCATATGGTTTGGGATTGCCCAGAGGTTAAACGTTTCTGGATATCTGTCTGTAAATTATCATCCGATTTGTTATTGAAGGATATCCCTTGCACTCCCGAAGTCTTACTTCTCAATGATAGCTCCACTCTCGGGTTTAATATAATGGAAAAACGTGTATGGTTGGCAGGTCTTACAGCAGCTAAGCGTATACTTGCTTGCAGATGGAAGACACCACAGTTCGTCAACACGAAAAAATGGCTTAGAGACTTTGTTGATATTGTAAAACGAGAAAAAATGGGTCTCACAAATGCATTGTGCAAAACCAACTAACATACAGTACAATACTGGGACAGTACTTGGGGAAGTACTTTCCACCAAGTTGCACTGTGCAACTAGTATAGGGCTTTTTATAGCTGAAGGAACCTAGATATTGACGTCTAATATACTGCATAAGGTCTGGGCCTGGGTGGTGGGGTGGGTTGGGGGGAATGGGGGGCATTGGGAGGGACGTTGTCATTGTTTACACACTAATTTAATCTCTTTCCCAGTACTGTTCTATTAAACTGTATGCATTTAAGCTACTAAAAGCTTCAATAATGATCATAATGAACATTGTGTGCCTGTGATCAGGTGGTATTCCAACACTGCTTGGAACATTTTTGTTGAATTTATTTTGTTTTTTTTGTCACTGGAACATGTACAGGATGTGTCTTTTGTGAGCTTTACTCATCCCTGCACTCTCCTTGAAAATAATAAAACATTTATCAAAAAAATAAATAAAAATAAATGTCCTACGAGTGGAGTGGTGTGTTGAATAAACTAAGATTTTGTGATTCCTCATGGTCTAAGGCAGGTGTCTCCAACCTGTGGCTCGGGACCGTCTTTCAGGTAGCTCCCCAAAGGATTCAACAATGATCCTGATTCATTCACTTTTGAGTCATTATATTTTAACTATAAATCTTTTCATTAATGCAGGGTTACTGTACGGTACTGTAGTTATTATATTTACTACAATTTTATTACGACTGTAGTAGCTCTCTGCAATTTCTGTTTTATAAAAGTAGCTTTCTTGGTCTAAGGTGTCAAAAAATACATACATAGCTTAAAGAACTTCTCACCCCCGCTCCTCGAGGTTTACGTCACTCACATTCTCATTTCAAATCTCCCTCCAAATGGGCGTAGCCTGGAGGACTAAAGGGGACAGGCGGGGGTGAATGTTGGAAGGGGTCGAGGCTGTGATTGACACTTGACATCAGCATTGGCCGTGACAAAGATGACACAGTGACGCCAGCTATATAGCTTCTGTGCGGTCTTAGGAGGTGGAGGACTTCTCTCCACCGTCCTGACCGGAGGTTGAGAGAGGAGGCAGACGGCGGCCCTCAGCCTTATAAATTTGAGCTGCTTGCTCAGGGCGAGCTAGCGGGCGAGCTAGCGGGCGAGTTAACCAGCGCCACCGGGGGAGCCGATGCTGCGGAGGCAGCAGGCCACCACAGAATGGGGCCTGTTTTATTTCAACCTCCATTAAAGTGATAGTCTGTAACTCTAAATGAATTACAAATTTTAGGAAATGTGTTAAATTGACCTCCTGGCCTTAAATGTTGATCTAAAATAAGTCATTTTATTGATTCTAATATTACGGGCAAGTCCCGCCTTCCCTGCTCTTAGCTATAGTTCAGAATCCACGGTGCCGTCGAGGTTAACCAATCGAGTCATGCCAAGGGCTGTCAATCATCAGCACTGATGCTTGTAGCTGTGCGCATGCGCAGTTGTTTGTTTTCGCGGAGCCTCTATTAGGCTCTGGAACTACATGAAAACTGAACAAAGAATTCTGAACATCCGCGCTGAGTTACTTATGTATATACTGAACCTGTATCCATAATCAGATCCTCTGCAGGTGTGTCCTATAATGTGCAATTCATGATAATAGCACTTCCGGGTTTGCCGCGATCGCTTTTTTGTGTGCATAAAAACATATTTTTTTTCATTAAAACGTTCACAAATAATTCTGAAAACCTTCGTGCATGTGTATTAATAATGTATATGTATAATATGTTCTCTGATTAACATTTCAAAGTGTTACGGAAACGTAGGTGTAGACCAATCAGAAAGGAAGGGGGAGGGAGCTTGCGTTGTTTTTTTCAAATCAAGTACCTCTGTCTCTCTCTTTCTGACAAACTCCAGACAATCACTTTAAGTTGGCGAAGGAATCACGCAAAAATTTTAGTTTGCAAACTCCAGCCTGAGGAGGGAGTTTGCAGTCGTCTCCCACACCAATTGTGCGCAGCCACTGGCGCCTAATTTCTAAGTTCTAAGGAAACCAATGCAAACTAATAAAAATAAACCAATGGGATTCGTTCATCCCCAACGAACCAATGGGAGTTATTGGATTATTTTCTAAAACCTAAAAGGGCTGAACAGAAAAGGCCAATTTCACGTTTGACACCCACTCTCCTTGGTAGAGCTCTTGGGCTAGCTCTACCCAGTCTCTAGTGTATTCTATGGCTTTTACAGATAACACATCTCGGATAAAGACAACAGCGTGCTCTACAGTCTGAAGTCAAGTCCCGGTAGATATCTTTCCAGAGAGACTATTCCAACATCCCCAAGCACAGACTGTAATATTGGCTCACGTCTTTGCCCCGGATCTGCTCCTCCGTCAGCTGGACTTCAATCAGAGGGCGGACGGTGGTGAAGAGTTTCCACCAGGGCCATCCCTTCACCCCGCGGTTCTTCTTGATGTTCTTCTGAATGCAGCGGATCGCCAAGTCCTGGATCTGAAACACAAACGCACAAACATGAAGGCTTCGATGGTCAATATTTAAAAGAGAAAAAACAAATCACAAATTGATTTCTGTGTTGAAGAATAGGAGTCTATGGATAGAGGATGATACAGTTATCCTTAAGACCAATGAGAACAAAGTTTACAAAGGACTCATATGGAAAATATGGACTTTATTCTGTGTTGCTCCCAAACCAGTCTGACCGCTCGTGTCCTAGTCTGCATGCAGGGTCGAATTGATCAGATCGAGTCTTGTGATGCTTTTAAAGGCGTCCCGTATGCTGCCCCGTTTGTTACAAGTGTCTTCATGGCCTTGCACCAAAGTACATCTGTGACATGAACCAACTCAGACTCTAAGGAGCACAGGGACAGGCTCCTCGCTGGTGCTCAGAGTTAGATTTATACAGCTAGAACCGTCTTCTTGAAAATCCGAGACAGGCTTCTTCTGTCACAATGTTCAAATCCAGGTTAAAAACAGTTCTGTTAAGCTGCAAACAACTGAAGGATTGTATCTTTAATCTTTTTAATGCACTGTGATTATTCACTATTTTCACGTTCCCAGATGTCGATTATATCTAATATGTATGGGGATTAGCTTTAGAGCATATTTTATCGAGCCAGCAGGGGGCACCAGCGCTGCCTCTGGATGTTTTGAAAACAGGATGCACTTGTTGTGCCTCTTTTTCTCAACTTTTTGTCTGAGACTGGTGATTTCAGTAAAACTTCCCTCTGCTCGACTGGGGATTACAGGGGAACAAAACAAGCTTGAAAAAAAATGTTTTTTCTGGTGAAAGTAGACAGTCCATTCTTTCAGAATCTGGTTTTGGATTTCAGTCATAGTACACAATATCCTGTAGGTCTTGAAAAATAAATAAAAATCATCAGAAACTGCTGGCATTATGGGAGTACCTGTTCTGAAATGAGCTGGCAGGTAATGAGTTAATACTTGCTTAACCAAATATTCTCTATTGAAGATTTTTATTTCACATTCTAAAACATGAAATGAAAATAGTCTCATTAACATTTTTTGTGGTCTAATGAAATATGTACTTTGATCCATGTATAAGTGTTATATACTGTCTAGTCTATACAGTAGGCTTTAGTCTTGGTTTACAACCGATGTGACTTCAAGGAAAAAAGAGACAAAAGAAAGAATGAAAATCTGGTCTCTTGGAAACTATAATTTGGCCAAAAGCTGAACTTGCCTTCCTTGTACTTTCTCCTCTTGTGAAATAAACAGTTAAGTAGATTTCCGAAAAAAGCTGACAGCATTTTTAATCTTCCCTTTCTCCAGCGGCTTTACAGCAGCGAGAGGTGAGGGTTGAGTCAACATTAGCGCCTCTCCGCTTCTCTTCTTTGACGAATGGCGCGGGCAGAGACAGTTCCCACCACAAATTAGAGCTTCAGCGTTCAGAGGAGAGACATTAAGGGCCATCAAGCCGAGCCGCGAGGGCCGTTTACTCTCCACAATCGGGACTAAGTGCTCTCAGCGCGCACATGAGCACAACCTGTTACAACGTCAAGGCCCCATTCACGCACTTATGAAGATCCAGGCTTTCTGCACCCAAACTGTATTGGAGGGGGGTGGTTTTATTCGCCAGGAGTCGGAGCAATTCAGAACAAGATCCAGTTGTAATTGTACTTTCGACGGTAATAGCTTGACCGTGTGAAAGTCTTTTTACTGGGGGATTATGGATGGATACCTGGGTGTGTAGGTGTCTCTGTGCTTATGTTTAATACAGAACTTTCAACTTTTAACCTGGGATGAGTTTACTACTGGATCCTGCACTGCCACACGAGACATAGAGGACATATGCAAATATTCCAGCATGTTCTAATATTGTACAAAATATCTGATAAATCTGCTGTAAAAAGAAATATTTTATTTTAGTATATTGTTCACTTATATAATGCTCTGTGCTGCTCATTCAACACTGACATTTCCCCACTGTGGGACAAATAAAGTATTTCTTAAATGTAGAACTTCAGTCATAACTGAAAAAGCCTCCTCTTCTCTTCACCTGATGCGTACTTAAGGGGCAATCTTTTCCTCCTGAGGGTCACATTGGAATATTAGCTATTATATAATTGGCTTGGACACAATTTCTAATGTTTTTCTCAGGCATAATTTTACACACATAGAAATATTATCATCCAGAGCTCTGCATGCAGTACTGTGGGATTCTATAGGGTGGACATTTCTCTCTCCTCATTTTATATCAATACAAAGGGGCCACATCTTAGCAACAGACTCCACCCATTTTCTTAGGTGTGTCTAGTTTTACCCTAGCCTGGCCATAGCCATCCGTACACTCCGCTAAATCATAATTTCACTGCATGTAACGTCTGGGTCTGGTCACTGTGTTAGCGAATACAATCGGTCGAATTTTGACCGGCTACTCAGAGAGCGCGGAAGGCGGGTGTTGTAGGTCGGTGCCGGTGACGTCAAGAGTTTGCGCCGAAAGGGCAGGTTGTAGTTTGGCAATGGTGAAGAATGCGATAGTAAAGTAATCCGGTCTGGTTCTATCAAGAAATTGAAGCAAGAGGAATGTTTAGCAAATGTAGTCGCTGGTCAAGATTGTGGCGCTACTCCCCACGGGCTCCGTTAGCAGCAAAGGAGATGGCTAAAGCTAGGCTAAATGCTAACAACACACTCGCGCACATTACATACGTCACAGTAAACTCTGATCCAATCGTTTCAATCTGCAAAAGGAGTTAACCCCTCCCACCTGTAAACAGAGCTCAATGGAGAAAATCCAGACCTTAGTATGAAATGTAATTTGTACTAAGGTGTGGTACGACCAGGCTAGTTTTACCCTGAAAATTAGAGGAATGTGCTCCTGCTCAGGTTGGAACTAAAACCTGGAACCGGTTTGATACCCCTGCTTTAGTATGTGATTGCAGATTTGGTGCTGTTGTTTTAGAAGAGGGAGAGGGTATCTCCATCTCTATCTTTATCCGATTTGCCGTTTCCTGACGCAGCCTCACAGTGCCGCCATCAGGCCTGGCACGTACATTACGCTGCCCTCGGGTGAATTGGAATAGTCTTCAGCTTTGTGTGGACGGAAACATTCACAGAGGCGGTGCAATTCAACTCATTGTATTTTTGTATAGTCCTAAATCACAACAGTGGTTATCTCTGAGGACTTTACACAGTTGTGGATTCGCCAACACAGCTTAGAGAATAAAACCGTTCAAACACAGGAAAGGCAAACGATATAGGAACAAATAGAGACATTAGTCCATAAGGGGCCTATGACCAATGTCCAAAAAAGTTAATAGATGTCTATAAATATCCTTAAACGTCCTGGATCTTTACCTCTGTCCTTAGACCCTCCTGTAGTGGCAAGGGACAACCCAAAAACAGTCCGTATGTAATTCTATTTCAAAAGTGCCAGCCGATTAGTTTCTGTGTCAACAAAGCATTGGCAGAGCTCCTTTGTCTCTCTTTGGGGAAAGCCAAGTGTACCAAACGAATCATCCTTACCCATGTGTGTTTATGCATTTGTTACACCCGTCCTGCAGATATTAAACCATATGGCTCATACATAACATAAATTCCACTTTCCATTTCCTACAGCTGTCCCTTGAAGCTTGTAAATCACGGCCCCATCACTGGCCTGCCCTCTACCCGTCCTTCACTCCGCGGGCGCTAACAGCTTGTACACCTGTTTCCTCTTTGTGTCTTCAGGCTAGTGTTTAATTAGGCTGCGATTGGAGGGTCCCCGGTTCCTCTTCTCCCCCTCTGCATGACAAGCGAGTTCGGAGGATAAGACGGAAGAACTTCTTCAGAAAGCATCGTCTGTTGCCTCCGCTGAGACCCCAGCTCAGCGCATTCGTTCAGAGCGGTGGAAAGAGGCTGGTGCTCTCTTTGTTTTTGCCGCTTTTGCTCTGGGTTTAAAAGAGACTTAAGCATGCGTCTGTCTGCTTTAAAGTCATAGTTCATTATGGTGCGTTTAGTATATTTTCATTATCATTATGAGCTAGCAATACAGTCTTGAGTAATACAGTACAGTCTCTATGAGTATGTAGTCTGTTCATTGCTATTCACTTGCTGTCCCATTGTCAGTTTCATGATGTGATGATGGCTGCACCCTCCTTCCTGCCTGGGTGCTTCTTCAGTTCCCATTCTAGATCCAGGACTAAGGCTGTAGAATGGGAACTGAAGAAGCACCCAGGCAGGAAGGAGGGTGCTTCTTCAGTTCCCAGTCCTGGATCTACAGCTCGAGCAGATCCCACTCTCACTTTCTTCCCACCGGCAGTTAGGTCACAAAGCGGGTTGAATACAGAATTGTTTATACATGCTGTCCTGTGTTGCTTTGTTACATGTTTTTGTTACAAAACTCTAAAACATGTATTTTCTCAATCGGAATGAGCCTATTTCTTCCACAAATTCTGATCTGATACTAGTGGAATTGTGGACTTAACATTCCAATACTCCAGTTGCGTGTTGCAGTAAAAACATGAATTTTGAATGACCCGAGTGAGATCCATCTTTTGGGATAGTCCTGCATCACATAATATATTTTCTTCTCGTGCCTGAAGAGAAACGATGGGAGTTGCAGATTCCCCAGAGCGGCCAAACAAAGCCGAAGACAGAACAGCATTGATTTTGTGAAGCAGCGGAGGACGCATCAGTGGCTGAAGGATTAAACAGAGAGAGAGAGTTCTTGTCAAAACTCAAGAGCTGCTTCTCTCTGTGGGAATGTTGCTGCATCGGAAAGTTCTATAGTGTGCAATTAAAACACCTTCTTTCAATTCAATCACATAGAGCAGAGGCAGGCAATCAAGGACAAAAAGTTAAAGAGGACGATAATTTCAGAAATCCATGAATAAAATTAGATATTTTGAGTTTTTAACCACCCGCTCTTAACCTTGCAAAAACAAAAATGTTTCTAGGAAGAACTGTATACATTACTTAATAACCTCAACAAAAAAATGTTTAAAGACTCAAAACATGGGTTAAATACTGAGTAGTTTGGAATTTATTTGGGTAAAATACTGAATTAGTTTTGGTAATCTCTCAGGAGAAATGACTTCAAATGTATTTTAAACTAAAGATATGATTTCACATTTTAAAACATACGCAAAATACTGGAAAAATTATGCATAATATTTCTCCTTTATAAACAACCTTCTGGCACATAACAGCTTTTGCGTTATTGCTCTATGACAAATCTTTAGAAAGTAGGCGTTTTCAGACTGCAGACCTGTGTTTCTGACTCGTGTTGAAATACTGTGTCCATCGGGGACAACATCTGGAAAGAGTGGCGTGATATTTGGACCTGTGTCTGCTTATCAACACAGGAAAAACAGAACTGTGTCAACTTAAAGGGGGTCAAAACTTTCATATTTTAAAATCATTCTAAAATCGCAGCACCCCAGGGATTAACATTACAGTATAATGGTCTATGGCAAGCTAATCATGCAAATTGATGTGTTAAATTGATTGGTGAAGAGACTAAGTCGCAAGGCGGGTTTCAAGCAGACATTTTTGACACAGCAACCTGTGTTGCTCAGTATGTAAGGAAGAGGTGACCTGGTTTTTGCCTGGTGAGAATGAGCTCTTAGACGTTTTCTGGGCTAATCTTAATATTGTATTGTGTCAGTGGGATAAAGTAGATTTAATAAAATATGAATTAAAATGTTGCGAAATGAAAGACTTCTGAGTAAATCCTTCATAATGTCCTGTGTGCGTGTGCGTGCGTGTCTGAGTGTGTGTGTGCCGAGTTCAAGGTCTCCTTCGGACCTCATCACCGCAAGCAAACACTGGGCTCTGGAGAAGGGTGAGGCCGGAGGGGGATCTGCTTTGTCTTGTAGTGAACAAATTGAAGTTGCTAATGGATTTTTTTTTGCGCAATGTAGACACTTGGTTTGAGGGAGAAAATAGAGAGAGCAGACTGTGTGGAAGAAGGTGAACTTTGAGACTCTGCGTTTCGGACAAACGTGGAGTAATACTGAGAAATTGGAATTAGTAGAATATTCTAGAGTGAAATGTATAACAAGATATTTAACATGGATTCAATTAAATATGTTTTTGTAGCTCAAAATCACAACATCAGTCATTTCTGGGGACTTTACAAAGTTTTTGATTCGCCAACAACAGTTCAAACCCTGGAAATGTTATAATAACAAACATATAAGAGCGATTAGTACAAAGGGAGTGGGATGACCAGTGTCCTAAAGCGACCATTGCTCCTGAAAGAAGTCCTAGTGTCAGTGCAGGATGGGTCAAATGCAGAGGACACATTTCCCTACAGGGACAATAATGTATAACTTAACACCAAATCTGGCTTTATTCCAGGTCAAAATAAAGGAATTATATGTAATCTCTCTGGTCCATCTCTCTGGTCCCTCTCTCTGGTCCCTCTCTCTGGTCCCTCTCTCTGGTCCCTCTCTCTGGTCCCTCTCTCTGGTCCCTGTCTCTGGTCCCTGTCTCTGGTCACTCTCTCTGGTCACTCTCTCTGGTCACTCTCTCTGGTCACTCTCTCTGGTCACTCTCTCTGGTCACTCTCTCTGGTCACTCTCTCTGGTCCATCTCTCTGGTCCATCTCTCTGGTCCATCTCTCTGCTCCATCTCTCTGCTCCATCTCTCTGGTCCATCTCTCTGGTCCATCTCTCTGGTCCATCTCCTGGTCTCTCTCTCTGGTCTCTCTCTCTGGTCTCTCTCTCTGGTCTCTCTCTCTGGTCTCAAAAGCTCTAACAAACTCTAAATAATGAAGTCTGTCCATCTGTAACAACAACAACAACTTATTCTTGTATAGCCCTAAATCACAACAGAAGTCATCTCAGAGACTTAACATAACCCTTGAAATCACCAACACAGATCAGAGAATCAACAGTTAAAACACAAAAAGAATATAGAACACATGTCCTTCTAGTTGGACACTAACTGTCCAACAGACTCCTGCATCGGCAAGGAAAAACTCATAAGAAAACCCAGTAGGAAAAAGTGAGAAACCTCGGAGAGATCCACATTTGAGAAAAGGATCCGCTCCACATGGACGGACGGGCTGTAGATCCAGGACCTAAGCTACAGAACGAGGACCAATGCCACGCAGCAGACCAATGCCACGCAGCAGCCGCAGAGTGTGGACAGGTCCGGTGCAGGACTGAAGCGCCCCCAAGCAGGTCGGGTCGGGCAGGGCAGTAACATGTACTATTGTCCACATAGTGCTGCTTCTGCTTCAGCCTCAGCAGTCTTCTACCAGAAAGGAACAATACTCTAGTCTACCACTATTGGAGCAGATTTGTTCTCCTGCTAATCTCGCGGTGGCAGAATATAAAAGAAAAATAACTTACATTACCGTGTTACAGCAAAAAGCAATACTTTACAGTAATTACATTGTCTTGCCCTTTGAGAATAACTTTTCTCTTTTGAACGGGAGAAATGTTGCTTGAAACAGGAAGCTGGAGCCAAAGAACAGCGCCGTTTTTAATAATGGTGGATTTCCTAAAGTCAAGTGAAGGACAGACACTGGGTAGTGAAGGGGCTCGTTAGGCAGCGTTGTAATCGAGTTTGTTTTGCTGAAAATGGTCGCCGCCGCCGCAGTGCGAGCGCAGGCAGAGGCACCATTAGTTTGAAAAGCTCTCGGTTTGGGCCCATGGGGGACTCAGCGACCAGAGACCATTCATCATGGGGGGAGGAGGGGAGAGAGTAAGGGAGGAGGGTGATGTAATCCAGCACTCCTCCTGAAGTGGTGGGAGAAGGCGCCCCACGGAGGAAGAAGTCTCCACACTGTTTTAAGTTCACAGAATCATCCGTTATGTGTCTCTCTGTACGACTACTAAATAATCATATTGTTTACTCATGTGTGTGACATCACAGAGAGCCTCTAGTTTCACAGCTGAAACATCTGTCCTGGTAAGTTCTGTGATGGTAAGTGTCAAAAGTCAGATTCTAGTTTTAATTTAGGGAACATTTCTCCAGGGTCAATACACATTAAACATATCTTCTTTGTCAGCACAAATAACTAAATATATCTGGTCTCTTGTGCGCTCTCTGGTCTCTCGTGCGCTCTCTGGTCTCTCGTGCGCTCTCTGGTCTCTGGTCTCTGGTGCGCTCTCTGGTCTCTCGTGCGCTCTCTGGTCTCTCGTGCGCTCTCTGGTCTCTGGTCTCTCTTGCGCTCTCTGGTCTCTCGCGCGCTCTCTGGTCTCGTGCTTTCTCTGTGGTCCCTCTCTGGTATCTCTCTCGCTCTCTCTGGTATCTCTTTTGCTCTCTGGTATCACTCCCCATCTCTCTAGTCTCTCTCTAGTCTCTCTCTAGTCTCTCTCTAGTCTCTCTCTAGTCTCTCTCTAGTCTCTCTCTAGTCTCTTTCTAGTCTCTTTCTAGTCTCTCTCTAGTCTCTCTAGTCTCTCTAGTCTCTCTCTAGTCTCTCTCTAGTCTCACTCTAGTCTCACTCTAGTCTCACTCTAGTCTCACTCTAGTCTCACTCTAGTCTCACTCTAGTCTCACTCTAGTCTCACTCTAGTCTCACTCTAGTCTCACTCTAGTCTCACTCTAGTCTCACTCTAGTCTCACTCTAGTCTCACTCTAGTCTCACTCTAGTCTCACTCTAGTCTCACTCTAGTCTCACTCTAGTCTCACTCTAGTCTCCCTCTAGTCTCCCTCTAGTTTGTCTCTTGTCTTGCCCTAGTCTCTATGAAGAGTCTCTATGAAGAGACCAGGGAAAGCCCTATGAAGTGGTGACAGTATTCAAAAACATATTCAAGCTGTTGTCCAGTAGAAAGGACTTTGTGAATCTAATATCGAATGTGTTCTTTTTCAACATTTCTGACCAAAATGGAGTCTTTCCCATAGAGTTGTATCGACAGCTGCCTGAAATACTGAAACACTAATCTACAACTGATTGGTTTGTTTCTTGGCCCATCTGTGCATGTTAATCCTGGGACTCTTCCTTTGTTTAAAACTAGACAGAAGGGAGTTATGTGGCTTGTCAGGATAATCCTATATGATAAAGACATTTGAATACTGTGTTTTTTTTACATGTGTGTGTTTTTACCTTCCTCTTCTTGAAAGCTTGACGAGCCAGGTATCCGCGGCACGCAGCCTGGAACAGAGAGATGTTGGTTCTGGTCTGGACGTCCCTTTGCTCCTCCAGCCTGGACAGAGTACCGGCTCTGAAGAACACCTACACAGGAGAGGAGACACTCAGGGATCAGGCCGTAATCATTAAAGCTGAGGAACCTAACTTTCAAACACAAATGCAACTTTTTAATCAAATCCATCTACCTTCACTTCAATTTTCACATGTATGTATGTATGTATGTATGTGTGTGTGGCATTTGTCACATCTGTAGATCAGTCTTTTCAGACAGAAAAGTGAAAAAGAGGACGACCCTCACTCAGCCAATCAGCCCTCAGCCCTGAGTCAAACCGTGACTCACAGGGATCTTTCTGTAACGATACAAATCTCAAAACAGCTTGATGCTCGGTCACATGATTTTACTTTAACAAGACTTTGTTTGTCAACTGAGACAAACTAAATCTAATATTTGAGGAACAAAAATGTTAGTTCCACCAGTATAAAAAAATATGTATATTAAAAAATAGTCACTTTGGAGCTTTCGACCATTTTTAGCCATTAAAGATAATATATATAGAACCAATGCATTATAATGATTATTACTATTACCACCATAGGGAGGATAATTTTTTATATTTTCCAAAACTTGAAAATTACTTGGTGCAAATTGATTGCGAAAAACAAACTTATGCACAATATAGTTCTAAAGCAAGAAATGTGCTCTGAGTGTGATGTCATAGCAGCACAATGACCTCATACTGTTACAGGAGCATTTCGACAGAGGGGGCGGAGCTATATGTTTGTGCTCGCAGTTCCTAATATTAGCCTGGATGGATCTAAAAACAGCACCAGGTCTGTGACAGATGGAGGACAGTCAAAAGTTACAAAAGCACATAAATGTCTCTTTGTGTTTGTCCTTAATTCGTAACATTTGCTTTGTTATTTCAGTATAATTACATTCTGGAATCAAGGCTTTCAAGGCTAAGCTCTAAAGCGAGGAGCAGCACGACGTTGTGTTTCTGTTGTAGTTTAATAATTGCTTTTAAAACCTTTCCTATTAGTGATTAACCATGAACAAATAATTTAGTTCGAACCGATATTTGCACATCTCCCAAACTTAATCACATAGAAATAATAGAGCAGTATGAAGACAATTTAGCTTAATAATCAGTACCAATTACATACATTTTTCCTTACTCTAATTAATTAGCTAAAGATTAATTTTTAACCATAAACATTCTTCTGTACCACTGCAGGGACTTGCTTTACCACTTGCACCTCCAGGATTCATTCTACTATCTCAAAATCGGACAACTGCTCAAATCTTGGCCCCGGTCTCGGCCCCGGTCTCGGCCCCGATCTCGGCCCCGATCTCGGCCCCGGTCTCGGCCCCGTCTCTAGCCCCGTCTCTAGCCCAGTCTCTAGCCCAGTCCCTAGCCCAGGCTCTAGCCCAGTCTCTAGCCCAGTCTCTAGCCCAGTCTCTAGCCCAGTCTCTAGCCCAGTCTCTAGCCCAGTCTCTAGCCCAGTCTCTAGCCCAGTCTCTAGCCCAGTCTCTAGCCCAGTCTCTAGCCCAGTCTCTAGCCCAGTCTCTAGCCCAGTCTCTAGCCCAGTCTCTAGCCCAGTCTCTAGCCCAGTCTCTAGCCCAGTCTCTAGCCCAGTCTCTAGCCCAGTCTCTAGCCCAGTCTCTAGCCCAGTCTCTAGCCCAGTCTCTAGCCCAGTCTCTAGCCCAGTCTCTAGCCCAGTCTCTAGCCCAGTCTCTAGCCCAGTCTCTAGCCCAGTCTCTAGCCCAGTCTCTAAGCCCAGTCTCTAGCCCAGTCTCTAGCCCAGTCTCTAGCCCAGTCTCTAGCCCAGTCTCTAGCCCAGTCTCTAGCCCAGTCTCTAGCCCAGTCTCTAGCCCAGTCTCTAGCCCAGTCTCTAGCCCAGTCTCTGCCCCAGTCTCTGCCCCAGTCTCTGCCCCAGTCTCTGCCCCAGTCTCGATTCTTTGGGCTGCACATTATAGTGTCTCATTACTACTTCTTGCTACAGGCTTGTGCTGTGAAAAAGGCCTGTTTCTCTCCTCAGTGACTTTAACCAGGGCTAAACTGTGGTCCCCAGGGTCTGAGCCGGGAACTGTACACTCCCCTGGGAACCATGTATCACCAGAAGAGGACAGAGAGAGCGAGAGAGAGAGGGATAGAGAGGGATTTAAAACAGAGATGCATCTACAGGCAGAGAGGAGGCATAGACACACACACACACGTATAGACACATATAAGGGTTTGGGCAATTTAAAAAAGACCTATAAGTGAATGATAATGAATATCCAAATACATGAAAAATAGGATGCTATCCCTCTAATAGATGGTTTTCCATTGACGTCACGCACTACCCACAATTCTGCAGTTCGCCATATAGCCGCCGCTAGTTGTAGGTAAACAAAGCATAGCGCATCACTTTTTTTGCGCTAAAACAGGCCGACTACATGCGTCGTTTGGGGGCGCAGTAACTGCGCAGATTGTGGGGACTCAAGACGGAGAAAAGAACCCTTTAGTTGGCGAGGATCAAACGAGAGGGATTTAACCCTAACCCCTGGAAAACGGCACTATAAGGTCTGTTCTGACCATTTCATAACAGGTAAGAGCTAAATCTGTGCATGTGTGGTTTATATTCAGAGCTGCGATTTGACTGTGACAATGTATATATGGGCCTCAAGCGATCCCATCTAAATGAAAGAGAGGGGGAGGGGGAGGAGGAGGAAAGAGTGGTAGACAGAAGTGATTTACGGCCTGTGATATCAACTGCTTTGTTCAAAATAAATTGACTGAAAGAAATATTGCATCATATACATCATGATCTTTTTTAATTGTAAAACTGTTAAGTGAAAGTAAGCCATTTCGGGCCAAGTCCACTGGTCTCGCTGCATTTCATACTGATCCAAATCTACAATCACTCAATTTCTCCAAAGATCTTGCCTCACAGATTACTCCAGTGTATCAATATACTTAACGCGGTCAGTGTTAGAGTTTCGCTTTTCAGCCCGAGCCCGAGCAGGCCCGAGCCCGACCCGAGATCGGGCCTCACTTCAGCGCTCAGCAGTCGGGCCATTCCGGGCTCGGGCTCCTTTTTATTTTTACTTTTTTTATTTTTTTTAATCAATATTTTTAACAAAATATGATTTTCATACATAATGATATGCATATATGTATTTATGAATGATAATGTCCGTTGATTGACCACAAGTTATTAAAAAAGTTGACATATTTATAACACCGTAACCGGCGTGTCCTACAGCCGCAGCGAGCCGTGAACGCATCATCCCTGTTTTTCCTGTTGAATGCTACGGTCAACAGCGAACACACGGAACATTAACAGAAATGGATCAGGTGGACGTACAAAACAAATTCAGAAGTGGCTAAACTTGCAATTGGAAGGTGAGTGCGCACAACAAGGGAAATCAGATGTGTAGGGCTTCTGTCGGGCTCGGGCCTATTATACAACCTTAATTGGTCGGGCTTATACGAGCTCGGGCTTAGTATTAGCGGGGTCGGGCCGGACCGCGCTTGATTTTTCAGGCCCGAACGAAACTCTAGTCAGTGTCGGCCGAATTCGTGGCTTTAGAAGACATGGGGACAAATTATCCGTGACAAATTATCCATGACAAATGATCCGTGCAATATAAGCCAGACAAACAACATGGCGTTCGCGCAAAGCATCATGGGTTTAGGCACGTGATGGAAAACATCTATCCATCCCTCTCTCTGGTCTCTCGCTCTCTCTATCCCTCCAGTCTCTCTCACTGGTCTCTCTCTCTCACAATGGTCTCTCTTAACTATTTTCTCATAAAGGTGTCTAGAAGTGGTGGCAATACTCAAACACATATGCATGATATTGGCCAGTAAAAAATGGGAATGATCTAATTTAAGGCAGCAGTTATAAAAAAGTGTGTATGTGTGTGTGTGTGTGTGTGTGTGTGTCTGTGTTAAGATTTTCCCTCAGCTCTAACCATTATAAAGTCCAATAAGTGCGATTAGCCATATTAATGAATGAGAAACTTGGCCGTACAAGGTTAAAACTAAAACTTTCTCGAATTGACAGCTCAAGGCGGCGTCTGCTCTTTATTCCGGGCGACATTCACAAATCTCATTAAGAAAACCGTCACTGTGCCCTTTCCCAACCTCAAGATTAGCCCTGGTTTGAATCAGAGAAAGAGAAAGAGAGAAAAGTCTGTTTGGTGACGACAGTGAAATCAAAGAATAGAAGAAAAGGAGGTTGTTTTTTGAGCAGTCTTGCCTCAAAACAGTTGTATTTTGTCACTAGTTTTCACATGCATTAATTGTCTCTTTGTCATCAGATTTTTTGAACAAAAGAGAGGACCGCCCTCACTCAGCCAATCAGATCTCAGCCCAAACAGTCTAATAGTGACTCACAGGGCTCTTTCTTACACAAAAGATGTTTTCTAAAAAAATTAAGACAGCATGTTGTGAGCTGATGTGTTCACAATATTTTACTTTTTTACTTTCTCTCTCTGATCTGTCTCTCTCTCTGGTCTCCCTCTCTATGGCCTCTGTCTCTCTCTCTGGTCTGTCTCTCTCTGGTCTCTCCCTCTCTGGCCTCTCTCTCTCTGGCCTCTCCCTCTCTGGCCTCTCCCTCTCTGGCCTCTCCCTCTCTGGCCTCTCCCTCTCTGGCCTCTCCCTCTCTGGCCTCTCCCTCTCTGGCCTCTCCCTCTCTGGCCTCTCCCTCTCTGGCCTCTCCCTCTCTGGCCTCTCCCTCTCTGGCCTCTCCCTCTCTGGCCTCTCTCTCTCTAGCCTCTCCCTCTCTGGCCTCTCCCTCTCTGGCCTCTCTCTCTCTGGCCTCTCTCTCTCTCGTCTCTCTCCCCAATTTCTCTCCATCCCTAATTTCTCTCTAATTGTATTCAACAACAAAAAAAAACATGTTATATATACCCCAGCTTTAATAACTACATCATAATTCTTTCAAATCCCTAATCATTCGGGCCAATTCACGACCAAAATAGTCAATCAGATCCTTTTGCCCTTGAGTCTCTGAGCAAGACATGTAGTAGTAGACAGTTGAACTCACGCGACTGAGCCCCATGTGGTACGTGCTCTTCTCCAGATCCAGAGACTCCAGCAGCTCCTCTACCGCCTGCAACAACAAATACATACATTACATTACATTACACATCAAACTTGCAGAACAGGTCGAGGGGCTTGGACAGTCCAGAGGTTAGATTCCTTCCCACACTGAGCCACAGAAGCATTGCTGGTGGTGGGGAAAAATCGTTTCTGTTCAGTATCGCAATTTTTTTAGTGCACGCATATGGATACAGTAGAGCAAAAGTTGTGTTTCTCTGGTAATATCCAGTGTCTGCTTCAGTTCATGTGCAGACCATAATAAATGTCAAAGAGGAGTTAATCAGTCTTAATTCAATTTCTGTAATGCTTTTGAATAATATGAAGAATTGCAATATATCGCAGAATTGAATCGCACTATGTTAAGAATTGCAATAATTGTAAATAGCCTGGTCTTACCATACAATTGTACTAATTTCATTTCGTACTAAGGTCTGGATTTTGCTCCATTGACGTTAACAGGTGGGAGGGGTTAACTCCTTTTGCAGATTGAAACCATTGGATCTGAGTTTACCGTGACGTATGTAATGCACCCGAGTGAGCGAGGCATTTAGGCTAACGCTAAGCTTTAGCCTTTAGCTTAGCGTTAGCCATCTCCTTTGGCACTAACAGAGCCCGTGGGGAGTAGAGCCACAACATCTTTGCAGCAATGACATATGCTAAACATTCCTCTTGCTCCGGCTTAATTTTATTCATATTTGGAACAGAACCAGAACAGATTACTTTACTACCGCAAATGATAATGGACCAGAGTACGGATGGCTAAGCCCAGGCTACACCAAACCTAAAGTCTGCCTCAAACTTGTGGAGAATTACTATATTTTTCAGGAGTTTCCAGCTCAAGTTTACTACATAAATCTTGTCGGTTCTGGTCGTTGACATTTCATTCTGTTCCCGCTCTAATCCAAGCATTTTAGTTATTTGCAGGGACAGAAAAGTTTGCCTGCTTGTGCTTTTGTACGTCTCCTCTCTCCCTTCACACTTGCCATCCCCGTTATGCGTGCAGGACAGTGAATCGGCATCTCCGTGGGGACTCAGACAGGGTGTGGGAGTGGGGCCCTTGTCTGAGGCACCATCTGTGTAGTGCCATACCACTGCACTGGGACACTCTGGGACAGCGCTTGTCAAAGTCCGCTCACTACTATTATTTCTCCAATTATAGCTGCAGCCTCAGTCTCACTCCAGCTCTCCCTGTCAGAGGCGGCAGTGTGACGGTGCTCCTGTTTTTAAAAAGTTATGATGGAGGAGGCGATACTGCGCTTGTAAAAGTGGTAGGTTTGAAGGAGGCACATGCAGCTTTGGTTTGTTAAATAATAACAAATCTATAGCTTCTATTGTTTTGTATGGAATGCCTTAGACTTTCTATCTCTCTGGTCTCTCTCCCTCTCTTTAGTCTCTTCCTCTCTAGTCTCTATCCTCTCGAGTCTTTCCTTTAGAGTCTCTCCTCTCCCCTCTCTAGTCTCTCCTCTCTAGTCTCTCCTCTCTAGTCTCTCCTCTCTAGTCTCTCCTCTCTAGTCTCTCCTCTCTAGTCTCTCCTCTAGTCTCTCCTCTCTAGTCTCTCCTCTCTAGTCTCTCCTCTCTAGTCTCTCCTCTCTAGTCTCCCCTCTCTAGTCTCCCCTCTCTGACGGTGCGCCTGTTATGATGGAGGAGCCGATACTGCATTTCTAAAAATGGTAGGTTTGAAGAGGGCACATGCTTGGCTGTGGTTTGTTAAATAATAACATATCTATAGGTTATTATTCGGCTAAACGCGGACAAAACTGAAATGATTGTCTTTGGTCCCCAGAAACAAAGAGAGAGCGTCATCTGTCACCTACAGTCTCTCTCCCTAAAACCTACAAACAAGGTCAGAAATCTAGGGGTAATACTGGACTCAGACTTAAATTTTAATAGCCACATCAAATCAGTAACATCAGCAGCTTTTTACCATCTAAAAACATTGCCAGGATCAAAAACATAGTGTCTAAAGCAGACTTGGAGATTCTTATCCATGCATTTGTCTCCAGTAGGTTAGACTACTGCAATGGCCTGCTCACAGGTCTCTCCAAACAGGCTGTAAAACAGCTGCAGTACATTCAAAATGCAGCAGCTCGAGTCCTGACTAGAACCAGGAAGTACGACCATATTAGTCCGGTCCTCAGGTCTCTGCACTGGCTTCCTGTGGCTCAGAGAATAGACTTTAAAACAGCTCTGCTTGTGTACAAGTCTCTCCATGGCCTCGCACCAAACTATATTAGTGACATGTTAGTCCCATATGAACCAGCCCGGACTCTGAGGAGCACAGGGACTGGACTCCTGTTAGTGCCCAGAGTCAGAACTAAACATGGGGAGGCTGCTTTTCAGATTCATGCTGCTAAAATCTGGAACAGTCTCCCTGAAGATGTGAGACAGGCCTCCTCTCTGACAATGTTTAAAACCAGGTTAAAGACAGTTCTGTTTAGCTGTGCATACAACTGAGGGATTTTATATTTGTATCTTTCTTTTTAATGTTCTGTGATTATTTATGATTTTAATGCTTTCTTGTTTTGTTCAGCACTTTGAATTGCCTTGTGTATGAATTGTGCTATACAAATAAACTTGCCTTGCCTTGGGTGTTTTTTTTTTTTAGTTTTGTATGAAATGCCTTTTAATGTGCACTGCAGGCTTGTGGATAAAGGAGGTTTTGTGTTGATGAGAACCCAGAGGAAAAGGACGAGAACACAACAATAAAAGATGGATATTGTTGAAATATGGAGTGGAACCTTGGTGGGAACCCAGGTGGCTGCATAGAATGTGCATAGACATGTCTGCTTTGTATTTGATTGGTTGGTTCTCTCTCTGGCCTCTCACTCTCTGGCCTCACTCTCTCTCTCTCTCTAAATACACTCATAACGTAATAAATGGAATCGTGACCTACAAAAGTCCATAACAAGCCAAAATGGCATGACACTTCTTACACCCAGGTTTTTGAGTTACACAAAATAACTGATAATGTGAAAAGGGCAGCGGATCCGCAGAGCCTATTTTTGTACTAAACTCCCACTCGTGCGTCTTTGATCGGCCGACACACTCCAGAGGACAATTATGAATTCAGCTGGGGCCGCCTTAAACTGCGACCAAAACACAAAAGCACCAAAATAATGAGGCGAGCCGTAGAAGCAGCTAACGACAGACGAAGAAGAGCCGCTTCTCCGCGAGACGGTAATTAATTGTTACAAAGGGCGCACTAGCTTCATAATTAATACGGGAGGAGACAGCCCAGAGGAGAGGTACCTGGTGATTAGAGGAGAAATGTGCTAAAAATATAGGAAGGCTGGGTTATTACTGGAGAGGAGTCTAAATGAGGCCCGAGCTAATTAAAACCGCTCGGAGATAAGAGCGTTTAAACAGGTGGCGGAGAGAGGACTCACAAATGTCCACGCGACGCAAAGGATTTAAGAAATAATTAGTTTTTGAACAGGACGTAACACACAAAACCAACTTTTGATTTGTTGCATGGTCAAGTTTGTAACTGTAATGTTTTTTTAATGTTGTAATTGTTCGATTTTTGGGGATTAATCAATTAAAATAAACTTGTTACAGCTCTAAGCATTTATCTCTCTGGTCTCTCCCTCTGGTCTCTCCCTCTGGTCTCTCCCTCTGGTCTCTCCCTCTGGTCTCTCCCTCTGGTCTCTCCCTCTGGTCTCTCCCTCTGGTCTCTCCCTCTGGTCTCTCCCTCTGGTCTCTCCCTCTGGTCTCTCCCTCTGGTCTCTCCCTCCCTTTGAAATGTCCCTTTGATTCAGCCCCCACCCCCCCTCTTTCCCCAAACTCGTTGCCGTGACGTTTGAAGCCTCACCCTTTTCTCGTCCGTCACGATGTAATGGCGCCCGTGCTTCTTGGTCAGGTGAGGAGCGAGGACATCAAAGCGTCGTCTGAACTCGGAGAACACCATGTGGTCTGGGAACCCTGCGGCCCAGAGGACACATGGTTACACACACAACAGAGACTTCAGACCCCGCTCTGAAAGATGAGAGTTTACCAGATTACAAGCTATTTGCAGAGCAGAAAGGACAGGCGCACAGAGAGGAGCGGCTGCTGGTGATAATGTGAAGGAGAAATACTGTGTAGTGGACAGAAATTATGATGGAGAGGAGATGACAAAAACAAAAACTATGTAATAAAATCCATGTCACTGGTTCTTCTATCACCAGTTTTCATGTATTGTATCTTAAGATCAGCTAGTTCAGACAGAGAAGTGAAAAAGAGAGGACCACCCTCACTCAGCCAATCAGCTCAAAGAGTCAAATAGTGACTCACATTGCTCTTTCTAACTGTCACACACTGTGAACACTTTAGTACAAGCCTGGCCTGGATAGAAACAGGGCCAAGAGGGACTAAAGAAGGACCTGGTACTGATTAAACTACTCCCATTTAGGGTAGTAGTTTAGGCTAGGACTGATGGAAACAGGGCTTACATAGCAAAAATACTGAAAAACTAAAAACTTATTGTGAGTATGTCTTAAACAAGATTCACCAATGGGACAAAGCCATTTAGTCTTATGTCAAGGAATGTTGCTTCATTTAGAAACATTTATGAGACATTTCTTTCATCCTTTAAAAAGCTAGATCATTTTTGCTTTGTCCAAATTGGCAATCTTGTTTTAAGGCAGTTAGAATGTGCTCCAATGAAGATTTTTTACTTTGATTTTCATTACTTTCGCAGTGTAAATGAATCCACAGCGGGCGTTTGTACCTTGTCTGTAGATGCGCAGAGCGTCCAGCAGCTTGGAGCCCCTGAGCTGAGCGCGCAGCAGCGGGACGTCGAGCGTCATAAGCCCCGCCTCCGCGCTCTCGCCGTGCGGCACGCGCAGGTCGCCGCCGCTCACACACTCAGATTTTGGGAGCAGACAGTGCACAAAGTGGACCTTCGAGCGCCGCACCATGTCCACCAGAGCATCCTGCAGCGAGACACACGGGTTACAATCCAGTTTCTTTCTGGTCTCCATCTCTCTCTCTGGTCTCCCTCTCTCTCTCTGGTCTCCCTCTCTCTCTCTGGTCTCCCTCTCTCTCTCTGGTCTCCCTCCCTCTCTCTGGTCTCCCTCTCTCTGGTCTCCCTCCCTCTCTCTGGTCTCCCTCTCTCTGGTCTCCCTCTCTCTCTCTGGTCTCCTTCCCTCTCTCTGGTCTCCCTCTCTCTGGTCTCCCTCTCTCTGGTCTCCCTCTCTCTGGTCTCCCTCTCTCTGGTCTCCCTCTCTCTGGTCTCCCTCTCTCTGGTCTCCCTCTCTCTGGTCTCCCTCTCTCTGGTCTCCCTCTCTCTGGTCTCCCTCTCTCTGGTCTCCCTCTCTCTGGTCTCCCTCTCTCTGGTCTCCCTCTCTCTGGTCTCCCTCTCTCTGGTCTCCCTCTCTCTGGTCTCCCTCTCTCTGGTCTCCCTCTCTCTGATCTCCATCTATCTCTTGTTCCACTTTCTCTCTGGTTGCCATCTCTTTTGTCTCCCTCTCTCTGGTCTCTTTCTTTATTTTAAAAACTTTTCCATTTATCTGAGGGATTGTATCTTCACTCCTTCTATTGTACGGTGATTATTTATGATTTGAATGCCTTGTGTGATTGTCTCTATCTTGTTTTGTTTAACACGTTGAGTTCCCTTGTATATGGACTGTGCTACACAAATAAACCCGCCCCCCCTCCCTCTCACACTCACCACTTGCAGTTTGATCTGGATGCACAGACTCTTCTTCTTCACGGCTGCGACTCCGGTGGTGAAGGTCTTCCTCATGCTGGTGGCCCGACGCAGAGCGAGCTGAGAGCTGCCCTCCAGACCCGCGATGGACCCAGACAGAACTGTGGCTCCGCTGCCTCTCGACATGAACAAACCACTGATGTTCTTCCTGAACAGAGGAGACCGACATCAGGATTAGGAATCGTGAGGAGAAATGGGGCTCATCCCTGTTTGAATTGTGGCTATTCTCTGTTCGAAAGTTACATATTCTTTAATTTTAGCAGCCAAAGACGATTCATGTATCATTTTTTCACTACTGCAGTAGCCACAGCTGCTTTGAGACGGACACACAAACGCGAAGCTATTAATCTGCACACACACACACAAAAAGGACAATGTGGGTGAACTGAAACACTATTCAAAAAGCAAATACTGAAGAAGCACATGGAGGAAAGAGTGAGGCCTTCAGCACATAAGAGGAGGGAGGTGTAGGGTCAGAGAGGTCTGTCTCCCTCTCTCTGGTCTCCATCTCTCCGTCTCTCTGGTCTCTCCATCTCTCTGGTCTCTCCCTCTCTCTGGTCTCTCCCTCTCTCTGGTCTCTCCCTCTCTCTGGTCTCTCCCTCTCTCTGGTCTCTCCCTCTCTCTGGTCTCTCCCTCTCTCTGGTCTCTCCCTCTCTCTAGTCTCTCCCTCTCTCTGGTCTCTCCATCTCTCTGGTCTCTCCCTCTCTCTGGTCTCTCCCTCTCTCTAGTTTCTCCCTCTCTCTAGTCTCTCCCTCTCTCTAGTCTCTCCCTCTCTCTGGTCTCTCCCTCTCTCTGGTCTCTCCCTCTCTCTGGTCTCTCCCTCTCTCTAGTCTCTCCCTCTCTCTAGTCTCTCCCTCTCTCTGGTCTCTCCCTCTCTCTAGTCTCTCCCTCTCTCTAGTCTCTCCCTCTCTCTAGTCTCTCCCTCTCTCTAGTCTCTCCCTCTCTCTAGTCTCTCCCTCTCTCTGGTCTCTCCCTCTCTCTGGTCTCTCCCTCTCTCTGGTCTCTCCCTCTCTCTGGTCTCTCCCTCTCTCTAGTCTCTCCCTCTCTCTAGTCTCTCCCTCTCTCTGGTCTCTCCCTCTCTCTGGTCTCTCCCTCTCTCTGGTCTCTCCCTCTCTCTGGTCTCTCCCTCTCTCTGGTCTCTCCCTCTCTCTGGTCTCTCTCTCTCTGGTTATGTTGATGGTGTCTTACTTCTGTGAGTCCTGCAGCAGAGAGGCGGCGTTCTGGGCGGCAGGGTTGTGTTTGGCGTGGCCGAGCCAGCCCTGGGCGTCGTACTCCACCCAGTCTGTGCCGTGACTGTGGCCCAGGAGGAAGTGGTGTGGCCGGTCCCCATGGAGCAGCAGAGAACCTCCTACAACACACACACAGTTAAATACATGTCACATCTCAGGACAGATACAGGGATGTCTCTGTCTCTCTCTCTGTCTCTCTGTTTCTCTCTCTGGTCTCTCCAGCTCATCTGTGTTTTTTTAAATGGTACAAATAATTGCGGTATTTGTTTGATTTGATCACAAAAAACGTTTTAGTTTTTACCCAGACCTCCTTCCTAAACCTTTCTTCTCTCATAAATTCACCTTTTATCACACAGATAATTGAACTTGAATTATTTAACACTTTGGTCAAATTTAATCCCTCTGAGTTTAATGAACAGGAGAAGGAAGGTGGAGAGAGGAGTTTGAAAGTGTGGATTTGTTTTATATCTATGCTATTTTCTGATGCATAATGGAACAAACAGGTCTCCCCACCCCTTCTGTCGGTGTAACACTTGTAAGACTAAATCCTGATGAGCTCAGTTGTTTCTTGCCGTGTTAGCTGCAATTCGCCTTTTCTGTTGTAATAGCACACTCAAAGTTGGTTTTAGTGAGATTCAGGCCTGTTTGAGTCATATTCTCTTTATTCAATAGTTTAATAATCTGTTATAACAAAAATGTAGTTGTCACTTAAGGTATTAGGCATAATGCATAAATGAGAAGGAGGGAAAGAGAGAGAAAGAGAGAAAGAGAGAGAGAAAGAGAGAGAGAGAGAGAGATCCGGTCTCCCCTCTCCGGTCTCCCCTCTCCCTCTCTCTCACCTTTCCCATGAGGCTGTGCGGAGCCATAGTAGCTGAAGAGTCTCTCCAGCATGGTGCTCTCTGATCCCCCAGGATGCACTGCTTCCTCCTCCAGCAGCCACAGCAGGCCACGTGCCTCGTCCGTGCGGGACAGAGTGCGAACCTACAACCACAGGGACAGGGTTAGACACATCACAGACAGGGAGATGTCTTGCCCAAGGACACAATCACCAGCAGCATTGGCTTACCAGGTGCTATAGGTAAGACACTATAATCAAAATAACACACACATTCTAACACAGTCCATCTACTACTAGGGTTTTAATCAACCTGTCGGAAACATATTCTGCAAATCTACTTTCTCTCTTTTAACCACATACTGTCCATCACCATAAACCGACCTAGAACTGTGTTTAGATCCATCCACGCCATTATGAGGAACTTCTGCCACAAACATGTAGCTCTGCCCCTTCTGTCAAAAAGCCCCTGCCTCAGTCCTGTAATAGTATGATGTCATTGTACCAACATTCTCTGGGCTCTCCCTGGACTGGTATCCCTGGACTGGTATCTGTGGTCTATTTCTCTCGGGTCTCTCTCTCTCGGGTCTCTCTCTCTCGGGTCTCTCTCGCTCGGGTCTCTCTCGCTCGGGTCTCTCTCGCTCGGGTCTCTCTCGCTCGGGTCTCTCTTTCTGGTCTTTGGTGACATTAAAAGTGAGATTGTGGCGAGAATGGCTAAAACAGCTGTATAAAAGTCCCATTCAATTGCATTACTTGATCTTTATTAAAAATGCATGACAAACATCATTAGCAGACAGTAATGAGAGAGTATTGAGAGAATATTAGAGTGTTTTCTTACCAGTGCTTGAGTGGAGGCCTGGTCCACTGCTGCTACAGACAGAGACGCAGAGCTCTCTATGTCATCTAATGCAAGCTCTATGTTCTCCTACAGAAGCAGGACCAAGGTTAGAGACAAGAAATCAACAGGAGGATCATTAGGACAGAGCATTGGCTTGAGCGTTAACATCATGAATCAAAGGGAAATTCATTGGGGATTACATTAAGGAACAATGTGGAAGTAATCCAACCGAGAGAAAAACACATTATTTTGAGGAATTGTTTGAGAAATCAAGGGCCACATGTAGACTATATTCTTATAGATAATTTCTGGCTTCCTCCCCTTCTAGTTCTCTTCCTTCTGGTTCTCTCCCCTCAGGTTCTCTCCTTTCTGGCCCCCTCCCCTCTGCCCTCCCCTCCTCTTGCTCTCTTCCCTCTGGCTCTCTCCCCTCTGGCTCTCTCCCCTCTGGCTCTCTCCCCTCTGGCTCTCTCCCCTCTGGCTCTCTCCCCTCTGGCTCTCTCCCCTCTAACCCACTCTCCTCTGGCCCCCTCTCCTCTGGCACCCTCCCCTCCAGCTTCCTCTCTGCTCCCTCTGGCTCTCTCTCCTCTTCTCTGCTCCCTCTCCTCTAACTCCCAATTCTTCCCCTCTCCTCCCTCCCCTCGGGCCCCTCCCCTCTGGCCCCTCCCTTCTGCACCTCCTTGTATCTGTCCAGCTCCTGTGTGAAGGTCCTCTCGTGGAACAGCGTCTGCAGTCTCTCCTGGGTGTAGTTGTGACACAGCTCTTCAAAGGTGGCTCCGCGCTTCAGCTGAGAGACTTTGGGATTCTGGAAGCCAGGAGTGTCCACGATGAGGAGAGAGCAGAGCGAGTGCTGGCTGGACTTCAGGGCTCTGCGGACAAACAGATACAGTACTTTAAAGAAGACGTATGATAAAGCAAGAGAGAGGGTGAATTATGCTTTCTGCCTGCAATTCCCTATACTGCCACCAGAGGGAGTGGAATTTGTTTGACTGGCAACAGACACACACATCCTTTCACACTTGAGACATTACCAAAAATAATTTATGGGCCAAATTGTTGTTTTAAAACGCAAAACGAAAGCATTGGTCTCTGGGCCTGAGGGTTGCGGGTTCGAGTCCACCACGAGACCACCTCATGTCTGCTGTTGTTGTGTTCTCTGGCAAGACCCTTAACCCCACGTTGCCCGAAGCCCCTGCTGAAAGACCAAGGCTCTGTCATCATTGATGGAGCAGCCATCTTCCTGTGGACTCCCCACCTGCAGAGGATCAGCGAAGGACTGGTGCTATGAGCAGTGGGTGAAAGCTCTGATTGTCAACCCCCCAACCCAGAAATTAACTGATAAAGGGGAAGAAAATGAATGAATTAATAAACTGCTCTTAGATGAAGAAACAAAGTGGGGAAAAAATATGGGTAGAAACTCATAAAAGGACATTTTCCTTAAGGTTGGGGTACCTAACTTCACAAAAAATCATAAATATTGTCACTAATTCCTGGCTCTAGAGCAACAGTTTTCACATGCATTACTGGTAATGTATTTCTTCTTCAGCCTCACTTGCCTGTGTGCCTGTGTGTGTGTGTGTGTGCGGTGCGTGTGTATAAATATAAATGTGTGTGCGTCTGTATGTGGTGTTTGATCATGGAACGCTCAGAACGAATGTACTATTCATATTTTCCATTTAATAAAATGCATGAGAACAAACATATGGCTGAATATGAGGAAAATAAAACTATTGAAGTATAGAGTATATTGAGAGTATGTTAGTTTGCTGAAGGACAAGGATAATAATAATAAAACACTTATTTCATGCTAGGCTGGTGACATGTTGGAGGTGAAAATGCAAAAATGTGTCTTCAATATGAGGACATGGACAGTAAAGAAATAGCTCTCAGCCCAAAGTGTCAAAAACAGACTCACAGGGATCTTTCTTACAAATATGCAAAAGATTACGTGTTTTCTCATATGATGAAGACACCGAGTTCTGATTCGAGATGTTGTGCTACACCAGCTGTAGAATCCTGCTCCAGCCGCTTCCTGCCGTCTCACACTTGTTTGTTTTGCTCAAGACGGATATTTATTTATAGAAAAACTCTGCAGACGCCTGAATCCACCGGAGAAACAGCCGAACAAAACTACCAAACAGAGGAAGAGGAGCGCGGACGGGGACAGAGCAAATACCAGAGGAAGCTAAACCACATCAGAGGCCAAAAGCAGGTAGAGGGATAAACACAGATTTACAGGGTTCTGTGGAAAAACTACAGCAACAATGGAGAGTGTCAACTGGTCTTGTTCTCTCTGGTGTCTCTCCCTCTCTGGTGTCTCTCTCTCTGGTCCCTCTCTCTCTCTCTCTGGTCTCTCTCCCTCTCTGGCGTCTCTCCCTCTCTGGCGTCTCTCCCTCTCTGGCGTCTCTCCCTCTCTGGCGTCTCTCCCTCTCTGGCGTCTCTCCCTCTCTGGTCCTTCTCTTTCTCTCTCTGGTCCCTCTTCCTCTCTCTGGTCCCTCACTCTCTCTCTCTGGTCCCTCTCTCTCTGGTCCCCCCCCCTCTCTCTCTCTCTCTCTCTCTCTGGTCCCTCTCTCTCTCCCTCTGGTCTCAGAGGTGAATAGTGTAAGTCTTTCTGACCTGTTGATGAGGGAGATGACCAGTGTGAAGAGCTCAGAGTAAAGTCCAGACGCCATGGCCTCCAGACACTCCAGCGCCGTTATCTTCAAACCTAACAGACATTTAATAACAAACACGACAAAAACACGACACAAACACACTTTTGTCAAATTCATGTGTTTTCTATTTTAAAATGGCGTGTGTCGCTTTCTCTGGTGCCTCTCTCTCTCTCTTTGGTCCTCATCTGGTCTGGTCTCTCTCCGTTGCTGGTATTTCACTCTCTTTCTGGTCTCCCACTCTGTTTCTGGTGTCTCTCTCTTTCTCATACCTCCTCTCTCTCTCTCTATCTGTCTCTCTCTCTCCCTCTGTATGTATATCTGTCTCTCTCCATCTCTCTGGTCTCTCTGTCTAGTCTCCCTCTCTAGTCTCCCTCTCTAGTCTCTCCATCTCTCTGGTCTCTCTCTCTGGTCTATCTCTCTAGTCTCCCTCTCTAGTCTCTCTCTCTAGTCTCCCTCTCTAGTCTCCCTCTCTAGTCTCCCTCTCTAGTCTCCCTCTCTAGTCTCCCTCTCTAGTCTCTCTCTCTAGTCTCTCTAGTCTCTCGCGTCCCTCTCTCTAGTCTCTCTCTCTCTCCTCCACCACATTCTCTTTGTCTCTTCTCAGCCCCTGATACCCTCTGTGTTTAGACCCTCACCAGATCCGTCTCCCTGCCCCATGTCCTCGGCTCCTCCCCTGAAGGACTGGTTGTGCTGCAGTCCTTTTCCCTGGTGCTTGAAGATGGAGGAGGACAGCTCTTCCAGCGTGCAGCCCAGCAGGTAGGCCGCCTTCTGGGCCCATTCGTGACGTGCAAACTGCCTCCGCCCGGCTGCAGACAATCGGATAGAAGTAGATTAAACATGGAAGATTTACGCTTTATAGAAGTCAATCAATTGGGGGAAAATACTGCAACATTTCAGCAAATACTATAATTAGAAAAGTGATCTTAATACAAGGTTTCTGCAGGGGTAACTACAAGGAGAGACCTAAACTTCACACTATATCAACAATAAAGCCTTTCACCGATTATATCTGCTGAATGTTCATAACCTTTGAGACCTGTGTGAATAATTTAAGAGCTATGACAACATATGTAGGACCCTGCAGAAACCATGGTGAATAGAAAACAAGTTACAGAAAAAAGAACAATTTTGATGATTCATGGTTTGATCATTTAAAGATGGGGTACCTAACTTTAAAACACAAAAATCTAGTGTAGTCCTGGTCTTTGTCACATGAAATACATGCAAGTGAAAAGGATGGTGGTTGGTTGATGGTGGTTTAAAAGTTAAGTACCCCAACTTTAATGTATTGTGGTGGTTAATGGAAAATACTAATATAGCCTCCCATTCATGTCCTGGATCTATAAAAGGGGCCCACATTAGAGCACCACGAGATTAAATCTATATACTGTATATTTTAAAAGGAGTTTTGTTTTGCTAACTCTTTAGAGGTTTCCTAAAAGTGACTAAAATCCATGTATCTATTATATTAACGCTAAAATCCCACTTGGGCTGTGTATCTGAGGCTAACATGAGGCTAACTCATTCAAACACGTTTTGTCAGTATGAAAGTTTAGCCCAGATTCTGTCTTAGCATAGTCTCACAGCTCGTTTCTAAGCAATGTGTGAGAACAGACTCTGGTGTGTTGTGCTGTGTGGTTGTGGAAGCAGAGCAGCAACGTTAAAGGGACGGTGTCTCTGTGATATTTGTGAAGTTCTTTGATTTTTATCTGCAGACAGAAAACGGCTTGGAGATGCAAAAGGAGAAACAGCAGCGAGAGACCGGGATTAGAGTGGATCTGAAGGCATTTGTAGCGAGTCGCAGCCTGTGGCCTCTTTAGGCGAATAAGGAGGATCTGATTTTCGGCATGGATCACACAAGAAACATGTTCCCTTTAATCACTAACTGGGAACTTGTCGTCTGTACAATTTTGAGATTGTAGAGAGTATGGACCAGGATTAACCCAGAGTCAAATAGTGTAGGGGGAAAACGCAATAAAATAGATACAGTAGACCAAAGAATTGTGGTATTTATTTTAATAATTGTCTGTTTTCCCAATTGTCGGCCCTAGAATCAAAACCAATAGAATTAAATCTATTTTTCATATTCAGAAGATGAGCTCTGGGCCCTATGTTGTCCCGAACAGGCTTCCAAGGCTCGCTTTGCACAGCATTGAGGAGCAGCGGCTACACTCCAAGCTCCTTCCATATGATTGAGCTCCTCAGCCTATCTCTCATGGAGTGCCTAGCCGCTCTGCGAAGGTAATGGACAACTTCACAATCTTATCCTTTAGGTTGTTCCCCAAAGCTCATGACCATAGGGTGGGGACGTAGGCTGAGAGTAAATCTAGAGCTTTGACTGCAGACGCTGCTCCCTCTTCACCACAACAGTGTGAGTAGCAGCCACATCACTGACCATTAGTCAATATCACACACCAACCAAGTGGCACCTCTGCATCCAATGAGGACCAGGACCGAAGAGGGCCGAGACCTGGACCATGGTCTCAGGTTTGGAAGTGCTAATTTGTATTGCCCGACTGCATATGTGTTTTAAATAGTGTTAAAACCCCGTACAGGGACATCGCAAATAAGCTTTGGTTTTAAATATTGTAGTGTTTCACATAATGATTGTCCTAATCAAATATATGAATAAATAAAATTTTGCATAATGTCATATAAACTTCTTGCCCTGGGCTTATTTATTATGGAGTGGATTGTTACAACACAAATCCAAGTGACTCCAACTCCAGTTTTGCCTTTAGTTCCTTCATTTCTCAGCTGCTGAATGAGAGCTGGCAGACCAATGACTCAGCAAAGTGGATAAAAACGAGAGAAATTTGACATAAATACATTTGAATTACATGAAATCATTAATGACGTGGGTTCAGAGACAATAGAAATGCAAATGGATGAAGGTTGATGAGCTTTTACAGCTGGGAAATGTAGGTTTTGTGAGGAGAGAGGACTACGCAGAGAGACGTCCATTACCTTGGCTCTCGTCTGGAGTGAGAGGAGGCGCAGCATGCAAAAACGTGCACAAAAAAGGGTTAAACACGGCAAAATATCACAATATACAATTATGAGTAGAATACCAGAGCTGTGGGAGAGAAAAGACCAAGATATGTCCATAAAAAGATTATAAAGTGCTAGGCCTAATGCTAATTACACTAGAATAAGATGTGTCATATTGAAGGTCTGTCTCTCTCTCTCTCTCTGGGGTCTCTCCTGGGTCTCTTTCTTTCTCTCCCACTCTCTGGTCTATCCCTCTCTCTGGACTCTCCCCCTTTCTCTGGACTCTCCCCCTTTCTCTGGACTCTACCTCTCTCTGGACTCTACCTCTCTCTGGACTCTACCTCTCTCTGGACTCTACCTCTCTCTGGACTCTACCTCTCTCTGGACTCTACCTCTCTCTGGACTCTACCTCTCTCTGGACTCTACCTCTCTCTGGACTCTACCTCTCTCTGGACTCTACCTCTCTCTGGACTCTACCTCTCTCTGGACTCTACCTCTCTCTGGACTCTACCTCTCTCTGGACTCTACCTCTCTCTGGACTCTACCTCTCTCTGGACTCTACCTCTCTCTTTATTCTCTCTCTCTGGTCTCTGCCTCTCTCTTTATTCTCTCTCTGGTCTCTCCCCCTCTCTCTGGTCTCTCCCCCTCTCTCTGGTCTCCCTCTCCCAGCTTTAACACATAGTGGTGGTTAATGGAAAGGTCTAACAAAACACATTATGAAGGACAATCATTTCCTTTGTATTTTACTACGATAAAGGATAATGAAAGTATTTAATGCCACTCGACCCCAGTTCAAATGCACCTGTCATCATTGAGCAGCTTACCCATTTGGGGCCATATACACATTTTCAGACATATTTTTACAAGGACAGGTTAATAATGGAGAGATCAGCACAAGACCGTGGACTGCAGCTCTGCGAGAGGCCAGACTCATACAAGGAAAAGAAATCTATATAGTTGCCATGGTCCTGCTTTTACCTGTAGGCCACATGTGGAATAGAACAGAATTTGATCTCCGCTTTATCTGATTGCTTTAATATCTTGTTGTATGTGGACTGTGTTTTTATTGTTTGATAATGTTTTTCTTGCTCTTCCCTATATTCTGTGTTTTACTGCATTTTATTATCGCATGACTTTTAATGTTAATATCTTTAGGGAGACTGCGTTCACCTGTCCAGGCACTGCAGATGAAATATAGTTCTGGTGCATTTACACTAATAAACTAATTAAATAAATATAGATCTGCTCTTTAGCTCAAACACTGCAGCTGCAATGTTCTCTATAGATCCATAACACCTATCATTATACAAAAGAAAGAAAACATAACACGGTATATGAGCCAACAATATATTGCTCTGTCATAATTTATTGAACGAGTCGCCATATGCTATTGTTACTGTTCCACAGATATAAGATAAGATAAAGTCATATGAACATTTTGAAAGATGCAAACACAACATTTGCTGAACTGTTCAAGAACTGAACAAATATTTTGAATATTTTTGGATGTGTAATATTTTCAAACCTGGACACTGGTGGCACTTTCACATGTTAGTTTGATCTTGGAATTGTCTGAGCAAAACTACTATAAATGTATTGTGGCTTTAGAAAGAAACTCCCATTGAGCCTTCCCTGTATAACAATAAAGTTAAATAATAGATTAGAAATGTAAATATTCATATGAGCGCACAGTTGGAACCATAGGAGCCATTAAAACCAGAAATGACTAGAATTACTGTTAACTGCTTCTGTTCTGGTTCCTTTTGGTCTGCTATCACCCAATTTCTAAAATATTCCACACTATTTAAAAGTCTATTTGTCGAATCTGTAATGTGCGCTCCGGAATACCTTCAATCTCTGGTTTTGTTTCACACATTATCTCTGTCCTGATTAGGAAAGCTTTTTGTCATAAAACCTAAAACAGGAGAAAAACGACGAGGCAACACTGACCCCTGCTGGCGAAGGAATGGACACTACACCCCTCTGGGAAAACTAGAGAAAGATGTATTCTGGATGTATTCATAATATTATCTGAAGGCTGTTGCTACTATAGACTGTCTCACTTAACTCACCAAGGCAACCCAGGAAATTATCCCATAGACTTTAATGTTAACAAAAACACATTGTCCTCAGCTGATATAAAGCTTTCACAAAAGGTCAAATTTTGTGGTGACTTTTCTTGTTTATGCAGACGTCTTGGAGACCTGGGGATCGGCTAAAATCTAAAGAAAGTTTCAATGGACAAATTGGTTCCTTCTTTTCCTTTGAACCGTTAGATTCTCTGATCTGTGTTGGCGAATTAACAACTTCATAGAGTAAATGTATCATAATTTGAGCACATTCTGACTGCCTAAAAATGCGATTTTCCAGCGGAACAAAGCAAAATTATCTTGTTTTGAAAATACACAAGAAATGTCTCCCTTGGAATGAGAAAAATGAAATACGTCTAAATGGTTTTGTCCCACTGGTAAATCTTGTATTAAGATAGTCATAATGTCCTCAAAAATTGGATAAAAACCACTCGATTCAAGTAATTATTACCTTGTATATGTTTATTTTTTGCAGTACTTTGTCTTTGTCATAATCTCTGGAGTCTGGTCTCGTTTTGCAGAAACACTGTCTCCAATATGAGCTGTTTGTAAATGTATGTAAGATAATATTCTACCACAGTGTGTACCTTTTGTGGCCCCAGCGGCTCCCAGGTGATAGATTCCTCCCAGAATGAGCCATAGCGCCCTCTGTTCCTCGGAGGAGAAGCCCAGCACCTTCATGGCGGCCTGGAGCTTTGTGAACTGCTGCGACGAACGCTGCTTGTCCTCAGCCTGGAAATAATATACAATACATTTTATCAGGTCTGGTTTCTACTGCAGAGAAGACGGCTTTTTGTTCAGCTTTAACCGTGTTGCAAAGTGACACCAGAGAGAGAGGGAGAGAGGGCTAGAGAGATAGAGGGAGATGGAGGGAGAGACTAGAGAGAGGGAAAGACTAGAGAGAGCGAGAGCCAGAGCCAGAGCCAGAGAGAGACTAGAGAGAGAGAGACTAGAGAGGAAAGAGGGAGAGACTAGAGAGACTAGAGAGACTAGAGCGAGATAGGGAGGGAGGCCAGAGAGAGGGCAGAGAGAGGGAAGGACCAGAGAGAGAGAGAGAGAGAGAGAGAGAGAGAGAGTAGAGCAAGAGAAAGCGAGAGATTGAGAGAGACAGAGAGAGAGTGAAAGTGATAGTGAGAGCAAGAGAGAGAGAGAGACTAGAGCAAGAGAAAGCGAGAGACTGAGAGAGACAGAGAGAGACCAGAGAGAGACTAGAGACCAGAAAGAGACCAGAGAGCGGGAGAGACCAAAGAGAGAGACCAGAGAGAGAGACCAGAGAGAGTGACCAGAGAGAGAGACCAGAGAGAGAGACCAGAGAGAGTGACAGAGAGAGTGACCAGAGAGAGAGACCAGAGAGAGAGACCAGAGAGAGTGACCAGAGAGAGTGACCAGAGAGAGTGACCAGAGAGAGTGACCAGAGAGAGTGACCAGGAGTTCTTTTTAGATCCATCCAAGTTACTTCTGGTAGACTTAAAAGTAAATCCACTTTTCAAAGCCTATTTGTGAACTTGTACCTTGGTCTGAGGAAGGATCCCAAAAGTGCTGTTCTCCGCCAAGTGGTTTAGATGGAGCTCCGTTCTGAAAGAAGGAAAATATTTACATGAAAAAAGGTCTCCTCAGTCCCTGTGTGCTCCTCAGTCCCAGCAGGAGAACAGTCCCTGTGCTCCTCAGAGTCACAACAGGAGGCCGGACCATGTCACTATACAATAGCAGTTTTATTCACAATTACAAAGTTTTAGTAATAAGGGAAAGTTATGAAGAGACAGGACATAAAACTCATCAGACCTGTTTGACAATCCACTGAACTGAGTATGCTTTTTGAAAGTACTTCCTTGTAAACAAACTCAATTCTCTAAAAGGCAAAGAACCAGAAAGCTGACCTGAGGCTGCTGTCTGCTCCAGACATCAGGAAGTAGAAGACGTTGAAGGTGGATTCTGACTCTGGACGCCCGACTCACTCTGAGCTTCTCCAGTAACATGGTCTAGACACAAACAAAGCATAATGTTGTAATTATGAAACAAAAGAATGGGTAAAAATTCTGGGCAGAATCTGTAAAAAATTGCATCCGTTTTAGAATCCTTTGGAGCAGGAGGAAGTCTCCCTCACTCTTTATCAACCTATCCTAGCCTAGCTCTTCTCTAATCCTATCCAAAATCACTGGAGGAAAACTCAGAGACCTTCACTCTTTGTGGGAGGAACAGCTGCCATAAAACTGTTGAACTCTGGTAGAGGTGTTTGACTTTTGGGAATTGTGTTGTTCAGTGTTGTTTTTGTAACTAATATTGTGTAACCTGCTGCTGTGTGAACTGTGAGACTCTGTTTGTGTAGAGTATGTGTGTTCTGCTTGGAGATTATGCTGCAAATGAATAAAGTTTTCTGAAACTGAATCTACCCTAGCTCAGCCCTACCCTGGTCTATCTTACCCTCTAGTATAAAAGTATACAATCAAAAGTAGTATAAAATCTGCTATAGCTGCTGTGTGGCTTTGACAGACTGTATGACAAAAAATATCAGATTTATGAACCTGTAGAATACGACACAGAGGAACACAATAACTATCAATCCGTCCGTTGTCTTCTGCTTTATCCGTTGCCGGGTAGCAGGGGTTGCAGCCAAAGCAGAGACAAGATTCAGATTCAAGATTCAGTTTATTTGTGATTTTATTGTTTTTCATTATTCTAATATACTTCTCTATGCTAGCTTTTGTTTCAGAGTTGGTTTGAACAAGATATTTTGCTATTGTTTTTGTATATTGAAAAATCTTATACAAATATAGTTATATAAAAGAAAGTATGTATTTGTGAGTGAGAGTGTGTACCTGTATGGAGGCCGAGGAGACCTGTCCCGCTTGATCGAAGTCCAAAGACACAACATGAGAGAAGCGGCTGGCGTTGGAGTTCATGGACGTGGAGCTGTTTCCGAACGCCTCCAAGATGGTGTAGACCGCCTGCCATTTCTCCGCTGGAACACACACAATAACACCGCTTTAGATTCATGCAATGTGGCGTCTCAAAGTGGCCACTCGCAATTCATTAAAGCTGGGGTACCTAACTTTCAAAGCAAATGTATGTCATGTAATGCAATTGTGGTCACTTGTGTCTCGAAAGTATTTGCTTTGATGGCTAGTTTTCACATGCATGTATGTTTGGCCTCTGTCACATTCAGCTCAGAAAGAGACCAGAGAGAGACCAGAGAGAGACAAGAGAGAAAGGGCAGAGAGAGAGAGAGACCAGAAAGAGACCAGAGGAGGGCAGAGAGAGAGACCAGAGGGAGAGGGCAGAGAGAGAGACCGGAGAGAGAGACCAGAGATAGACCGGAAACAGAGACCAAAGAGAGAACCGAGAAAGACCTAAGCTTTAGGTAATCCTTTTCAGACAGAACAGACAGAAGTAAGTAAGTACTGTAACTAAGTAAATACACAAATACATTTAATTGAAATTAAACACATTTATAATTAAGGCAAGGCTCTGTTTAGATTAATGCTCCCAGCTCTCACCAGAGAAGATCTTTCCAGTGCTTCCTGCGATGGAGACCAGGTACTGCACCAAGTGTTGGGTGTTGGTGGTTTTGCCGCTGCCGGACTTCCCCAGGAGCACGATGGACTGGTCCTGCCGCGTGGTCAGCAGGTTCCTGTACGCCCTCTGAGCCACGGAGTAAATGTGTGGAGCCATGTCCTCGCGCCGGCAGCCTTTGAACATGTGCATCACCTGAAACACATAGAGACAGGACAGGAAGTGAGGACCGGAGCCTCCAGCTGATCCCAGAATCTGGTCCCAAACATAAAAACACTATACAGTAGGTCCCATTCCGTTTTGTCGTCTTCATTCACGCTTCTCGGGAATCACGCAGCTGCGTGAAAAATAGTACATCTTATCGCCACAAGGTGGCAGGCTAAGTCCACTTTAGCTCTGCCAGTGACTAACGGGGGATTTACACAGTAGGCGTAAACAGCGCGTACGCGTTTACGGCGCGCTCTCTGCGCGTAACATTTTTTGGAGTATCTACACTGACCGTGCGCGCAGGTCCGCGGCTTCTGATGCTCTCCTGTGTAGTCTATGGAGCAGTGTAGAGGACAGTACGAGCAGAGGACTGATGTAGAGCAACCACAAATCACATGCATGTGTTTTGGTCTCGATGTCTCTGTGCGCTGGTTTGTCCAGACGCGAGACTTTATGAAAGAAAAAAACGATGTCCAGAATCACTGTAAAACCTGCTGCTCTCCTGCTGATGTTTAGACACAAGTGCAGTGTGCGTGGCCATATGTGATCTAAAGCCCTAGGACCGCTAGAAAAATAAAGTTTTCACATGAGATTTCAATGGGAGACCGTTGGTGCGCGCACAAAAAAAAAAAAAAAATTAGAAATCCATCCTAAATTAGAGCGCAGCTTCGCGTCACATGTCCGTCATACGCGCGTTATAACGCTAGAAGTGTAAATATCATCATAGGTTTAAACATGGAAAAAAGTTACGCGCTTCTGCTGCGCGTATAACCGCGTACGTGCTGTAACGCGTGATGTGCTAAATTAGCAGTTAGACGCTCAGGTATAAGACTGCGTGCAAACCTGTCTAGCCCAAAGGTGCTATGTTGGCCCAATGGTTAGCATCAAAAGAACTGGGACCTGGAGAACCCAGGTTCGATTCTTGGTCTGAGGCACATCTTTTGGTTGCTTGTGGCAAAATTGTTTTTCATAAACAATTATTATATAACATCTTGTCTTTAATGTCTGAAAAAATCTAGGTGAAATTCACTAGAATTTATTTAATATACATTAAATATTGTGATATGTTTTGATAAACCGATACGTTACGTTACAGCCACCGCTCAGTGAACGCACTGCCTCTGGGCTCCGAGCGCGGACCATAGACCCGCGGACTCACATCTCTCTCTCTCTGCTCGCGTCTCTCTCTCTCTGCTTCGCGTCTCTCTCTCTCTGCTCGCTCTCTCTCTCTCTGCTCGCCGTCTCTCTCTCTCTTGCTCGCGTCTCTCTCCTCATGCTCGCTCCCTCTCTCTCTGCTCACGTCTCTCTCTCTGCTCGTGGCTCTCTCTCTCTGCTCACGTCTCTCTCTCTCTCTCACGTCCTCTCTCTGCTCGTGTCCCCTCTCTCTCTGCTCACGTCTCTCTCTCTCTGCTCGCATCTCTCTCTCTCTGCTCACCTCTCTCTCTCTCTGCTCACCTCTCTCTCATCTCTCTCTGCTCACGTCTCTCTCTCTCTGCTCACGTCTCTCTCTCTCTGCTCACTCTCTCTCTGCTCGCGTCTCTCTCTGCTCTCACCTCTCTCTCTCTCTCTCTGCTCGCGTCACTCTCTCTCTGCTCATCGTCTCTCTCTCTCTCTGCTCGCGTCTCTCTCTCTCTGCTCTCTCTCTCTGCTCGTCGTCTCTCTCTCTCTGCTCACTCTCTCTCTGGCTCACCTCTCTCTCCCTCTCTCTCCGTCTGACTCACGTCTGTCTCACTCAACCCTCCCTTCTCGCGTCTCTCTCTCTGCTCACCTCTCTCTTCTCTCTCTCCTTGTCTCGTCTGCCTCGCGTCTCTCTCGTCATCTGGGCTCACGTCTCTCTCTCTGGGCTTGCTCACGTCTCTCTCTGCCTGGGGTGCTCGCAGTCTTCTCCCTCTCTGGGCTCACACTCTCTCTCTCTCTCTCTGCTCGCGTCTCTCTCTCACTGGCTCAAGTCTCTCTCTCTGCTCGCGTCTCTCTCTCTCTGCTCTCTCTCTCTCTGCTCGCGTCTCTCCCTCTCCTCATTGGGCTCACGTCTCTCCTCTGGGGGGTCTCTCGGGCTTTCACCTCCCACTCTCTCTCTCCTCTCCTCTGCTCACGTCTGTCCTCTCTCTCCTCTTCTCCTGGCTAGTCTCTCTTCCTGGGCTCGCGTCTCCTCTCTGGCTCACCTCTCTCTCATCTCCTCCTCTGCTCGCGTCTCTCTCTCTCTGCTCACGGAGTCTCTCTCTCTCTAGCTCACGTCTCTCTCTGCTCACGTCTCTCTCTCTCTGCTTCACGCTCTCCTCTACACACCTGTCCTCCTCGCTCTCCCTCCTCTCATCTCTGCTCACGTCGCTCCTCTGCCTCCTCGTCCCTTCTCTCCTGTCTCTCCACGTCTCCCTCCCTCTATCTCAGTCGCTTCTCTCTCTCTGCTCTCTCTCCTTCCTCTGCTCACGGTCCTTCTCTCTTCTCTCTGCTCACGTCTCTCTCCTGCTTCTCTCTCTCCCTCTGCTCACATCTCTCTCGTCTCTCCCCCCCTCCTCTGCTCACTATCTCTCTCTCCCATCTCCCCCTGCAGCTCACGTCTCTCGCCACCTGTGCTTCTTAACACTAAGAAAACCCAACCGAAAATGGCCCCTGTTTTGTGAGAACAGGGAGCTAACTGCTAGGTTGGCTGCTAACATTTGCATGTATTGATTTGCAAATGGAAGTAATGACTTATATCTGCAGCCAGGGGGGGGTGTGGGGTGCTTTTGGGGGTTTATCGTTGGGATGAGCTGCTTTGCAAAGCAGAAAGAGATGCGCAATTGGCAGTGCTGTTTACAGCCTGATAAACTGCGGCGCTGTATATATGTGTGAATCAGTTTTTTTCGCAGTGGTATTCTGTTGGGTGCATTTTTTTTTTCACTATAATTCTTCACATATTTTAACAACAGTTATGTTGCATTTTCCAATTTTTCTTTCTCAGAACAATGATGCAAAAAAAAAAAAACGCAAAACCACTTCAAGGATAAAAAAAAAAACAACGAACCAACCCAAACAACAAAATAAAAAAAACCCTCTAAAAATCACTTTCTCAAAATGAACTTAATTCCCCTCAAAAGAAAGTCCTTTCATGTCAATGAAACGGTCTGTGGTTCTGAGTCCCCTCGACATCAAGTGTTTTATGAACAAACAGTCAAATGGAATTTAAAAAAAAAAAAACAAAAAAAAATAAAGTCATGTTTTCATTGTGATTGTATTTAGTGAATACATATGTATGTACTGTATGTTCACATATTTACTGGCTTATGCTCTTTGCAATTCTACAGCATCCCCTGCAACAAAAATGTATATAAAAAAAAAAAAAAAAAAAAAAAAACACATACAGTATTTAAACGTAGAAAAACAAAAAAAAAAAAAAAAAAAAAAACCACATACAAAAAAATCATTAACGGTTAAGAACCTCCACAAACATTGAGTCGTGTGTGACATCGACATCATCGCCGTCAAATCGGCAGTTTTCTCTCTCTTCCCTTCTTCCCTTTGAAACTTTTAACAAATGCTTTTGGGGGGGGGGGACATGTATCAGTTTACTATTTTCATACAGTTCTCGTCTGTTTTATTATTTTTTTATTTTTTTTTATTTTAATTTTTATTTTTAACATTTAACATTTTGCTTCTGTCCTGTCATCAGAATGAAAAAAAAAAACATACGTTTTCACGACTGATAGTTTCTGTAAAACCAGTAGTCACCCCCCCCCCCCCCCCCCCCCCCCCCCCCCCCCCCCCCCCCCCTCCATTTCATCGCTTAGGGGGGGGGGGTGGGGGGGCGGGGGGGGGGGGGGGTCATCTCGCAACAACCACCACACATACAAAACTGAAGGTGGAACAATTTTGAGTTGTCCGTTTTTTACAGTTCACCCAAGCTCTCTCTCTTCCACTTCTCTGGGACTCACCAGCATTCTCTCGCTCTCTCTGTCTCCTCTCGCTCTTCCCTCCACTCTCTTCTCCCCTCTCTGCTGCGCATCTCTCTCTCTCTCTCTGCTCACGTCCTCTCTCTCTCTGCCACGTCTCTCTCTGTCTCGCGTCTCTCTCTCTCTGCTCACCTCTCTCTCTCTCTCTCTCTCCCTGCTCACCTCCTCTCACCTCTCTCTGCTCACACTCTCTCTCTGCGTCTCCTCTCTGCTCACGTCTCTGCTCTGTCGCGCTCTCTCTCCGCTGCTCACGTCTCCTCTGCCTCCTCTGCTCCTGCTCGCGTCTCTCTCTCTCTCTGCACCCACTCTCTCTCTCTCTCACGTCTCCTCTGCTCGCGTCTCTCTCTCTCTCTGCTCACGCAGTCTCTCTCTCTCCTCCTCTCTCACTCCTCTCTCTCCTCTCTGCTCACGTGCTCTCTCTCTCTCTGCCAATCACCTCCCCTCCGCTCTCTCTCTCGATCTCTCTCGCATTCTCCACGTCTCTCCCCATCCACCCATCCATATCGCCTTCTTCGTCTTCTCCCTCCTCATCCTCCTCCCCTCTCTACCGTCTCCCATCTCACCTCGTCTTCTCTTCTCCACCTTCCACTCCTCCTCTCCCTCCCCTTTTTCCTCCCCCCTCCCCTCCACCGTCCCTCCCCTCCCTCTCAGCACGCTCCCTCCTCTCCTCTAGCCCTCCTCTCTCCCTCTACCATCTTCTCCCCTCTCTCAAATCGTCCTCTGCCCCTTCTGTCCGCCCCTCTCCCTTTCCTCACTCTACCCATACACTCCCTTCCGCCCCCCGTCTTCTCCGTCCCACAACCCACTCATCTCAACCTCCCATTACCCTCTCGCTCCTCCCTTGGCACCCATGTCCACTCGCTGCTCCCTTCACTCTCGCACCCCCCCCCAGCTTCTTCCGATCCACTCGCCATCCCAGACGCCCCCAGCATCGGGCCTCCTCGACACTCTCCCTCCACTCCTACAACATCTCGCCTCTTACCTTTCTCCTTCTTCTGAATCTCTTCGGTTCTTCATCATCCAATCTCCCTCTCACCCGTCATCTTTTCAATCTGATCCCTCTAGCGATCTCGCCAGTCATCCCCCACACATGCTCTCCGCCCCTCTATCGCCCCCATTCCTCCTTCCTAACTCTCCCCCCTCCTCCATCTCCGTCATCGCTACCCATCCCGTTCTCCCCTACTCCTTTCACACTCACTCCTACTCCTCTTCCTCAACAGCTCACATCCCTTCACTCTTCTCCCATCCCTTTCAGCCCCCTCCTCCCTCTCACCTCCTCAGTCCCTTCTAACTTCTTCTTTCATCTTCCCTCTCTCCTCTCACTCTCCAAACCATCTTCTCCCAGCCCTCCAGCTTCTCACTCCCCAGTCTCGCCTCCTCTCTCCACCCATCCGATCCGTCTCCCTCCGTACTCCCTCCCTCCTGCTACATCCCCGGACTCTCCTCATCCTCCTCCTCCCCCCCAATCGTCCCTCTGCTTCATCTCTCCCCTCCATCTCCACCCCCTCCTCACTCCTCGGCTTTCAATATCAACTACCACCTCTCATTACCTCCTACCTCCACTCCCTCACCATGCTCTCTCCCATCTCTCCTCTTCCCCATCTAATCCCCTCTCCAGCTCTAACTCCTCATCCCTAATCCCCCCTCTCCCCCTTCACCTACTCGATCACCCTATCTCCCCTCCTCCAATAATCTCCGTCTCACTTCTTTTCGACGCCTCTACTCCCCCGCATCCACCAGTCTCTCTCTCGTCCACCGCCTCCGGCTAACTCCTCCTTCTTCAACTCGACAGCCCCTCATCCTCCCGCTCTTCCAATCATTCTCTACCTTCTATTCTTCTCTCCTTCCCTCCCCCCTGTCCCTCCTCCCGTCCATCACCTCCATTCCTACCTCTTCGGCTCCTCAGTCCTCGACTCGCTCTACCACTTCCCTCCAGGTTCGTCATCACTCTCCTGCTCCGCTCCCAACATCTCCTCCTCCTCTACTCCTTCCCTCCCCCCTCCCACCCTCTCTCTCCACTTCCAGTTTCAGCACCCTAGCTCCCACCTCCTACCGTCCCTCCTCGTCAGTCTCCTCTCCCCCACTACTCTCCTTCTCGCCTCACCCCTCTGCCTTCTCTCACCATCTCTTACCCGAGAGCATCCTCACCTCCCGCCGTCTCTACCTCCTCTCTTCACCTCCGTTCTTCGTCATTCTTTTCCTCACTATCTCTTCAAGCCTCTCCCTCCCTTCACCTCGTCTTCTCACAGCGACCTCTCCACACATCTCCATAACCCCCCCCCCCCAACCGAACACGACACCTCCAACACCTCCCTACCCCTCCACAGTTCCACCCACCCACACATCCAACATCACGCAAAACCCCACACTCTTCTCTCCAACATACATCACTCACTCACAAACTCCACACCTCCTCACCCCCCCCTCCCTCCTCTCCCAGCTCCCCCATCCCCGTATCCGCACCACACCACACCACCCTCACACTCTCAGAGTCCCCTCGCAACTTAAGCTCTCCTATCCGGACTCCCCAAACACCCACAGACCCCACCACCACACCACACCTCACCACTTTCACTATCCCCACCCGCCAACTCAACGTTTAAACCTCACATCACCTCCCAAACCGTCCGCACATCCACACCTCCTCACCGGTCTTGCCCCCTCAGTCTACTCTCCGCCCACCCCCATGTCCTCACCCCCGCGTCATCCTTACACTCACTCAGAACTCCCCTTCCTGATCCCTCATCGCCCATCCCTACTCCTCCATGTTCTCTCATTCGTATCCACCGCCCTCACCCTCCCATCCCCGCCTCTGACGCACCCCTGTTCTTCTCTCACACGTCGGCCCTCCTCTCCTCTGCTTCAAACCACTCCGACTGCCCACCTGTCCGATCCTCTCTGCTCCCGCACTCACATCCTCTACTCAAACCCCTACCTGATCACTTCAACTCCGGTACGATCGACTCTTCTTCTCTCCCTTCCGCTCTCTCCTTCGGCTCTCGCATCCGTCTCTCCGTCCCTCTCCAGCTCTTCGCACTCTCTCCCTCCCTTGTCTTCCCATCCTCCCCCTCCTCGTCCCCTCTCTCACCATCTCTCCCAAGGCCACCGGTCATATCCATCGATCACCTCCCTACCTCACCGCTCCCCACATCATCGTCTCTACCGCTTCTGTATCTCGTAGCCCCCCCCGCTCACTTCTCCTCTTCAAATATCTCAATTCTCCCTCTCCTTCCCTCCCCCCTCCTCCAAAGTCCCGATCTCCTCCCATCCACGTCCAACCCACCCTCCACCCCTCCTCACTCCCTACCTAATCTCTCAACAGTCTCGCCCTTGTCAGCTCTCTCGCTCCGCCGTCCTTCCTGAGCACTCCACTAGTCATCTCGTCTCTCCCCTCTCTCCCCCTCTCTCCTCACGTCACGGCATCTCCTCTCTCCTTTCCCCATCACCCGCCCCCTCCGCCCCTATCTCTCTTCCCGCCCCTTCGTCACACTCTAACTCTCTCGACATCGCATCAGATCCCATCTCACCATTCACCCTCACCCACCACTCACTCGCTCCTCGCATCCTCTCCTCGACAATCTCCTTCGACTCCTTCCATCGCCTCCCACCCTCCTCCCATCTCCCCCCTCTCTCCCCTCGTGCTGCCAGGCAGCACGTCCTCTCTCAGCCGGGCTTCCCCCTCCGCCCTCGCGAATCCCATCCAACCCAATCTCGCATCCTCTCCTCCTGATTCCTTGCTCCCATCCTCCCTCTCCCTCTTCCCTCATGCCTGCTTCCCTCCCTCCCTCTCTCCTCTCTTCCGGCGACGTCCCACGTCCCCCCTCTCTACACCTCCACTATCTCATTCCTTCTCTCCTCACGCCCTCCCTCCTTCTTCCCACTCCTCTCTCCCGATCCCTCTTCCAAATCAGACCCAGCTCCTCCACTCGAGATCCCCCTCTCTCCCCCCCCTCTCTCCCACCATGCTCATCCCCACCCCTATCTGCCTCCTGCAAGTCTCCCTCCTCTCTCCCCGCACTCTCTCCTACTTCCTTCTTCATACTTCCACCCATTCCATCCTCCGCCTCTCCCTCCTCCCTTTCTTCTTCCATCACCCCCTCACCCTCGTCTCCTCATCCACCTCCCAGGGCAATCGCTTCTACTCCGCCGCGGCAATACCCCATCTCCTTCTCCTCGTAACCTCTTCCGGCTTTCATCTCCTAATCCCTCTTGACGTGCGCCCCAGCCTCGCCCACTCCCCATCTCCTGCTCCCCCTCTTCCGTTCCTCCCCACCTCGTCCTCTTCCCTCATCATCTCTCCCTCCCCCTCTTCCCCAGGTACCCCATCCTCATCGTTCTCCCCTCTCCCTCCCTCCTCTCCATTTCATCTCACTCTCCTCCCCACTCCGTCCGGTCTTCGGCCTCGTTCATCCGACTCTTCGTCCTCCCCTACTCATCCAATATCTCTCACCGTCACCGCGACGTCTTCATCACCCCCGCATCCCCTCGACCCTGCGCTCTCTCCCTCACGACCCTCATCCCCAACTCTTCTCATACTTCTCTCTCTCTCCCTCTCAAGCATCTCCCGCTCCTCGACGCTACCAGCTCTACCTCCCCATTCTCCATTCGTCCTCCAAACTCCTCTTCTTCTCTTGTCTTTCTTCCTCCCACTCTCTCCTCTGATCTTCTTCTCTCCTTCAATCCTCTCTCCGGCCTTCACTTCTCCTCCAATCTCCTCGTCATCTCTCGTCAGCATCTCCTTCCCTTCTTCTCTCCACACTCTTCCCTCCTCACGTACTTCATACTGCTATCTTTCCTAGTCCCATCATCTCCTAGTCACACCACGCCCCCCCATCCCCCATCGTCTTCTTCAATCCACACCCCTCACCCTTCTCCTCTCCCCCTTCACCTATCACCTTCCGCCGGGTAAGACGTAAATCCCTCGTCCAGATCTCCCTCCCGGGCATACCTCACATCCCTCATCGTTCCCGAATCGTCTCATCATTTCGGCACAATTCCTCCTCGAGGCTCTCCCTTCTCTCAACACCATCTTCTCTCTCATCTTCCTCTCATCTCCCTCTACCACTCCCCCTTTCCTCCTCCCACTCCTTCATCTTCATCCAGCTTCACTCCCTTCTCGCTTCTCAACTCCTCTGAGAGGTCTCGGATCCCTTCTCTTCTGTCCTCCCACCCCCTCGGTCTCTTCCTCCTACTATCTCTGTCTCCCACCGTCGCGCTCTCCTACCTCTATCACTCTCTATATCGAGCCTCATCCATACTCCCACCGAATCCGCAATCGCTCCCCTCCTCACCCGTCTTCTACTGTCTCATACACCCGTCCTCTTCATCACCTCCCCCTCCGACTCATCAGCCTGACTCTCTTCCTCTTACTCTCGCTTCTTCTCGTTCCTCTCCACACCTCGGCAGCTCCTCGTACAACTCCTCCTTCCCACCTCTCTGCTCCCCCTCCCCGAACATCACTTCACCTCCTTGGTTGAAGTCTCTCTGTCGCTCTCCAACCTCACGCTCTATTCTTCCCCCCCACCACACTTCTCGCTACATCCCCATCTTCCACTCGTATCCTACGCCCATATTCCCCTCATCCGCCCTTCGCGATTCTCACCTTTCCCACACACGCCTCCCTCGTGGTGGCTGTTGCCTATCGCTCCCTCTCACCACGTCTCATCACCGTAATCCTCATTCTCGTACCTCTCTTTCTCCTCTCCCTCCCTCTTCACCTCCCGTCCCGCCTCCGTCTCCAGTCTCTCCTCCATCTCCCTCTCATCTCACGCAACCATTGTCATACTCATTCACTACCGCATCATCTGTCCACTCCATTCTGTCTCCACCTCCTCCTCTGCCCCTCTTCTATCTCACTCGCTCCTCCACCTCTCTCTCCTCCGTTCCCTATCACCATCACGCTAATCCGGTCAGGGACTCTCACTCCTGCTTTCAATCCCTCAACTCTCCTCATCTTCCTAATCCTCTCCCACCTCATCTCTGCCATCTCTTTTCTCTCTCGTCCATCTATTTTTCTCTCTCCTCTTCCTTCTCTCATCTACGCCCACCTCCATGTTTCTCCCTCTCTTCTCCTCATCTCTCGCTCTTCCTCCCGCATCCCTCAACCTCTCTCAGTCTCCCCCATCTCTCACGCGATCCAAATCTCTATCGTCAGTGAGCATCCTCCCTCTCTCTCGTCCCTTAAATACGGTCTAATCTCACCCGTCATCGACACATTCTCACGTTCACCGTCAAAGCTCTGTCTACTTCTCCGATCGTCCCTCACCCTCGTGACCCCTCACTCGTCCGACCCTCCGGGCCGTCTCGCACGTCTTCCACCCTCTCTTCTGTCTCCCATTCTCATCGCTCTATCGTCTATCAACATTTCATCCCCCGCCTCTCATCTCTGCTTATCTTCGTGCCGCAACGGCGCTCTTCATCCCTCCTTCAACTCTTTCTCAGTCCCACCTCTTCCCCCCCCCCAGCGGAACCACCCTATCCGTTCTCTCCTCTCCCCTCATCTCCTCATGGTCTCTCTTCCACCCTCATCGCCCATCTCCATCTCAGCTCCCACTCCCTCCTCCTCCACCCGCCGTCGGCCACCTTTAACAATGTCTCCATACTACTCTATCCGTCTCGTATGCTCCGCGCCCAGTCTCCGCCCCTCATCCATCAGTCCGACCTTTAGTTCCCAATTTCACAACTCCCCTCTCTCCCCGTCTCTCTCTCTATTCTCCATCATCTCTGTCTCTTCTCGGCCCCCCTTCCCAGTTCACCCACTCCTCCTCTCTTCGCCAGGCACATCTCTGCTCCCCCTCCCCACCTTCCCCTCGTCCCAACCGTCGGCCTCATCATTCCCTCCCGTCGCTTCACCTCTGCTTGGTCCCCCATCCGTGCTACCTCTTCGTTCTCTTACCCCTGTCACCCCTCGCCCCCCTTCTCACCCCTCTACCCCCCGGCCGGCTCTCTCCCCCATTCCCTCGGGCCAATCCACCGTCCCCATCCTCGATCTCCCATCCCCGAGCTCGCATTCATTCCTCCCACGATCCCCATCCGCTCCCGACGTCACCACACCCTTCACCCCTCTCTCACAGCTTCCTCTCGGGTTCTCTCTCCTCCCCGGTCTCGCTCAGCCCGATCGTCCTCTCTCCGCTCTCACCCTCTCTCCCGACCTCTCTCATCCCGCTCTCAGCAGCCCGGCTACTTTACTCCCCTTCTCCATCACTCTCATCCGTCGCACTTCTCCCCTCTCTCTCCTCTCCCGACCCTCCCCTCCCCCTCCTCCCCATTCTCCCTATCTCCCCCTTCTCAGCCCTCCATCCTCCACCGTTCAACCCATCCCTCGGATCCCCCGACTCCTCTGTCCTCTCATCAAAAATTGTCTCTTCATCCTCCCCGTACCCCGCTACCACATCCTTCCCCGCTCCTCTTCCCTCCTTCGCCAGTACTCCACCAATTCCCTCATCCTCTCCCACTCGAATCTTCATCGTCCTCCTTCCTTCACGGACTCGCATCCTCATCTCTTCCCTCGTCTTTCCTCCTCACCTCCCTCCCCCTACCCTGCTCGCCTCTCCCGAGCCCCCCTTCCCTCCTCTCCTCCCTTCTCTCAATAGATCCACTTCCCTCAAACTCATCTCTCTCATCTCCCCCCCCGTCACCCCGCTCGCCGTCGCCCCCTACACCTCACTTCTACCCTTCCTCCGTCCTCACTATCCGTCCATCATCATCGTTCTCCGCTTCCTGTCCGCCACACTCTCTCGCCGTCCTTCTATCTCATCGTCTAAATCATCCACTACTCCTCTCCCACACTACTTTCCCCCCCCTCCGGCTTCGGCACTAGCTACTTCTTTCTCAAGGCGAGGGCTCCCACACATCAATCCCCTCTTACTCCGCATCTCCCGACCTCTTCGCTCATCCTCCCCCCACTCAGACTCCATCAGCCCGAATCTCAATCATCCCACGACCACCCCCCATAGTCGTCTTTCCAGCTCTCCTCCCTCCCTCTCACACAGATTCTATCCTCCTCCACTTCCGTCTTTCAGTCAGACTCCTCCGTCTTCAGTCCTCTCCGCATCAGCATTCTCACATCTTATCGCTCCCCATCATCCATCTCCTCTCATCTAATCTCCAAATCAGCGAGTCGCGACTTCACTCCATCCCCCCACCTTTCTGGACCCCACCCTTCCTCGCAATCTCTCTGTCTCTTCATACCAACTCTCAACGCTCGTCTCCTCCGTCGACTGCTTCTCATCATCCAACGACGTCTTTCTATTCCTCGACTCCTTCCAACCCAATCGTTCTCGGGCCACTCACTGACATTCTCGCGGTCATCCTCTCTACTCCATTCTTCACCATCTCTCTTCCCCTGCGCCCCCAATCTTCCTCCGCTATGCTCTCCCTCCTTCCCTATCTCCCACGGCTCTTCTTCCCTCTCTCCATCCACTCTATCAATCGAAGAGGGATCTCCTTCCTCTCCCGCACTCCTTCTAACTCTCTTATCGATCCCTCTGAATCGTCGTCTCTCTCACCCCCCGTCTCGGTCCACTCGCCCACTCTCCCTCCACCTCCGACACAATCTCTACGCCGACTCCTCTCCCGACGCCACACCCCCCCCATATGTCAGTCCCCCCGCCTCGACCCCTATCCCACACCTGACCCCCTCTTCTCCATCCAACTCATAATCCTCATATTCGCTCCTTCCTCTCCTGTCTCTATCACCATCATCCACTCCCATCATGCTCTCACTTCTTCCTCGTGGTCATCTCCAGAACACATCCCGTTCTCGGGTCCCTCTCCCATCTTCTCCTCTCTCCCCCTCTCAATCTCTGCGCTTAACTACTTCATCCAATCTCCCCGCTTTTCTTCTCTCAATCTCCCTCTCTCTCCCTTTCTCATCACCTTCTCACGTTCCGTCCTCTCTGCGTATATTCACCTCATTATCATGTCCATCCACTCTCGGCTCCCTCAAATCAGGTCCACTTCGTCCCCTCAATTCCGGTCTCGTCGTCCATCTCGTCCTCCCCCTCATCCCATCGCAACTACCTCTTCCATCAGCGCGCGACTCGCTCTCTCCTTTCCTCTCACCTATCGCGTCACTCGCTCCCTACCCTCGTCGATCTCACCGTCTCTCTCTCTCTCCTCCCACTGGTTCGTTCCCGGTCTCCTCGCTCTTCCTCTCCTCTCCCACCGCCCCCCCTGCCTCCTATCACTCCACATCCTCATACAACTCGCCCCGACCCTGTCGCAGCACCCCTGCAACGCTCCTCCTCTCCTCTTCTTCTCACTCGGATCCAAGCTCCCTACGCTCTCTCAGAACTCAATCATGCTCACAAGTCTCTACGGTCTCTCTCTTCTGCTCAGACGCCCTCTGCTTCTCTACTTCTGCTCTGCGCCTGCTCAGCCTACCTCTGGACGACGTCTAAATGGTTTTGTCCCACTGGTAAATCTTGTATTAAGATAGTCATAATGTCCTCAAAAATTGCCACTCGATTCAAGTAATTATTACCTTGCTGTCTCCAATATGAGCTGTTTGTAAATGTATGTAAGATAATATTCTACCACAGTGTGTACCTTTTGTGGCCCCAGCCCCAGGTGATAGATCCATAGCCTGGAAATAAAATAATATACAATACATTTTATCAGGTCTGGTTTCTACTGCAGAGAAGACGGCTTTTTGTTCAGCTTTAACCGTGTTGCAAAGTGACACCAGAGAGAGAGGGAGAGAGGGCTAGAGAGATAGAGGGAGATGGAGGGAGAGACTAGAGAGAGGGAAAGACTAGAGAGAGCGAGAGCCAGAGCCAGAGCCAGAGAGAGACTAGAGAGAGAGAGACTAGAGAGGAAAGAGGGAGAGACTAGAGAGACTAGAGAGACTAGAGCGAGATAGGGAGAGGCCAGAGAGAGGGCAGAGAGAGGGAAGGACCAGAGAGAGAGAGAGAGAGAGAGAGAGAGAGAGAGTAGAGCAAGAGAAAGCGAGAGATTGAGAGAGACAGAGAGAGAGTGAAAGTGATAGTGAGAGCAAGAGAGAGAGAGAGACTAGAGCAAGAGAAAGCGAGAGACTGAGAGAGACAGAGAGAGACCAGAGAGAGACTAGAGACCAGAAAGAGACCAGAGAGCGGGAGAGACCAAAGAGAGAGACCAGAGAGAGAGACCAGAGAGAGTGACCAGAGAGAGAGACCAGAGAGAGAGACCAGAGAGAGTGACCAGAGAGAGTGACCAGAGAGAGAGACCAGAGAGAGAGACCAGAGAGAGTGACCAGAGAGAGTGACCAGAGAGAGTGACCAGAGAGAGTGACCAGAGAGAGTGACCAGGAGTTCTTTTTAGATCCATCCAAGTTACTTCTGGTAGACTTAAAAGTAAATCCACTTTTCAAGCCTATTTGTGAACTTGTACCTTGGTCTGAGGAAGGATCCCAAAAGTGCTGTTCTCCGCCAAGTGGTTTAGATGGAGCTCCGTTCTGAAAGAAGGAAAATATTTACATGAAAAAAGGTCTCCTCAGTCCCTGTGCTCCTCAGTCCCAGCAGGAGAACAGTCCCTGTGCTCCTCAGAGTCACAACAGGAGGCCGGACCATGTCACTATACAATAGCAGTTTTATTCACAATTACAAAGTTTTAGTAATAAGGGAAAGTTATGAAGAGACAGGACATAAAACTCATCAGACCTGTTTGACAATCCACTGAACTGAGTATGCTTTTTGAAAGTACTTCCTTGTAAACAAACTCAATTCTCTAAAAGGCAAAGAACCAGAAAGCTGACCTGAGGCTGCTGTCTGCTCCAGACAACAGGAAGTAGAAGACGTTGAAGGTGGATTCTGACTCTGGACGCCGACTCACTCTGAGCTTCTCCAGTAACATGGTCTAGACACAAACAAAGCATAATGTTGTAATTATGAAACAAAAGAATGGGTAAAAATTCTGGGCAGAATCTGTAAAAAATTGCATCCGTTTTAGAATCCTTTGGAGCAGGAGGAAGTCTCCCTCACTCTTTATCAACCTATCCTAGCCTAGCTCTTCTCTAATCCTATCCAAAATCACTGGAGGAAAACTCAGAGACCTTCACTCTTTGTGGGAGGAACAGCTGCCATAAAACTGTTGAACTCTGGTAGAGGTGTTTGACTTTTGGGAATTGTGTTGTTCAGTGTTGTTTTTGTAACTAATATTGTGTAACCTGCTGCTGTGTGAACTGTGAGACTCTGTTTGTGTAGAGTATGTGTGTTCTGCTTGGAGATTATGCTGCAAATGAATAAAGTTTTCTGAAACTGAATCTACCCTAGCTCAGCCCTACCCTGGTCTATCTTACCCTCTAGTATAAAAGTATACAATCAAAAGTAGTATAAAATCTGCTATAGCTGCTGTGTGGCTTTGACAGACTGTATGACAAAAAATATCAGATTTATGAACCTGTAGAATACGACACAGAGGAACACAATAACTATCAATCCGTCCGTTGTCTTCTGCTTTATCCGTTGCCGGGTAGCAGGGGTTGCAGCCAAAGCAGAGACAAGATTCAGATTCAAGATTCAGTTTATTTGTGATTTTATTGTTTTTCATTATTCTAATATACTTCTCTATGCTAGCTTTTGTTTCAGAGTTGGTTTGAACAAGATATTTTGCTATTGTTTTTGTATATTGAAAAATCTTATACAAATATAGTTATATAAAAGAAAGTATGTATTTGTGAGTGAGAGTGTGTACCTGTATGGAGGCCGAGGAGACCTGTCCCGCTTGATCGAAGTCCAAAGACACAACATGAGAGAAGCGGCTGGCGTTGGAGTTCATGGACGTGGAGCTGTTTCCGAACGCCTCCAAGATGGTGTAGACCGCCTGCCATTTCTCCGCTGGAACACACACAATAACACCGCTTTAGATTCATGCAATGTGGCGTCTCAAAGTGGCCACTCGCAATTCATTAAAGCTGGGGTACCTAACTTTCAAAGCAAATGTATGTCATGTAATGCAATTGTGGTCACTTGTGTCTCGAAAGTATTTGCTTTGATGGCTAGTTTTCACATGCATGTATGTTTGGCCTCTGTCACATTCAGCTCAGAAAGAGACCAGAGAGAGACCAGAGAGAGACAAGAGAGAAAGGGCAGAGAGAGAGAGAGACCAGAAAGAGACCAGAGGAGGGCAGAGAGAGAGACCAGAGGGAGAGGGCAGAGAGAGAGACCGGAGAGAGAGACCAGAGATAGACCGGAAACAGAGACCAAAGAGAGAACCGAGAAAGACCTAAGCTTTAGGTAATCCTTTTCAGACAGAACAGACAGAAGTAAGTAAGTACTGTAACTAAGTAAATACACAAATACATTTAATTGAAATTAAACACATTTATAATTAAGGCAAGGCTCTGTTTAGATTAATGCTCCCAGCTCTCACCAGAGAAGATCTTTCCAGTGCTTCCTGCGATGGAGACCAGGTACTGCACCAAGTGTTGGGTGTTGGTGGTTTTGCCGCTGCCGGACTTCCCCAGGAGCACGATGGACTGGTCCTGCCGCGTGGTCAGCAGGTTCCTGTACGCCCTCTGAGCCACGGAGTAAATGTGTGGAGCCATGTCCTCGCGCCGGCAGCCTTTGAACATGTGCATCACCTGAAACACATAGAGACAGGACAGGAAGTGAGGACCGGAGCCTCCAGCTGATCCCAGAATCTGGTCCCAAACATAAAAACACTATACAGTAGGTCCCATTCCGTTTTGTCGTCTTCATTCACGCTTCTCGGGAATCACGCAGCTGCGTGAAAAATAGTACATCTTATCGCCACAAGGTGGCAGGCTAAGTCCACTTTAGCTCTGCCAGTGACTAACGGGGGATTTACACAGTAGGCGTAAACAGCGCGTACGCGTTTACGGCGCGCTCTCTGCGCGTAACATTTTTTTGGAGTATCTACACTGACCGTGCGCGCAGGTCCGCGGCTTCTGATGCTCTCCCTGTGTAGTCTATGGAGCAGTGTAGAGGACAGTACGAGCCAGAGGACTGATGTAGAGCAACACAAATCACATGCATGTGTTTGTCTTCATGGTCTCTGTGCGCTGGTTTGTCCAGACGCGAGACTTTATGAAAGAAAAAAAACGATGTCCAGAATCACTGTAAAACCTGCTGCTCCTCCTGCTGATGTTTAGACACAAGTGCAGTGTGCGTGCAGATGTGATCTAAAGCCAAGGACCGCTAGAAAAATAAAGTTTTACATGAGATTTCAATGGGAGACGCGTTGGTGCGCGCACAAAATTAGAAATCCATCCTAAATTAGAGCGCAGCTTCGCGTCACATGTCCGTCATACGCGCGTATAACGCTAGAAGTGTAAATATCATCATAGGTTAACATGGAAAAAAGTTACGCGCGTCTGCTGCGCGTATAACGCGTACGTGCTGTAACGCGTGATGTGTAAATTAGCAGTTAGACGCTCAGGTATAAGACTGCGTGCAAACCTGTCTAGCCCAAAGGTGCTATGTTGGCCCAATGGTTAGCATCAAAGACTGGGACCTGGAGAACCCAGGTTCGATTCTTGTCTGAGGCACATCTTTTGGTTGCTTGTGGCAAAATTGTTTTTTCATTAAACAATTATTATATAACATCTTGTCTTTAATGTCTGAAAAAATCTAGGTGAAATTCACTAGAATTTATTTAATATACATTAAATATTGTGATATGTTTTGATAAACCGAACGTTACGTTACATCCTCCGCTCAGTGAACGCACTGCCGTCTGGGCTCCGAGCGCGGACCATAGACACGCGGACTCACATCTCTCTCTCTCTGCTCGCGTCTCTCTCTCTCTGCTCGCGTCTCTCTCTCTCTGCTCGCGTCTCTCTCTCTCTGCTCGCGTCTCTCTCTCTCTGCTCGCGTCTCTCTCTCTGCTCGCGTCCCTCTCTCTCTGCTCACGTCTCTCTCTCTGCTCACGTCTCTCTCTCTCTGCTCACGTCTCTCTCTCTCTGCTCACGTCTCTCTCTCTGCTCGTGTCCCTCTCTCTCTGCTCACGTCTCTCTCTCTCTGCTCGCATCTCTCTCTCTCTCTCTCTCTCTCTCTCACCTCTCTCTCTCTCTCTCTCTCTCCGTCTCTCTCTCTCTGCTCACGTCTCTCTCTCTCTGCTCACGTCTCTCTCTGCTCGCGTCTCTCTCTCTGCTCACCTCTCTCTCTCTCTCTCTCTGCTCGCGTCTCTCTCTCTCTCTGCTCACGTCTCTCTCTCTCTCTGCTCGCGTCTCTCTCTCTCTGCTCTCTCTCTCTGCTCGCGTCTCTCTCTCTCTGCTCACGTCTCTCTCTGCTCACCTCTCTCTCTCTCTCTCTGCTCACGTCTGTCTCTCTCTGCTCGCGTCTCTCTCTGCTCACCTCTCTCTCTCTCTCTCTGCTCGCGTCTCTCTCTCTCTGCTCACGTCTCTCTCTCTCTGCTCACGTCTCTCTCTGCTCGCGTCTCTCTCTCTGCTCACCTCTCTCTCTCTCTCTCTGCTCGCGTCTCTCTCTCTCTGCTCACGTCTCTCTCTCTCTGCTCGCGTCTCTCTCTCTCTGCTCTCTCTCTCTGCTCGCGTCTCTCTCTCTCTGCTCACGTCTCTCTCTGCTCACCTCTCTCTCTCTCTCTCTGCTCACGTCTGTCTCTCTCTGCTCGCGTCTCTCTCTGCTCACCTCTCTCTCTCTCTCTCTGCTCGCGTCTCTCTCTCTCTGCTCACGTCTCTCTCTCTCTGCTCACGTCTCTCTCTGCTCACGTCTCTCTCTCTCTGCTCACGTCTCTCTCTGCTCACGTCTCTCTCTCTCTGCTCACGTCTCTCTCTGCTCTCTCTCTCTGCTCACGTCTCTCTCTGCTCTCTCTCTCTGCTCACGTCTCTCTCTCTCTGCTCACGTCTCTCTCTGCTCTCTCTCTCTGCTCACGTCTCTCTCTCTCTGCTCACGTCTCTCTCTCTCTGCTCACGTCTCTCGCACCTGTTCTTCTTAACACTAGAAAACCCAACCGAAATTGGCCCCTGTTTTGAGAACAGGGAGCTAACTTGCTAGGTTGGCTGCTAACATTTGCATGTATTGATTTGCAAATGTAGGTAATGACTTATAACAGCAGGGGGCTGGGGTGGGCTTTGTTTATTCGTGTGGGGGAGGGAGCGCTGCAAAGCAGAAGAGATGCCATGGCAGTGCTGTGTACCCTGAGAATGCGCTGTATATATGTTGTAATCAGTTTTTCTCAGTGTCTTTGGTGCATTTTTCACATAATTCTTCACATTTTAACAACAGTTAGTGCATTTCTCAGAACAATGAGTGCAAACTGCAAAACCTCATGGATAACCTGCTAAAAAGTCACTTTCTCAAAATGAACTTAATTCCTCAAAAGAAAGTCTTCATGTCAATGAAACGGTCTGTGTCTGTGTCCTGACATCAGTGTTTATGAACAACAGTCAAATGATTTAGTCATGTTTTCATTGTGATTGTATTTAGTGATACATATGTATGTACTGTATGTTCACATATTTACTGCTTATGCTCTTTGCAATTCTACAGCATTCTGCAACAAAAATAGTACACATACAGTATTTACGTAGAAAAACATACAAAAAATCATTACGGTAGAACCTCCACAACATTGAGTCGTGTGTGACATCATCGCGGCAGTTTCTCCCTTTGAACACTTTACAAATGCTTTTGGACATGTATCAGTTACTTTCATACAGTTCTCTGCTGTTTTATAACATTAACATTTGCTTCTGTCCTGTCAATCAGAATGAAACATACTTTTCACGACTGAATAGTTTCTGTAAAACCAGTAGTCCTCATTTCATCGCTTTGGTCATCACATACAAAACTGTAAGGTGAACAATTTTGAGTTGTCGTTTTTACAGTTCACCAAGCTCTCTCTCTCTCTCTCTGCTCACGCCTCTCTCTCTCTGCTCGCGTCTCTCTCTTTCTGCTCACGTCTCTCTCTGCTCACCTCTCTCTCTCTCTCTCTGCTCACCTCTCTCTCTCTCTCTCTGCTCACGCCTCTCTCTCTCTGCTCACGTCTCTCTCTGCTCGCGTCTCTCTCTCTCTGCTCACGTCTCTCTCTGCTCTCTCTCTCTGCTCACGTCTCTCTCTCTCTGCTCACGTCTCTCTCTGCTCTCTCTCTCTGCTCACGTCTCTCTCTGCTCGCGTCTCTCTCTCTCTGCTCACGTCTCTCTCTGCTCTCTCTCTCTGCTCGCGTCTCTCTCTCTCTGCTCACGTCTCTCTCTCTCTCTGCTCGCGTCTCTCTCTCTCTGCTCACGTCTCTCTCTCTCTGCTCACGTCTCTCTCTCTCTGCTCGCGTCTCTCTCTCTCTCTGCTCACCTCTCTCTCTCTCTCTCTGCTCGCGTCTCTCTCTCTCTGCTCACGTCTCTCTCTCTGCTCGCGTCTCTCTCTCTCTGCTCTCTCTCTCTGCTCGTGTCTCTCTCTCTGCTCACGTCTCTCTCTGCTCACCTCTCTCTCTCTCTCTCTGCTCACGCCTCTCTCTCTCTGCTCGCGTCTCTCTCTTTTGCTCACGTCTCTCTCTCTCTGCTCGCGTCTCTCTCTGCTCACGTCTCTCTCTTTCTGCTCACGTCTCTCTCTCTCTCACGTCTCTCTCTGCTCACGTCTCTCTCTGCTCACCTCTCTCTCTCTGCTCACCTCTCTCTCTCTCTCTCTGCTCACGCCTCTCTCTCTCTGCTCGCGTCTCTCTCTTTCAGCTCACGTCTCTCTCTCTCTGCTCACGTCTCTCTCTCTCTGCTCACGTCTCTCTCTGCTCACGTCTCTCTCTGCTCACGTCTCTCTCTCTGCTCACGTCTCTCTCTCTCTGCTCACGTCTCTCTCTCTCTGCTCACGTCTCTCTCTGCTCGCGTCTCTCTCTCTCTGCTCGCGTCTCTCTCTTTCTGCTCACGTCTCTCTCTGTTCATCTCTCTCTCTCTCTCTCTGCTCACGTCTCTCTCTCTCTGCTCACGTCTCTCTCTGCTCGCGTCTCTCTCTCTCTGCTCACCTCTCTCTCTCTCTCTCTGCTCGCGACAGTAATCTGAACTTAAAAAAGTAAGTTTTTACAGACTTGAAATTTCCAGTAACTTGAATTTAAACACTTAGTTGGCAGAACTTGGAAAACTTAACTGACACAACTTAATAAGTGTAGTTCTTCAAAACTTGAAGAATTAAGTTAATGCCTTCAACTCAAAAATCCTTCGCAGCTGGTTGCTTTGAAATTTTGAGTTGAACTAACTTTATCTTTTTTACAGTGTGCATGGACCAGAAGTCCAATTAAAATAATGGACAATTGCTCCTGCAGCCCTGAACAGGACATGCGAGGTGCGCGGGTCGGCCTGAAACTCGCAGTCAACCCGCGGGTCCCGCGGTTTCGGGCGGGTTGGATGCCTCAAAAATATGAGTCATGTCAGGTGCGGGTGGGTCGGGTCAGAAAGCTCCTGATCCCTATATAATATTATATATGTGAGCCACGGTATGGGAGTCCCTTGAGTACATTTGCAATCGCGCAGGGAGGCTGTTAAACAAAAAAATCATGCTGACAAACAGGATCGCTCCTTCCTGACTCCCCGCTTAAAGCCTCAGAACACTCCAGCCCGAGGACAGACGTGTGATCTACACAGAGGCACCGAGACTGATGACTGTGGGCCTCACAGCAGAGGCCTAAAGCAGGGGCCTCATTACTTTAATACTTACAGTCTGTGGTAAATACACGGGCTACATGTGGTACACGTGCTTAGACTATATTAATATTGTATGTGTAACATTCAAAATAGATTGAGTGAATATTCCCCTTTTCCTCATTTAGTGATTTGCGGAGGAGAGGAGAGGAGCAGCGAGAGAAGTTTGGCAGTTGAAATAAATGAATTTCAGCTTGCCAAATTATTTGAAAGCATCTTCATTATGATTGTTATATTTATGTATTTATTATAAATGTTAGAGATGCCAGAGAAAAGGCGTCTGCTTTTTTTCTGAGTGGGAGGCATTTTAAGCGTCCCGCACATCCGCACTGCTCATTTACTCAGCGGTCTTTACTATTAGATCCAGTGTTTTCTCCAGCGCCTGTGTGGTGTAGCGGGATTGTACAAGACTTTCCCGTGGACGTTCGGGGTTCAAGCCCCGGCCAATCCTCATTTTTTTATTAGCGGGGGGAGTATATGAATCAGATTACTCCGTTACTGAATAAAGTTGCATTTTTTTCCTGCAGTTTGGTTGGTGCAGATTGTGAAGTTTACTACCGTCTAGCAACTATTTTAAATGTGTTGGCCTAATTACTAAGTATGTTTTAGAAAACATGTAAACGTCAACAAAATCAAAAGTGTCATAGCCTGGACTTGAACCCGAGTCCTCTCACACCAGAGTCCACCTCGTTATCATTGAGCTATAAAGCCACAGAAAGTTGTCCCGTGAACAGAGAACAAAGACCGATGAGAAGCCAATTTTCCTAACCCTGCTCACAAGTGCCACCTGGTGGTTGTTTGGGTCATTGCAGCATCACTGGGGAAAAAATAAATAAAAGACGCGTGAATCACACGTGAGTCTCGTGTGATTCACGCGTGAAACGCGACAAAACGAAATGGGACCTACTGTACCAACCTAAAGGACAATGACCAAAGGGACCTCTCCAAACTTGCACACAAATATAACACTTGTTGAAGATGTAGGAGTGACTATTACAGACCTGACTCAATCCATTTTGTGGGCAAACTCAGTTCTGTGAGGAGTGGGCCAAAATTTCACCAACTTATGGAGAGAAACGCACAAAGGTTTTACCGTTTCTTGTACAAGCGTGAATGTGAAATATGAAAGTCTTACTAAAACTTGATGGATTCAAATAAATAATAAGTCCAAAAACTCTGCTCTGACTATCACAACACAAATACACATATTAGCCTCATCGCTATATAAGTCGCAGGGATCAAAGAATTAAAAAAAGTAGCGGCTTATAAATGGGAAAATTACAGCCATTACAATGTTTTAGTTCTATTTTTATTGATGACCACATTGGGCTATTGGGCTTCACTGAGCTAGCATGTTAGCGTTGTCAGTCTCTGTCTTACCTTCTCGGAGTACATGGAGGGCATGCTCAGGGGGTTGATGACCACAGTGTTGGGTCCTGCGTAGGTGTGGATCAGGTTCCCTCCGTATCGTTGCCGCAGACAGTTCATCACACTGGACTCGTTCAGGTAAAGCAGAGAAGCCAGGTCCTCGGAGCGATCGAACGACGGAGGGTTCGCCTGAAAATCACCAGAAAAGACCAGTTACACACATGCCAACTGCAGTGTCGAATATGGGTTTAGTCAGTGATCTTGTCAAGAGCAGTAGAGCGGACCGGAGTCCATGTCAGGACTTGGAGAGAATTTTCTCTGGGCCGTGATTTTTTGTGTGACTGTTACCATGAAAACGGTCAAACAATCTGGTGATTCTTGTTTTAATGCAAATTTTTTGCAACTTCTTTTTTGGGAGTTTGGGTCAAGTTGCCTAAGTGATGGTTGCCAGGGTTGTTGCCATAGTGATTGCCATAGTGATTGCCATAGAAACGGTTTCCTGGAATCGGTTGCTATAGTGATGGTTGCCGTGGTGATCGTTGTAGTTTCGGTTAGTGTGTTTGTTTGTGTATTAGTGTGTGCGTGTCAGTGTGTGGGCGTGCGTGTATTAGTGTGTATTAGTGTGTGTGTGTGTGTGTGTGCTTGTGAATTAGTTAGAGCGTGTGTGTGCATGTATCTTAACAACATACCTTCTCAATATCGTCTTCGTCCACATCCAAGATGGATCCATCGTGCTCCAGTCGGATCTTCACTTTTCCTTCTGGCAAAGCGCCGGCCTCGGTCTTTACTACGGTGGCTAAAAAAGAAACAAGAAACATTTGTAATCATAACATTTAGGGCTGGGCAAATGTGAATGATTGAATACTAAGAGAGCTATATGCTGCCCCTTTAACTTAAGCCTCAAAACACAGACAATACTGAAACATGCAAATAATACATTCAATTTATTTATTACACGGCTCCTCACAGCAGCAGTAGAATGCTCCATTGATTTGAATGTAATTTCAAAGCGTTCCACCGGTCATTATTTTCTATAACGGACCTCTCAAAACAATAATGACCGCTGCCCATGGCAACGCACTCTCTGCTTGTCTTTCAAATGCGTGGATAACTCCGCAAGTAGTTCCGGCCACTCAGGAGCTAGCCACGCTCAATCAACACAAATACCAATCAATCAACACACTTAAATGTTAATCGGAGAATACTTATACATTCTTCACACACGTGCACAGACATTTTCAGAATTTACTGGTCTTGTCTCCATGACAAAAACACTATTTATCTGCGTCAAAAAGCGATCATGAAAAACCCAGAAGTAGTTCCGGCCACTCCGGAGCTAGCCACGCTCATTAAACGCAAATGCCAATCAATCAACGCAATAAAATGTTAATCTGAGAATACTTTATACAAATACATTCTTAATACAAGTGCACGGAAGTTTTCAGAATTTTCCATTTACGTTTTCATGACAAAAACACTGATGTAATGCGAGAAAAGGCGATCCCGAAAAACCCGGAAGAAGATACCGGCACATTTTAAGATACCGGCACATTTTCGGACACATTCGCAGAGGATCGAATTATGGATTTAGGTTAGGTTTATGTATGGGTCACTCACCGCTGATGTTCAGAATTCTTTGTTCAGTTTTCATGCAGTTCCAGAGAGTTCTAGTTTGGAAGTTGATAGCCCAACTGTTGCTAGCATAGCCACGGGAAAGGGTTATTTTATTTTCTGTCATTAAATAAACCTTTCGGCATTCCTAAAAGTGGACTGAAGTTTATGTTGTGTGTTCTGTTGGTATAAAGCCGTATAATAAGCGGGATAACGTATATTACGCAGGTCATTATCGGAAAATAAGGACCTTCAGGGCGGAAGCAGACGCGCCGGGGTCCGCTTCGCCCTGTCGTAATATACGTTATCCCCTACATAAGACACAGCTTACATGGTTTAATTCAATCAATTATTTAACACGTGGTAGTATGGCTCTAAAACAGTCGTAGGAAGTCATCAAGAGAACAGCGCCCTGCACTCATTTCCTCTACAGTAGTTTGGTAAAATGATTTAGTCAGATTCACTACTAAAAACAGCTTCAGAACACGACATACCATTTATTACCACAAGTTTTCAGCATCTGCTCAGTCACGGTCGAACACAAACCTATTGTGTGTGCATGTGACGTGTGCGTCTATATCTGTGCATGTGATGGTGTGTGTGTAATTGTGTGTGCGAGAAATTAATCACAAAGCCTACAGCTATAGCTTTTACTGTGTATAAATGTCTCCTTTTTTTTTCTTTGCACTCAAAAACTCACCCAGAGAGAAGCCATCTTTGTGCACCAGCCAGACCTTCTCGGATCCATACCAGTCCTTCTCGGCTGCGATCTGCTCCTCTGTCTTCACCTGCAACAAAAGACGCAACAAAATCCATTATTTTGTGAAGGGAGAAAAGGTACTAAGACGTTGCAGCATGCGACAAGCCACTTGAGTGAAGGGGGATTTTGTGGAGCAAAATCAAACTCTATAAACTTGTGTGCAAAAGTGAGTTTGAGAACTGAGGGGAGACTAACGCTTCTGATGACTGGATTTTTGAGCGAAAACAACAAATTCTTTCAGCTTTTTTACAGCGATAGTCGCACCTCAGTTGCTCAAGTCTTGCAGCAATATTACGTTTCACAGTTCAGGCAAAAAAAAAACAAAGGAAAACTCACAAAACACAAAATTGAATGTGAAGATGAAACTATAGAACACATCACTGCAGGCAAAAAACACAGCGGTGGGGGTTTGGTGGGTGAGGTGAGGGTGAGGGGTGTGGCCTGTCACAATCCACTCAGGTGATATTCAAGAGTTAAATGTTCACTCTAAAAGTCTAAAAGCAATGGGGACATACCTTTCTACCAAATATATTAACAAGGACCATTATAACATCTGTGTGTAGGCCCTTTCACTATTGTAAAAACTGGATAAGGCATGACGAGTACTCCTGGAGCAGTCAATTTTGACCATGGCAGTTACTGGCCCTTTTCTCAGGGTTCTGGTCCTGGACTGGTTCTGGACTGGCTCTTCCACCACTAATCCACCGTATTTCCAGTTATATATGTGTGTTAGCATTTATCAAACATAAAAACCTCATAAATTACTTGAATAAAAGTAGGAAAAAGAGTAAATATATTGTATGTATATAGTCTGTTTTCTATATGCAATATACAGCATGTATTGTATATTTTCTTTTACCTATGGACCATATTTTATTGTGAATAATATTGATTTTTTTTTTTCAGAAGGGGCTGAGTCAGCACTGGCGGATATTTGGTGCTTTAGGGTGAGAGCAGATTGGCTGAGCGAGACACATGGATTGTATTACATGCTTTTGATTCAATTTTTAACAGTTTCAAAAATAGATACCCTTTAATAGGCTTTAATCGTGCTAAAAAAAAACTAAATATATCAGGTAAGAAGCATCAGAGGCTAACAAATGTGGAACTATCTGATTGTTATTGTGACAGGCCTTGGAGGGTGTGTGTGTGAGGGTCTATCAAAGAGGTGGCAAGTGGTAGGATCATGGTTTTTTGTGTTTTTTGTGGTTTTGCGGTGGTGGTCGGTAGTAGGGATCACTCTGGACCAGACCTGTGATCTATCGGCTGCAGCATGAGAGCTCTGGAGCAGGGCTATCTGTTCATCCTCCACTGAGCCCTGAGCCGCGAAGGGAAAGAATCAAAGAACCAGGGTTAGAATGACACCAAACAGCACCAGACATGGAGAAATAAAACTCTTTAGAATAGATTCTCACTGGTCGAAACAAGGGTTCAAACTGCAAAATTATAAGACCAAACAATATTGAGAGCAGCTATATCAAACGTAAACAACAATAATTGAGATTGGGTGAAGAGAAGCCAAGTCCAGCCCAGGTTAAAAAGTACATTTCCCATTCAAAATCCACATAGCAGTTTCCAAAACGGCAAATATTTTAGTTTGAGGACATTATAGATGCTAACCCGGTCTATGGGAATTAGGGCAGTAACTAGGGATTCGCAACTATTGTCTTCCGCATCATTCGCCCTTGCCTGAATGGTGTTATAACTTTCCACAAAAACCTCGTACATGTGGTAATAAGTCACTATATAATCTTAGCACATTAGCTAGTTAGCCCAAAACAAGCTTTCAAAAGTTTTTGGGAAACTATGAGAAAGATGTGAGATGGACGGTACTTGGCTGCTCCACTGTCGACAGATACAGAGAACGATTGAAGCGATATTTCTGGAACATGTCTATTAAAAGAATAAAACCAAAGCAACAGAATGCTACTAATAATAAATTAGCTAAAAATATGAAATGACCAAAGTGAGTCAGTTGTTGTTCCAAACTAAAACAAAAGCATTGGGATTCTGCCATGCTGAGACCCGCTGCATGCACTGAAGCCGCCACGAGCCGAAGCAAAAGGCGAAGCTTCGATACAACAGGTCCTGGTGCAAAGAAAGGAGAGCCGCACGAAACCAAAACAAGGCAGTTTCCAAATGAGATCAAAGCCATAGTTCAGCCCATAGACTGTTAGCAACATGCCGACAAAATAAAATGACTTGAATTCTTGAGTTTTAATTATACTTTTTTACTAGTTTCATACAGGGATGAGAGTACACCCTATTCCTCTATATTAGTATATTGTATAAAAGCAGCAGTTTTTAGAAGAGTATCAACTTTGTCTTTATTACTGTGTATTTAATGGTATTTTAGACGTTTCTACTAATTGAAAAAATGTATGTGTACGAAAATCAGATCCTTGTGTGGAGCTCAGTGAAACGCCTCTGGTGGAGCATCGCAGAACTACAAGGATCTGATGAGAGTCAGGTTATAGATTATGTACAACCAGATATAAGAGCAAAACCCTTTTCAGCGTTGAAAAAATATTTGGGTCATCGCGAAGGAACTCGATGCCATATTAAATTTAATCTAGGTTTTATATTGACTGATCAGTGGAAGAAAGCCTTGGTATTTTATTGATTCCTATTATAAACTTGCAGCTGCTGTTGTTTACTCCAGTGACATTTTGTTGCATTTGTAAAATTGTAGAGGTCTCTCTCGATCTCAAACATTAAGAGATAAAAAAACAATTCAAATATTCAGAATTCAAGTCATTCCAACCCATGCAAAACCCTTTCTGCAGCATGAATACTATTAAACGATGTTGGTAAGTGTCAGTTTGGAGGGGATCACGGTGAGAGGAGTCTTACAGTCTGACATGTCACCCGGGAGCAGAAACCCTGGACGCCTCCCCGCGGCTCTGGGGCCTGGACTGGGACTGGCTTAGGGAGGTCTGTGTGCAGCTATGGCCCCCAATGCATCAGTGCACAGGCAGCAGCAGCAGTGGCAGCAGCAGCAGAAGCAGTGAGTGAAGAGACAAAGACATGAAGAAACAGAACAGTGAGGTGTGGAGTAGGACCCTGTCACACATTCAGTATTACAGAAAGCTTCAGGCCTCAAACATTACTTACACACCCAAAGACCATGGCTGCATCGACCTCTATATAAATGTGTTTTCTAAATATTCATGAGTTAGCCTATATACAGTAAAGTTTTTCAATCAACTCACTCAACCTATCCAGTATCCAGTGCTCTTTCCCACAAATAGAACAAGACCATACCAGGAGTCCCACAATCTTATGTTCTACCATTATTCTAAACAAGCATGAATCAAAAACATACAGGACACTAGTCTATCGAGAGACTTTGTGTGTCATTATAGTATTCTGAAAGTCTAGCCTCGAATAGAGATGTGACTAGGAATAGGTAAAAATGTGATGATTTGATAGAATTGCAATATTCGGAGCACAATTCAACATCATTGCAATCCTTAAAATATTGTGATACAGCAAGTATTGTGATTTGATTCTGCAATATTTTGCGATTCATGTCCCTCATATTATTCAAAGGCTCAACTCAAACATCACATTTATTATGGTCTGCACAAAAACTGAAGCAAACTCTTAGGAGGGAGAGCAAAAGCTACATTCACACAATACTTTGTTCTACTGTATTGATTTAATTGTGTGCAACTATCGTGATACAGAAAATAATCGCGTTTTTCCTTCACCACTAGACTCTAAGTTATGTTTACCATGTGGAAATCTGATGATATTTGAAAGATTTGTCTCATTTAATAGTCACCAGAAATCAAAAAGTTAAGAAAAAACCCTTTCCTTGTACTCAATAAAAGCCGAAAACTAAAGTGTTTGCACAGTTGAACAGAGGGGACAAACAGCATAGGATAATGAGATAATGGTATGATGTGGATTTACAGGGGCGTTGAAGATCCGCATGAGCCTCCTCTGGGCCTCCTCCGTGGGACTGAGCGGCGCCTCCTACAGGCAGAGCACCAGCAGCACATCAGACAAAACACCAAAAACAAAACCAGAACATAAAACCTGCTCTGTGCAAGACGTATCACACGGGTTTATCACTACAGCAAGACAACAATCCATTAGTTAGTCACAAAGTAATCCACAGTCAAACAGACGAATATTAAAGCTGGTGTATATAACTTTCAAGCCAAAAATAATTGAATTATTTAATAAAATTCATGTCACTAGTGACTCCTGAACTATCAAAACATTTGGATTCTATCACAAATTTTCTCATACATGGTTTTTTGGCCTCTGTCAAATTTTGAGATCAACTTTTTCAGACAGAAAATTGGAATTAAAGAGGACATCTACACTCTCTCTTTAGGCTCTTCGGCTCTCAGCCTAAAGTGTCAAATTGTGACTCACACGGCTCTTAACAAAAATCTTCCGTCATTTTGACCAATTGAAATCTGAGACATTCCCCCAAACATTTTGAGTTTTCCACCAGATTTAATAAAAGTCATTTATACAATTTCTTTTTACTTTTAGTCAGTCTTCCTGAATACTAAAACTGGCATATATAGCAGCAAGAACCGTTTGTTGAAAGGCCAAATGCTAAATGCTGCAAGTAAATAGTAGGTTGCTATGGTAACTAGCACTGCCGCCTGGACCAGGACCAGAACCAGCACCTTGAAAAGGGGCTTCAGCAACAATAGAACGTTAGTTACCAAGTAACAAAAAAGGCTAAATTTGAATTTCAGTTAAAGGTAGAACTATACATTTCAAAACTAAAGATAATTTCACTTTATGGTAGGACTAGCTTCATGTGTTATTTATGAAGGGGGGAAATTACGAACCCCAGCTTTAAATCCAGCTAAAAAATGTATTGTATAAATGTATGACAGCTTTAACTCTCCAAACTCATCATGTGTAAGGAATAGAAAATGACTTTGATATCAAACTTGGAGGGTAAAGTCTGACAAACAATTCAAACCACATGTTGTTTATGAGATTCATGCGTCTCTCAAAGTCACTCCAAAAGTTCAGTTCCAGTTCAATTGTTATTTCTGCCAACTGCAAAGCAACTGGAGCCTTTTTCTCCACCTCAAATTCCTCTCCCAGGATACGACAAAGCAGTAATTGGCTAAACTCGAGTCACAACTACATGGTTAGAAAGTGCACTTCTCTCCAAAAGAGAGGAGTAAACAAGGCTCTTTCTGCCCAGTGAAATATCAGGGGCAAAAAAACAAAACAAGTAAATGTTATTTTGAGTAATTTTACAGCACACGCCACATGTATACTCCAACAACATCATATATACTTTCTCTGGTCTCTCTCTTCCAGGTCTCTCTCTCTCTGTGTTCTTTCTCTTTCTCTGGTTTCTTCCTCTCTGGTCTCTCTCTCTGGTCTCTCTCTCTGGTCTCTCTCTCTGGTCTCTCTCTCTGGTCTCTCTCTCTGGTCATCTGGTCTCCCTCTGGTCATCTGGTCTCCCTCTGGTCTCTCTCTGGTCTCTCATTCATTAAGAGCCTTAGAAGTTTCACTTAGATAAATGCCAAATACTAAAATTATACTTTAAATTAAATTACAAGGCTGTTAAAAGCAAAACAACATCAGAAATTCATAGAATTCATCTATAACTATTGTTGCTTCCTTTTTCCAATAAATTTACCAATTCAAGTATTTGGCATTGACTCAAACTGGTCAAATCCCATCTTGGCAAAATCTGTGGGTCATTTTTAACCAGCCAAGCAGACTAGAAGACAAACCTAGTATTGTACATGCATCTATCACATGCGATTTTCCACTCCACTCTTAACATCCCATGCATTCAGGTCACACGATACCTCTTGCTTCTTGACTTCTGCCGCTTTCACAGCTCCAGTGTTGACGAACATAGAGACAGGGCGTTGTTTGACTTGCTTGATATCTGGCTTAGATGTTGCATTAGTGGCCGTTGTAGCCATTGTAGAAGTACCCATTGGCTTTTGGCTAATAGCTTGCTTGGAAATAGTTGCTGTAGATCCAGTCGCAGTATTGGTAGCGGTTGTTGAAGTATTGGCTGGCTTTTGGCTAGAAGCTTGCTTGGGAATTGCAGCTGTATATCCAGTAGCTGCAGTAGTAGTAGTAGTGGCTGATTTTTGGAAAGTAGCTTGCTTGGAAATTGGTGTAGAAATTGCAGGCACTGTAGCAGAAGTAATAGCAGTAATGGTTGGATTTTGGCTAGTAGCTTGCTTGGAAATGGTTGTTGAACTTGCAGCTGCTGCAGTAGTAGTTATAGACATATTTGTTGGCTTTTGGTTAAGAACTTGCTTGGAAACCACTGCCGAATTAGCAGCAACCTTTTGGACTGTTGTTGTAGCTTGTGGTGTATTCGGTGCATTTGTTTTGTTGGTGACGCTTGGCTTAGTATGAGGAGGTGGAGGTGCTAGAACTGGGGCTTTTGGCGCAGGAATAAAGCCAACAATTTGAGGTAGAGAAGCAGGTCGACTTTGCATTGGTTTGGTTGAATTCGCTTGTTCTGTCGAATTAAAAACTGGCGATTTAATTCTTTCCAGAATCGAATTGTGCGTCGTCGATGGTTTTGTGTGAACTTCTTCTTGCTTAATCACTACTTCTTCCTTCCTCTGATCTTCTGGCACTTTCTTATCATCCCTCTTTTCGTATTTCGTCTCCAATTCTTTGACTTCTGGGCGTTCTTCTGTGCGGATCGTTCTTATTCGCGGCTCTCGAGACCTACCCCTTACCATAAGATTCGTCAAACCTCTTGAAATGTCGTCTTCCGTCTTGACAGTGTCGTGTTTGAAGGAAAAACCCCTGGACAAAGTCGTGGATTTGGTCCCTTCTGGCTTTGCTGTTTCTTGCGGTTTCTGGTACTCATCCTCGTCGGAAGGCAAGACTTTTCGTACAACGCGTCGCACGACTTTCACAACCTTCTTTCGGGTTGAGTTTTGGTCATCGGAATACTCCATGTCGTCATTGCCGTTCAATGTACCGTTGGTTTCGCTTGCGGAGCCATTATGTACTGGATCTGCCAGATGCGGACTTCGAACTCTTTCTGGATTCCTTGTGGACGACTGTGGTGGTTCTGGGCTCTTAAATCTTTCGGGAACTTTAACAGGAGTGCGTGATTTGGGTGACGGACTGCGCACTCTTGTGGTGGCTAGTGGAGAGGGGTCTGGAGATGGACTCTTGCCTCTGAATAAACCACGTCCAGGGTCCAACGCGGGGACAGACTTGGCTCGACTCAGCGCTGCCTCATTCTCTGGCTATGGTCCATAAAACAGGAAATACATATCAATACTATTGAGTCACACAAGTCCTACAAAAGTGCATTTTGACCAATAAAACTGTATGTAAAACCTTGAGTTACTAGTTTACATAACAAGTTTGGTTGACATCCACTCATGGAGAGGCTAATGCACTATAAAAAAAATTGCTATAGAAAACTGGTTTATTGGACTTACACTTTTGGGTGCTGGCTCGTTCTCAGTTTTAATCTATAAGGTGTAAAAACAACCAAATGAAAATCAATATATAGATCCACTCACACACCGTGCAATACAAATCATGCAAAATGTAAGCAATACTAGCAAAAATACATACACCCTAATATCATACAAATTCAACTGGCAAATGGGATGCAAAGATACCAAATGTTATTAACGCATTTGACAAGTGAGAATCCACACTATGTTATGAGCTTTCAAAATTCCATGACAAAAATTAATCAAAATAATGAGGGTTAACTGGTGAGAATGTTGCCGAATGGTTGCGTGTTGGCTTTTGGGTTAGTGTGTAGAAAGCGCAATGCAGAGCTCATCCAAAGTGCAAAACTTCCCTTTTGCTCCCAGAAGGAAAAGCGAGATGAAAAAGCCATGTTTGCAGCTCTGGGTCATGGGCTGAGGTGGATGAGGACGGAACGAGCTGAAGAAAGATGTGGACAAGACACAGACATGTAAGAGATGAGGGTCATTATATTAGGACAACAAACCAATGACGGGAATGGAATATAGAGAGGGAATAAATAGACAGAAAACAGATGTTGTGGGTTTGTGGGAGAAACTAGAGCTGCTATACCAACAAGGCAACACATGAGACAAGACAGTATAGAAACATGTGACGATTCAATAGTACTGCGATATTTGGGCCACAATTCAATATTATTATGATTTTTAAAATATTGTGGAACAGAAAGTATTGCAATTTATTTCTGCGATATTTTGATTCATGTCCTTCCTATCATTAAAAGTCATTACAAAATTTGGCAGAGTAGTGAAAAAACATTATCCTTGAACATTCAGAACACAGGACTGTATCACAAACATCATTACTCTCTGAATAGACGACTCTCACATGAATGTGAGGCTCCCAGCACATCACTTACATTATTAAAATACAACAGACTAGAGTCACAACAAGTAGACATCATAGAGGAACATAAATCTCAGATGTAAATTACGAGAGAAACCACAAGTTTATGGAATTACCTAAATACATACATAGGCAATACTTGAGCTTGTAAGTCAATAGGAGCCAGAGAGAGAGAGCAAAACTTCACCACAGGTTCTATCTATGGCCTCTCTCCAGTCTCTCTCCGGTCTCTCTCCGGTCTCTCTCCGGTCTCTCTCCGGTCTCTCTCCGGTCTCTCTCCGGTCTCTCTCCAGTCTCTCTCCGGTCTCTCTCCAGCCTCTCCCACTTTAAAATTAGTGCAGAAAAACTTGGTAGGATTATGGACTAAATCTTGGGTCACACCAAAGCTAACGACTACATCCAGCTTCCAGACAGACCATCAGATTTTAAAATGAATTCTGTTGGGAGTGGAGATTTCTCTACGATGAAAACTTGGGTGAACGCTTTGAAGATTTTGAAAGAGAATAAATATAAAGCTAGCCAACGATCAGTAGTCTACCTTCACCTTAAAGCCACTTTGAAGACAGGGGAGTGAAGATTTTAAGCAAGCGATCAGAGCTGCCACCGAAGTCTCATAGCACCAGTCCTGCGCTGACCCTCCTGCAGGGGGTGGATCCACGGGAAGATGGCTTCTCTGTCATCGCAGAGATGGCCTATGTCTTGCAGCGGGGGCTTCAGGTAATGTGGAGTTAAGTGTCTAGCCCAGGGACACAACGACAGCAGACATCAGTGGGAGCAGGTGACATGGGTCGTGATTATTATTATTATTCCATCTTTTTATTCATTGTCTTTTTTTTCTTTATTTTAATTGTATTGTGTAATATTTGTTTTCCAATAGTTGTATTCAGGAGGGAGAGGAAGGAGTCACATGGTTCCATTGTTGTGGTGTGAAAGTCAGATACCCCAGCTTTACTATCTGAATGTTGATACTGTTGACAATCCAAGTTTAGAGCCAACTCGTCCTAATTAGCAGAGAACCACATCGATAGAAATCTGGATTTTGAAATTACATTTGAAATGGGAGTCAAACATTCTCCATGCTGCAAAGTAAATCCACAATTTTCGTCTAAGTAATCATGAGTAGTTGAAGGCCTATATGTAATCAATTCAATTCCAATTCAATTTATTTTTGTATACCCCTAAATCACAGTAGTAGTAGGTACGTCAATTTGCCAGCACAGATCAAAGAATCAAACAGGAAATGCAATGATAGACCAGATGATCAATATCTAGAAATGTAGATTGATAGATAAAATGCCGTTGAATTAGAGCTGGGCGATATGGCTGAAAACTATATCACAATACAAGTAATTCATATCAGTCGATAATGATATTGATTGTTTTTTGTTTCTGTTTTTTAACCTAAATAAATACATTTGTCTTGTTTACAGTCACAGGGGAATGAGGCTAGAGGAATATGTTCACAAGCACAGTCTCCCCCATTGTTAGTCCTGGTTTAATCCTGGTTTAGTCCTGGTTAAACTCCTGTTTTGGCTGTTTTCGAGTGTCTTGTGTCCCCATGACGGCTCCATGCGGCTGTGCTTCCCGAGGAAAAAGTTCATCTCTTGCTTTCACCGAATGCATCGGGTCTCTGTGTCCACTCCCTCTACCGCGCCGCACATCAAATGGATGTGCATAACTATTGACACGGCATTGAAACACGATCCAGAGATCCATGGACGTCACGCATGGTGCGGGATTTGTTTTTGCATTTCTCAGAATGTTTTGCGATTCATACTCGGCTGTGATAGGTCGAGAAGTCTCTGCCTACATCCCCCAGAATTCCGTGCGCTTCTGACTCAACTTTACTTCCTTTGTTTTCTTCCTGTTTTTTCCAACGGAGCGAAGTTGAACGATCGAACATTCTATCAACCCCGTTTTCTATTGACATCAAACACGTGTCTATTGCAATATATATCATTCTCGTTTCATCACCCATCCCTACGTTGAATGTCGAATGTCCTGGATATCACCACTGAGCAAACTGGACTAGATTTGTTTTGTGTTTTAAACTCTCACTCAATCCAACCAAATGATATTCAACCTAAAAAACTCCCGTCATAATCTAAAAATTGCAGATAATCTTCCAACGGCAGCGAACCCATTGGGCGTCTGCTCCGCGAGGCCTTCACTGCATGGTGCTGGCACGTTCCGAGTGTTTATATCAGTGGTCTGAATTAGTGCTGATGACTAACACTTTTATTTTGGGATGAGACTGGACTGTGAGGCTAAGAGGCCAGATACAGAAAGGGCAAGCAGGTTTAAGACCAGAATGGCAGCGTAGTCATTGTGATTTAGCTCAGGCTTAAGGTAATCTACAGTCATTGTAATGAATCGCTGTTTTGTAATTCCACCTTTATTTCTGAATGTGTGAGAAGAAAATAAGAGATCGAACATCCCACAAAGTCTATCATGCCACAAACAATTTCAGGAGTAAGGGTCTTTCTGTCTATAGGTGCCAGTTCTTTGTGACTTCTGTGCTTTAAATTGGTCCATTTGATAATTAGCTTAGCTTTAGCCGCTTAGCTTCTATTCACTATTTCAATCTGATGTCATAAAGACAGATGTATCCAAGCTCGTCCCATCTCACCAAATAAAAAAAAAACAAGAATACCAAATGACAAGAAGTTGTCAAATGTATATATCACCCAAGATCCTCTTTTCTCCCATCTGATATAACAAAGCAAAAACTCCATCATATTGTGTGGCAGCCTCGGTCCTGGATCTACCGCCTCAGTCCTGGATCTACCGCCTCGGTCCTGGGTCTACAGCCTCAGTCCTGGGTCTACAGCCTCAGTCCTGGGTCTACAGCCTCAGTCCTGGGTCTACAGCCTCAGTCCTGGGTCTACAGCCTCAGTCCTGGGTCTACAGCCTCAGTCCTGGGTCTACAGCCTCAGTCCTGGGTCTACAGCCTCAGTCCTGGGTCTACAGCCTCAGTCCTGGGTCTACAGCCTCAGTCCTGAGTCTACAGCCTCAGTCCTGGGTCTACAGCCTCAGTCCTGGGTCTACAGCCTCAGTCCTGGGTCTACAGCCTCAGTCCTGGGTCTACAGCCTCAGTCCTGGGTCTACAGCCTCAGCCCTGGGTCTACAGGCTCAGCCCTGGGTCTACAGGCTCAGCCCTGGGTCTACAACCTTGGTCCTGGATTTACAGCCTCAGCCCTGGATGTTAGATTCACTGAGTTGTTGTTGGTGAATCGACAACCTTGTAAAGTCCGAGACGACTGCTGTTGTGATGTAGGGCTTTACAAATACATTTAATTTAATTGATGTGAATAAATCAATCCCGTCCTCTCTCTTAACACCAGGACATGTGTTTTAAAGATGAGTCCACAGCTGACGTCCCCACAGTAAACAAACCCTCTTCCTCTGGAGCAGTTTGAAGAGCAGCTGTCTCATGTCAAAAGCCTCATGACTCAGACCTCTAAAAACTCCCAGCATGCACCAGGGCCACACCAGTGCAGTGTGCATGTGGCTAACAACACAAGAAGCTAACAACATTTATCTTTCACTGCAATGAGAAAAGCATATCCGTACAAGTAGGAGTCTGGATGTATTTCAGCTTTGTTCAATTATATTAAAGTTAATAATCTAGGACCATATTGCCAAAACCGCCCAGTATTTCAGTTGTCCATAATTCCAGTCCATTCCAAGTCCAAAATGATAGATACACAATTTAGAACTGTCCAAAACAAAACATTTTCATCATTAACAAGCAAAAGAGAAAATTCTGACAACTTTATAACCAGCTCCCATATAACCATTCCATCCATTTTGTTTATTTATATATATTTGGTCCAGGATCACGGCGGTGGCAGAGACAGCCAGACTTCACTCACTATAAAAACCTGTGCTATACAAATAAGCCTTCTCCAGCTTATCTAGGGAAACTTGTCATTCCCAGGCCAGCAGAGACAGTCCCTCCTGCTGAGAGACATGCCTGGAACTCCTTCCCATGAGACAGATGCCCCTCTAGACATGGAGAAGCAGCAACTCTACTCCGAGCTCCCCTATTCCTCTATCTCTAAAAAAGCACTATGTCAGATGTGGGGAAGAGGGAGCAGAGATAAAAGGCAAAACTCTCGATTGACCAGTTAGTCCATGTACGGTTCCACCCTCATCTATGGTCAAGAGGACAAGGACGCCAAAGCCCTAGGTCCTATCCTACCCTACTGTACTCTGGAAATGCTGCCAATTGGGTAGAGTAGAGTAGAGTAGGGTAGAGTAGGGTAGGGTAGAGTAGAGTAAGATAAGATAAGATGTCCCATTTGGCATGGATAGAAACACTCAGATGGGAGGAAATGTGCAAACATGTTAAAGGCTTGATATATTATGTACATAAAAAAGTGGCAATTTAAAAGTGGACACTAGAAATAGTGTCAATAGTAGTGCAGGTTTTTCAGTCATAGTGCAGTGACTTAAAGTGACTTATTGTACAGTCTGACAGCGGTGGGGATAAAGGCCCTGCGGTAGCTCTCCGAGTAGAGTAGAGTAGAGTAGGGGAGGGTAGAGTAGAGTAGAGTAGGGTTAGGGTAGAGTAGAGTATGGTAGAGTAGAGTAGGGTAGGGTAGAGTAGAGCAACTCCGCAGAGAGACTAGAAGCTCCCTTAGAGATAGGAGCTCTGAGTAGAGACGCTGCTTCGAGGCGAGGTCGCTCAAGTAGCTTGTAGCATGTCTCTCAATCAAAACATAATAGTTACTTAAAAGTTGTTTTTTTTTTCTTACAGTACAACTATGGACTTACTGTTAGAATAGATGTGCTATATAAATAAAGTGGACTGGATTGATTGGATGCTGCTATTTCTTGCATTTCAGAACGATGAGATAACATTGTTGCAGATTCACAACTAAGAACAAAGTATATATTTTGAATGGGAAAGAAGCTGTAACCCAAGCACAAAAATGACCAGTCTATTATTTAAAAGCAAAACATTTTTAACATACAAAAAACTAGTTTGGTGGCTTCACTTAAACCCAAACCCAATTTTAGTGAACATAAAAATGAAAAACACAAACTAACAGTGCATTAGCTTTAGCCGCTTTGCTTCTGTCCACTACTCCAAACAGTTCCCATGAAGACAGATCTCTCCAAGCTGGTCCCATCTCACCAATAAAAAGACATTTATACTTCATTGGAAATTACTAGAAGTTGCCAAGTGTTACCCCTAAACTACATTACCCATAATCCTCTTTGCTTCCACAATGTCAGTTTGTGAATCAGTCCGGCTGATGATCATTTGCTAAATTAAACACTGCAAAAAACAATGAAAACACAGCTGAAAATTGAGGGGATTTGGACAAAGATATGAGAGATATGACAGCTCTTTCTATATGTAAAGCCAGTCTATGCTTGTTTGATTGGGAATCTTGTTAAAATAGTCAAAATAGGATCAATAATATAGAAACTACAACATTCAAGCTTATATAGGTTTAAGTATATTTACAGCATTAACTAAACTATTATCATTATAACAGCAAATTTCACTCATTCAACCAGCCTAAAAATAGTACGCGTTTAGTCATACAGACAGACAAGCTAGAAAATTACAGTTACCTGAAAATCCTGGATTAATTTAAGAGATTATTTCCGAAACAGTATCCGTAATATTCCTGAAAACGCATGGACTTGTCCAGGAGGGAGCATGCACGGCAATGGGAAAGAGAGGAATGGAAAAGCCTGGGAGACGCTGCCACACGATTGGTTGACGGCGAGGTGACAGCCGAGATGTGGGGACAGCTGTTCTGATATGGAGGGGTTAAAAATAGAGCCAAGACCCGCCCCCTTTGACACGCTTCAGCCAATGGGGAGCGGGTATGTGGGGTCCCAGACAGAAGCAGCTGGGGTGACACCATTCGGTTAAACGGGCTGTGAAGGTAATGGGAGATTACTGGGTACAAGTGTTTGTCTTGGAGATCGAAATACAGCAGGAGTTTGGTCTGATGGGTGGGCTGAGGTAGAACTGATGGAATGGGAAGAGACTGAAATTATACATGTTTGAAATGGCAATGCACAAAACATAAATTAATAGAAGATTACTTATTCAATCTATTTATACTTGCTTCTTTATAATGCTAAAGCTAGAGATTGTATACTAGCGTCGTCATTATGCTAAAGCTAGAGATTGTATACTTGCGTCGTCATTATACTAAAGCTAGAGATTGTATACTAGCTTCTTTATAATGCTGAAGCTGGAGATGTTATACTCTACCTTTAATACTATTCAATGTCGTATTTAAGTGTGTTTGACCATATTGTGATGTCACTGGCTGAATGCGACAGAAGCTAATTAGAGCTAGCTCGAACAGGCTGTTTAGGCTGTTTTGGTAGCGACGGTCGAGTTTCCAAGACCCAATCAGGAGCGGCGCAAGTCTGTCCCCTCTCTACTACTCGCTGCTAGAGCCGAATTTGGTGACAGAAGGCTCCTGATCCACCGACTCCCACTGATGACTGCTGTCGTTGTGTCCTTGGGCAAGACACTTAACCCCACTATGCCCAAAAAGCCCCCACTGAAAGATCAAGGCTATGCTCACACTCAGAGAGCAGCCGTCCTCCTGTGGACTCACCACCTGCAGAGGGTCAGTGAGGGGCTGGTGCTATGAGACTTGGGTGGCATCTCTGACTGCCACCCCCCTGACCCAGAAATGGATTAAAGGGTAGAAAATGGATGGATGGATGGAAGGCTCCTGATTGGTCAGTTGTTAAGGCTCATATCTGGATTTAAAAATACAATACCACAATATAAACACCAGGATCAAAAAGAGAGCTATAACATAATACAACAAAATAGTGAGTGTGACACAAACGGTTACTGAGCTAGACGGATTTACTTTTAGGAGCCCGAGCGGGTTGGAGCAAAACTTTGATCATGAGTAATTGCATATTGTGCTTCATTGAGCTAGCAGGTTAGCATTGTCCAACTGTATACAACAGGGGTCTTGGGAGCTACCAGTAGCTCACCAGCCCCTTTCAGGTAGCTCCCCAAAGGATTTAGAATTTAACAAATTATCTTGAATGAATACATTTTGAGTAATTACATCTATTATAAGTATAAATTTAGAGTTTTACAGTATGGTGTATATGTGTTCTCTATGTTTTGTCGTAATTCTTACATTAACTTTTTATTACGACTACAAAAAGGAGTAGCTCTCTACCTTTTCTGTTGCATAAAAGTAGCTCTCAGATTGAAAATGGTTAGAGACAGCTGGTATAATCTAAATTTTAATAGTTCTCCGATAGGACATAATTTCATTTTATATCATAAGAAGATGAAATATTAGCTTCAGCTTCACCATTTGACTGTAAAAGTTACTTTACTTTTTCCCTCATAACCCTTAAAGAAACCAACCTTCCAAACTATTGTAAAGGTGAAAAGTACCTGTGTCATTGTCTTGTTCCACTGCTGTCTGTTTTGGAGAGAATCATTGCTGAACTTTAAACGTGTTGAAAGTTTCTAAAGAGGGAAGTGTACGCTGTGATGTCAAACGTAACAGGAAGTAAACACTGCTTCCTTCACAGACAAGATGCAAATCTGAAAATCAATAATATTTTCACTACAAAACTTAAGGAACTAGAACAAGAGCCACTAGATTAAAGCTGGAGTAGCTCACGACACTAGAAACAAAGCAGGTCCCTAAAAAAAGCACCTGGTATCGGTTAAACAGGGCCGGTGGAAACGCTAGAGAGATTTTCTTGACCCAAGTGAAATTAAATCTCCAGAGTTGTGTTACCTTATTCTTTTATTATCTTAAAAATATATCTTGTTTGATGTAATCGGAGTGCTCTGTCTCCCATTCTGCTGAAATGTCCAAAACTATGACAAATTTCCGAGCTGTGGACCGAGCAAAGGTTTATCTTATCTATTAATGACAACTCGACTTAGAAAGCTACCAGAGTGTGTGTGTGTGTGTGTGTGTGTGTAGCAGCTGTTATTGATGAAAACATGATCTGAGCAAATTTGTTAAAATATTTTTTAGAACAATTGTTTATCAGAATCGATCAATTGACTATTGGTTTGTGAATAAAATGTAGTAGTAGCAGAAGCAATAGTCATAGAAAAAGTAGTCATTATTATTGTTACTGTTACTACTACCAGTAATAAAAGCAGCAGCAATAATAATAATAATAATAAATCAGCTTTTTATAGCACTTTTTTGGACACTCAAAGATGCTTCAATAGCAGTAGTAGCAGTAATTGTAGTAGCAGCAGGAGTAGTAGTAGCAGTTTTACTTGGGGGTAGAATTTTTACGAGTTTCAGTCATGTATGAGAGACATCAGACAAAATAGGACTGCCTGTACTGTATTTTCATCCAGAGCCTGAACCTCTCTGACCCGGCCACACGATGGCGCCACAGCTCAGCGTCTGTCCGTGAATGCACTCTGGAGCCACACAAAGCTCCCATTATCCCTGCTCTCATGACACTCTCTGTAAAAAGGAGAGACTTAAAGGGACTAAAGGCATTCTGCTGCAGCCGCTGTGAGGGCTCCCACTCACAGAACTGCTGACTTTATGCACAGAGAGAGAGAGGAGGGAGGGGGGGGTGATGATGTAACAGCTGGCAGGTCGGGGCGAGGTCTGCGGTCAATGTACTGTCGACTACAAGGTGAAAAATGACAAAACAAAGAACATTTTCAGTGGTGCATTCAAATGTCAGTGGGATTTTCTACGGGGTGTGTGAATTAACAAAATAGGTGAGTAATCTTTAAAAAAAACTTGCGTTTTGTAGTATTTGTCTGCGTTGATATACCACGTCAACACAGAACAAAAGTTGGAATGGTTGTGGAGTTTTTAGATCTGTGTCGGCTTTTCATCACATGGGAATATAGGATAATGTCATAAAATAAAACAGTCAAAACAAACTTCTGACTTTAGAAAAAGTCTTATAAAGTCAGGGCCAGAGAAAGACTAGAGACCAAAGAGAGAGAAACCAAAGATACCAGAGAAAGAGGCCAGAGAGAGGCCAGAGAGCCCAGAGAGAGAGAGACAAGAGAGAGAGACCAGAGTGAGAGACTGGGGAGAGAGACCAGAGAGAAACAGACCAGAGGGAGTGTGTAAGGAAAGTCTCTGGGAATGTTCTTGTGTTTTTGCGCGGTGGTAATGAGGCTGTAGAGTGAACCCAGTGTGTCGCTGAATGATGGTCACAGGGGAAGATGACAAGTCAAATTATCGCAAAATAGATCCAGTAGGTGTCTTTAAACAACAGTTCCAAGTATATCTTCTTAAACAGTGTGAGACCATCTGGGCTGATATCAGACAGAGAAGAGTGGTTTGACATCATAAAGAGATCTATCAGAACGACTTCAAGTGATATTATTTTAGATTTATGCAGTATACTGCAGAAGAATCTGTTCTAAAAGTGACTCCAATGTGAGAGACCAGAGAGAGAGCAGAGAGAGACCATAGAGAGACCATAGAGAGACAAGAGAGAGACCATAGAGAGACCAGAGAGAGACCAGAGAGAGACCAGAGAGAGACCAGAGAGAGACCAGAGACGGAGCAGAGAGAGAGCAGAGAGAGACCAGAGAGAGACCAGAGAGAGACCAGAGAGAGACCAGAGACGGAGCAGAGAGAGAGCAGAGAGAGACCATAGAGAGACAAAAGAGAGACCAGAGAGAGACCAGAGACCATAGAGAGACCATAGAGAGACAAGAGAGAGACAAGAGAGAGACCATAGAGAGACCAGAGAGAGACCAGAGAGAGACCAGAGAGAGACCAGAGAGAGACCAGAGACGGAGCAGAGAGAGACCATAGAGAGACAAAAGAGAGACCAGAGAGAGACCAGAGACGGAGCAGAGAGAGACCATAGAGAGACAAAAGAGAGACCAGAGAGAGACCAGAGACCATAGAGAGACCATAGAGAGACCATAGAGAGACCATAGAGAGACCAGAGGGAGACCAGAGAGAGACCAGAGAGGAACCATTATACTGGGAGAAGATCTGTTTGAGCTTGTTCTAAAAGTGACTCTCAATATGAAAATAAGTATATGACAAAATCCAAAGAGAAGGACTAAACCATGACCAGGACTCAAACAGGTCTAACATTGCTCTGCCTTGAAATAGTCATTCACCAGTAAACCCATCAACTTTAATAGTGAGGTAATTGTTTAATATGATGTAGAAATGATGACAGATGATGGCAATAAAAGTTTTAAGAGTGGAGTCATTGAAACCACTCCACCCAGAGCTGAGGGAGACTCCAACCAGCACCACAACAACCAACCATAATGTAATATGTTTTTATATGTTTGGAGGTGGAATCGAACAGGACCTTCTTGCAGTGAAGCATGATGTCACATTCAAACAAAAGAAAAGTAAAAATGGATAAAAGGAGAGAGGAGAGGGCACATAGTCTCTACATCATTACATACTACTTTAAAGAGACATGGAATAAATAGTGAATATTGTTGGTTTAAACTTTGTTATTTCTGTGATTTCACTTCTTTTTTAATACGCAAAATGAGACTAGCTTTTGTTGATAACACAATCCTATGCATGAAATATAACGCGTTTGTATCACATCAAGTAATCGCTCAAAATGATGCTTCCAGAATTATAAGGAAAGTTAAGCAAGATTTAAACAAGTAATTTCATGTGACAAAAGGGTATGAGATAAATTAATAATTCCTTACTACGGAATAAGATTCAAATGTTACCATATAAACGATCCTATCTAAGTGAACTATCAGACCAATGATCGTCAGTCCCATAAATACATTTCAATCTGGAAAGACTTCAAAAGACAAAATGCATTTTGAATGTTTTTATTGAAAGGCTCCGGTGCGGCGTTTAGTCAGCGAGGCTCCTGCGTGAGTGCGCGCACAATCCCCCCTTGACCTAGGCACCGGTGGTGTCAT